GTTCTTCTTTGCCCTCAACCATAGAGGAAGCATGAAACTAAGTATTAAATGATTGTTCTGTGCTGCTGACAAATGACTGAACCTTCTCTTCAAAAATTGACTGTCAGACTACATATAGATGGATGCGTGTGTTTTTCTTTCATCTTCCAGTTATCACGTTGAACTGCAGCCCCAAATGCAAGCAGACTTACTGTCTTCTCTTGCCTGTGTGTCCCATACTAATACTGCAAGATGAAGAGCTCTAGTAAAGAAGGCTTACAACTATTTACATGTTGAATAGTTCTGGTGGGAGCCAGTGCATGACTAATAAGGAAAAACTTCAAAATGGGTACATCCTCTCAGATCCCTTTTAGAGAAGTTAATTCCTCTGTTTCATTGCACTTATTCAGCTCCTGACCTGAAAGGCAGAAAAGCTCTTTCCTGAGTCGCTGAGCCCTAGGATAGGTTTGCTCCTTTTCCTTTTCAGTTGTTTGTGTAGACAGCATGCTTCCCCAAATCCTTTCATCCTTACTCCTGTAGTTCATATTCTTGTTGCTGGAAATGGAGTAAACTTCAGTGAGCTGTGCTGAGCTACAGGGAAATGCTCCAATGTATCCATCAGAGGCTGCTGCTTGGGAAGATGCCATTTTCACTGCTCTGCACACCCTGCTCTTCACTTTATGTCAAGGAGCTTGAGTTCAGTGCATGGGTATCAACAAGCCTGGTCACAGGAAAAAGGGACTCTACCTTAGACTGCAGGTGTTGAATTTGGCTTCCCCAGGCTGCAGCCAGGACATTTGGTTCAGAGGTGTTTCCTACACAGTTCAGTGGAAGGTGGCACTCTCTGTTTGGGGCTGGCAGCTTTGGTTGGTGACTCCAACCTCTGCTCAGGAGATGTTGGGAAGTGTTCAGCAAAGAGGGCACCTCCCTGGATTTTTTGGAAGGAGACCTGGGGCCATCTGAATCTCTGCTTGGCCGGCTGAAAAGAAAAGAGATGGCTGGAGCAGGGAAAAAGATAAATGCATCCACCTTCTGGTCCAGCACATCAGACTCAATCAGAAACCCTGGTGGAGACCAGTGCCCTTCCTCTCCTTTGGACCCCAAACAGACAACCATCAGTTTTTTCAATTTTATTTTTTTTAGCTGAAAGCAGTTGAAGTAGCTACATAAATCCCACAGACCTGGTGGAATGGCTATGGAGTCTTGTCTAAACAAAACAAGCAGGAGAAATATTACTTCATCAACAAAGCACTGAGGATATGTTTTGAATCCATACATCATGAGCTAAGTAGCAGATGGGCTGAGTACTGTAAAAGAAACAGCTCAGATAGACAGACAGACAGACAGACAGACAGATAGATAGATAGATAGACAGACAGACAGATAGATAGATAGATAGATAGATAGATAGATAGATAGATAGATAGGATGATTCAAAAAGCCATCCAAAAATGCATTTTGAACTTGTGCAGATTTTTAGGGGACAGGGAAAGGGATCTGTGATGTGGCACATGGGAGACCTGATGACAAGGGATGGAGCCCAGCAGTAAAGGCCATGTTGGTCGCAGTAGGCATGAGGAAGACAGCAAGCAGAGTCCAGCCATGCAAAAATGATTTTTGACCTCTAGGGGGCCCATTGAAACAATCTGAAGTGATACACTTTCATTTGTCTGTCAGAGCATTTGGTAGATAGAAGCATTTCTAAATCTAACTATTTGTTCCTTTATCTGTTTTATTTTTTTTCCCTTCCCCTTTGAATAACAAGACTGCAAGCAGCTGCTCATCTCTCAAGCCATCAGCTGTAAGCATTATCTTTCTGCTCAACTGATGGTGAGCTACGGAATAAGAATGTAAAAAATTGGGATCTTTTGCAGATCCCACTTGCTTTTTTACAGGCCAGGTAACATGGTGTTTTATCGAGCTTGGAGTATTTGGAGTTCATCCTTATTTTGTGACCCTTTTTGAGGAAGAAGATTTTGAACCTTTAAAAGATAACTTTAGAAGGCTTTCTGTGAAAAGGAGAAAGGTACAGTTCGGTTTTTGTCCAGACTTTCCATGTGTTTCCTTTTGATATGTGATGAACTTTACAACTGGTCTTCTCTTTTATTTCTCTGATCCACCCCTCCCTCCCTCCTGTCCCCAGCATTGTTTAAAACAGGGAAAATCTTTTATAGCTGGATGAATATCTAGATAATTCACTGCCTTGACCTCCAAAGTTTATACTCTACAAGGTATTTGGAGATGTCAGCTGAAAGGGTTCATAAATATTTTAGCTGCATTACCTCACTCTTGCTGCCATAACATTAAAAATGTGCTTTCCCTGAATGTTTGCTACAGGAGCCTGACGGTCACGTCCGTGTCTGCTGGCAGCTCCCTCTTCCGCCCCAGCATGGGGCAGCTTGAAATATTAATGAGAGCTAATGCAGCAAAACTGTGCACTCGAAAAACAGACAGACACGCACACATGCACAGAGGCACACTGTCCATGCATGTGTGTGTTTGATGTACTTGAATGTCCAAGGCAAGATGCTTAAGTTGCAGAACAGGCTTAAGCTGGTGTCCAGCGATGCAACACATCCAGCACAGCTGGGCTGCCTCAGGCCCCATGGAGATGTCAGATTCCTCACACTAACACCAGATTCCCACTGAAAAATGATCTGACCTCATGAAAGCCTTTGAAGGAGGTTTGGGCTAGAACCATAGCACTGAGAGCTTTGCGCTAGGAGGGGATCCTCATATCTTCATTTGTGGCCCAAATGAACAGCAAGGAAATGATTGTGTGTGATCTTGCTGGTGAGGAGAGGCTGGAAGAGATGGTCACAACACATCTGAGTTCTGTGTGTGATGTGTGTCCCTCTTGATAGCCAATCCTGCTTTGGAGTCTGGTGAGTCCAGAGCCTGGGATGGGACAGGGTTAGTATTTTCCTTTTGTGCATTTTATTAAGCATATCAGTAATTTCTGCATGTTGAGGAGGAACAAAGATAGTTTTTTCATACATGAATACTCCTCCAGTTACTCTTGAGAGAAGAAAGTCTGAAGGTTCCCTGGTCATCAGTCATTCTCCAACTAATCTCCATAGCAGAAGATGGTTTTCATTAGATTTCTGCTTTAATGACAGTTCTAAATGGCAGTCAGTGGAACTGGCCTTGGGAAGTGCCTGTCAGGCCAGGAGAGCCAAGAAGAGATGTTTGGTGGTCCCTTGCATGGCTTGCTACTTGTGCAGCACATTCCTCAGACAAATCTTGAAGCTGTGGTGTGAATAATTTCTCATAGCATGAATATTATCAACTTGAAACACAGGATTGAAGTGGCTCCTTCAATTACAGGAGTCTCACTGAATGATTCTGAACATTTATTTCTTCTCCAGCTCTCTTTTTGCTGTCCTAAGTGTCTACCTTACCTCTTAATGTAACAAAAAAACCTGGTAAACCTTCAGTACAGTGGGTCAGGGTAGTACTGCACTTGTAGATCCTGCTAAACAGGGAATTTGCCTTTCCTTCTGCATGCTTACAGGTTGCTTTTCTCTTGTTTTCCTCAAGCTTTTAATAAAGTGTTAGATTTTCCACTGGTATCTATCTATCTATCTATCTACTATCTTAATTACCCACAGCTTAGCCAGTTTACCAAATCAGGGAAAACTGTGAAAGCTTTAATTACACAAGCCGTGCAAGCTGAACCTTTTGCCTTGTCACAGAGGCAAGTGAGAATTCTGGGATGCCTGGTGGTACAGCCGGGTGTGTTGTCAAAGCACTTGTCCTTGCTCTGACTTACAAACTCACACCACTGCCTGCGTAAGCAGATGCAGGTTTCTAAATAGAGCCAAGGAAAACAAACTGCAGCTGAAATCTGCTTCTGCTCCTGCTTTAAGGAGTTATGTCTGGACTATTGATGGGCAGAACAAGAGAGCTAATGCATCCACAGACTGGGAAAGCACACCAGCAGGTTACTTTGCATCTCTGACAGGATCTTAAAATCGTGATGTAATTCAGATCGCAAGGGACATCAGGAGGTTTCAGATCAAACCTACAATCCAAAGCACAGCCACTTGTAACAAGTTGCTCAGGGCTTGACCAGCCAAGTTTTGGAAACCTCTGATGCTGAGGATCTCACAGTTTCTCTGGGCACTTGCTCCAGTGTTTGACTGCCATCATGGTAAAAGTAATTTTCCTTTTATTTAATTAGATCTATCATGCAGTTCTGCAGAGACTGGCTCCACCTTTTCTGTATCTCACCATCAGGCAGCTGTAGACACTTTTCCATGGGACTTCTCTGTTTTAAGGCTGAACAAGCCCAGCTCCTGCAGCCTCTCCTCGCATGTTATGCTCTCAGCTGCTCGGTCCAGTATGTCAGTATCTTTCTTGCACTGGAGCCCCCAAAACTCCATGCAGTTCTCCAGATGTGGTCTCACAAGTGCTGAATAGAGGGGACTAATAAATTTCCTTGACTTTCAGCTGCGATCCTGTAAGTACCGCCCTGTATTGTGTTGGTTTACTTTGCCTCCAGGACACACTGAAATTCCCACCTCTGCTCTTGTCTCTTTCTATTCTAAAGCTGTTCCCAACCCATCCACCTAGTCTGAATTGCTGTAAGGGTTAGTCTGCCTCAGAAGCAGGACTTTGCTGCATTTGCCTGAGTTCGTGAAGTACCTGGCAGATAATTTCTCCAGCATCCTGAGATCTGCCCTTTCAAGGAAGTCCTGCCCCTGCAGTTGCCACTGCCCAGCCCAGGCCCCAGGAGAGCAGCTGACGCACTCGCGTTATCGCAATCCTCCCCAGACCCAGGTTCAGTGAAGTCCACACGCTGCTAAAAGGGCACTCTGTTGTGTCCTCCACGATGTTAATCAAGATGTTAGATGGTACTGGTCCCAGTACTGACCACCTAGAATGCCACTGGAAACTGGCTACCAACTTTATCTGTACAGCTGGGCTCAAAGGATGGTCTGGTACACTCCCCACCTGTTGCAGGTAGATACTCAGTCCAGGTCAGTGATTTGACTATAGGCTGTTTTGAAAATAAATAAATTAAAAAAACCCAACAGAAGAATCCTTTTATTTTCAAAGTTTGATCAATCCATGAAAGAAAGAGCAGCACATTTTTGCAAAGCCCGAATAACTGTACAGCTCATTCTGAAGACAGATTTTTCCCAACAGAAAGGCAGTGCCTGTTAAAGAGAAGGGACCAGGAAGGGAGCTGTGACCAACTGTGGCCAGCATGGTTCTGCGGGCTGGTACCTTTAGAAACACACTACATCCTTCATGCTTCTCCTTCCAGTGTTGGTCTCCTTAAAATCACTGAATAGCCAGGTGAGGACCCATCTAACTATAAAAGACATTTTAGCATCCCTGAGTGCTATGTCAGGGCTGCCCTGTATATTTCAATTTTCATCCACAGGACCTATGGAAGAAATGAAGCAAAACTTTCCAGGGGGAATTGCTTCCTGGCTGTATGAGCAGCCACCTTTTCACTTTGGAGGAAATCAGGTTGTCTTCCAGTGAGTTCCAGTCACCAAATTATTTTATTGTTACAATATCATGAAGCAATTTTTTATTTTGTGCACATCAAGGTGCTCAAAGTGTTAGTTTTCACAGTATAGAATGGATGTGACAGCATTTGTCATGGAAGCACTCAGCAGAGTATGTTTCAACTTCATTTAGTTGTGCTGTTTTATGAAGTTCTGCAGTAAAATGTGCCAGTAAATTATGTTAGTTTCTTTCTGGTGATTAACTAATCATTCATATAATAAATAGCAGCTAACTACAAGAAAGAGATTTATTTGTCACAGATTAAGAAGAATGTCAAACTTTTCCCATTTCATGTAAAAAGGCAGAGGAAAAAATACTTCTAAAATGACTTTGCAACATGTGCTTTATTTTAAGTCATTACTGAATCAAAACTACAAGTATATCCTTTTAACATACCCTATCCACTCAATGATTTTTTTTTTTCTTGGTTTTTTTTTTTTTTTTAACATGGAAAGAAACCTACATTGCAATTGTAAATTTTCATGCTGCAATGTTCTCTAATGAGCCATTTGTTTCACTAATAATAGCAATTTAAAAAAAGAAAAAGGCATTTCTCAAGCTCATACGTATGTCTATATTTGGGAACTTAAAAAAAAAACCCGTCTCAGATGTAAAAATGTGACTTGGAATATGTAAACATTTTTGTATACCTGAAACACTGGAAGAAGAATATCAGCTAACAGCAAAACAACAGTTGCCTTAAATCATCGAAATGGGAAAAAGCATGTCATGGGGAGCAGAGAGAAGCACACACTACTCAGTCTTTAAAGGGTTATAAGAAATGAAGTAGCCCATTAGGTCATCAATTTCACCTTCTTTTTTCATCCAATGGAAAGCAGTAATGCTGAAGAGAATGGCCCAGCAGAACACCCCATAATTCACCATAATTATTCTAGCCATTAGTTAATCTCGACAAAGTGTCAAGTTTCAGTTGCTTTTTCTTTTTCCTGAGAAAAGTCTTTGATGTTTGGTGGAAATGTCTCCTGTGACTGTACAAATAAAATAAGGCATTTCAAGAGATTGTTACTTGTTTTCTTTTTGCTGACAGAGGCTTGTCCACAGTGTCCCTTGTACATCCAAACCTCTGCTTTTCTACAAATGGGTATGGCTAGAATGTCTTCAGTTCCCAGTGTGGCCCTGGGTGCTGGGTGTCCTGAAGGCTTGTCAGTGTCCCATTACTGTAGCTTGAAAGTCAGTGATGTACAACAGCATATTGCACAATCCAAACTGTGTGGCTCCAGAAAGGATTAAGAAGGAACACTGGAGTCATCTGTGGGTTCATTCCTTTTGTTTCTCTCTAAGTTGAAATGGTTGTCTGGAAAATTAAATTAGCCAGACAAAGATGCAAACTTTTTGCTGATTAAATTACAAAGCAGTCCCCAGATTGTAGAGGAGTGGCACATTAAAAAGAACAGATCATTCAACCTTCTTCACTGTTGATCCTTAATTTGAAAGGCAGCATGGATTCCTAAGGCCATAGCTTCCAGGATTCCTTCAGTGAAAAATCATTGCTACCCAGCTATAAAAGGCTTAGCTCTTAAGAGAATATTGTGCTTTTTTTGATTTTTCCTTTAAAATTCAGATTTAACCAACTTGATTTGCAGTGTGATGCCAAAGAGATCAATTAGTTTTTTCCCTAGTCCACTTGATCATAGTCTCTGGTGAGCGATACAGGAATATTAGCTTGGCGTACAGGTCTTCCTCCAGTTCCAGTTCTCCAGTCTCTCGCACTAGGAAAATGTCAGTACACAGCTTCAGGATTCGGTCTACATTGGGTAGCTCCTCAAACATGATGGAGTGAGAGATCCCACTGAAAAATTCACGGACAAACTTGCCTATCACCAGGACAACTGAGGCATACAGTCCCATAATGCTGAAAAGAAAGAAAGGAAGAGTTCAAATCGTGCCCTGTAAAAAAAGGCAGCCAGGTGTAAGGCAGTTCATATGCATGGCCAACTGTAGCCTGTCAATTTCTAATTAGGGTCTTGTTTCTGCTGTGCCACAGGATGCAGGGAAATGAGATCTCTTTGAACACCTCACAAATCTGCAATCATAAACAGCTGAGCCTGCTGCCTTAAATTGTTTAACCCCAGTTGCTGATGGTTGCGTGTCCTGTGTGCTGCAGCTTGGAAGTCACAATTGGAAATCTGACAGCAGCTGGCTGCTAAAGGCAAATAATCTGTCAGGTTTCATATCTGATATTTTTTATTAAGGTATATGTAACTGATGACAAGCTAGCATTTACCTGTCTCCCCTGATAATCTTCCTATGGGGACTTCTCCAAAATCCTACCAGAAGGTTGTATCTTCTAGGAATGCTTATTCTCCTGCCTTCCTCTGTCTATGGAGATGTATTTCATAACTCTTTCACACCCAGGGTCCTGGCTACAAAATTGTGAAGGTCACCAAAACCAGGCAGAGTTCGGGCAGAACTTGGCCTGCAGCTAAACTAATATATTTTGAATTATTTCTCTTCAGTAGGAAACTGGTGTGAAGGGTGTTTCTGTTTTTATTCCCACTGGAGTGCAGTTATAAGGGGTAATACTAACCTTGCAAATATTAATCCTCTTATACATAGTTTTAGTAGACATGGATTTGAAAATCCCACAAAACTCCTTTTCAGAATGTTGTAATGTTCAAGCACTACAACAACGAACAAGGAATAACCCCCCAAATCAGCAAATAAAGTCACCTCTACTTCTATCTTATGTACTTTATTTAATTTTATGTAAAGATTTCTTCTTACCCATAACCAGCCAAGAATCCAAGGCTCGGTGGACTGACTTTATCACTGAATATGAAGAGTTCAAGACTCTCTTGAGACATCTTATGTCTTTTTCCAAGCTGATTCAAAACCCACCACTCTTCAGATGTATTTGTTTTGACAAGGGAAACTGTAATATTTTCCCACTTGCAGTCTATTGAAAAAGAGAAGTGTTACTATATATACAACAAGAATTGCAAAAATCAAACATTTTGAGACAGATACTTCAAACATCTGCATTATAAAATGACTGAGCAATGCAGAAGCAAAATTCTTCTAACTCCATTTTTCATTATTTCTGTATACAAAAGTATAAAACCCAGACTTCTGTGTTTTTTCTTCTGCAAATCTTACCTGAATCTGCATTGAATATTTAAAATATTTCATATAACCTACATGCTCTTCAGTACAACTGTCAAATAATTTTGGTATTTTCAAGCCAAAATATCAGTAACACTCATCACGTCTGCATTTCAGGCCTAGAGAAACACATTTAACCTGGAAGGGTAGCAGTCAGCTTCTGTATCTCCATGTGAAATTATCACCATAAACCATTTATGTCTGACAAAAAAGAAATTATTCTTTTGTATCAAAAAAGGATGCTATCCTGTTTTATGCATACTGATCACACAGACAGGAGATGAACTCTGGTCCTCCTGCATGTACATTAGCAGTGTAATTAAAGCCCATCTGAAGAAACTCAAATTAGGGACCTGAACAATGACAGTGAAGCACTAATAACTTATTGCTACTCACAGAGCTGGGTTGAGGTTCATCTCTTTCCTGATGAACCTTGACAAGAACGTACTACATAGCACTACTACTATTAAATTCAAGGTCCAAGTTTAGCCTCCGTTGAGAAAATTGCTCTTAGATAAAGATTTGTTCCTTCTTTTCCAACCCAACAGGTTTTCCACACGTGTGTGTGCATGAGTGCATGTATTCTGTATGTCTGTGAGTACATGTATGGATTCTGACTGGGTAACAGCACTCTGAAATTTAATGAGTAATTTAAAGTGGATTCTTTGTAGCCAATAAGGAAGGAATAGCTTTAAAAAAAAAATAAAAATAATGCAGTGTCATTATTTAAGCTGAAGATCTGCATTTGTAGACATGCAACACTACTGATGTTCACAGTAAGGTACCAGGGAGATGTGAAGTGAAACTTGTTATCACACATAAAACACAGGAAAACAGCTCCTAAAGCAGACTTGAGGGAAAGGAGATGGACTTCATCCTTAGAGTCCTTACTGTTAAATCCAAATCTAAAATACATGGAGATGCATTTTCTGCCTTATCTTGTATTACCTTATCTCTCCTCAAGCTTGTAGGCACGAAGTAAAAAACATTTTAAGTGCATTTCAGACTGAGGTGCCCCATAACAGCTGTGAATGTGCAAGTGTTAGTGCTGCCTTGCACTTCTTTAAACCATACTCTGTTTTCCATGGTCTGGAGACATACCTCTCAATAGCTGCTTTATGGGTTTTGCCAGAGAATCACTGGGAGCCTTGATGTAGTATGGGTACACTTCTTCTAATGTTCTGTAAAAAAATGAGAAATCAAATATTTCATATTTTTATACCTCTAAAATAATTTAGAAATTCCTAACAGTGCTATGCACAGTTCTCAGTAATTCTTATTTTAAGTTATGACTTTATAGTGTTCAGATGTCACATCTGAAAATTAGCTGGAATTTTCATCTATGTTTCTTCAGAACTTCAGCAGAGAGTTCATTCCATCCATAATGTCACCATTCACACACCATGAATTCCACACACCTGGGGAATGTGTGTTTTCAAGGAATGTAGACTTTATATTTTGTTCCCCTTCTTAAAAAAGCTGCTTTTATGGTCAGCTATAAAGTATATAATAAAGGCACAGCACATCCCCAGTAGTAAAAAGCTAGAAAAGATATGTGGTGAGCACGGCTATTTCTTCAGAATTGCAAGGTGTTTTGATAATCACACCTGAAAAGAGTGACCATTTTTGCCAGAATTTTTCACTGGAAAATATTTTCACAGTCCTTAGGAGGATTTCAAACTTAGAAAGAAAGATGTTTGCAAAAGTTCTTCCACTGGACTCAAGATCATCTTGAGTGGGAATAAATTACCAGTATCTAGAGGGAGACACATTTCATTAAAAGCAGAGACACTATCCTAACATTTTCCTCAAATGATTGAAAAACTCCAGGGAAGAGGAGCTCTCAGAGAAGTCCTGTGACACTTGGCTATATTGCATAGACCAGGCTGAGGAGGAACAACGGTGGCCAACTGAAAATCCCCTCTGATCACTCCAGGAGGTGCAAGAAAAGAGCTCAGCAGTTAAATAGTCCTCACTGAGGTGCTGGCAGAAAGCTCCCTGATGAAGTATCTGAGTGGCTAATAGCTATCACAATCACTTTTCCTTTATGACTAAGTAAAAAAACCTTAAATCTACAAAATTAGTGCAAGACAGGTAAATGTAGCTATATCATCTGTGTTACTGCTTGTCTCCTGCAAAGAGAGAATTATGAATTAATTACTTCTTCCCACAAATGAGAAAAATCTACCCTCTTTGGCCCTACATCACCTTAGGAAATTCTGCTCTTCAGCAGAAAAGAGGCATCAAGTATTTTGGAAGTGCAATGATCACATGTGCAATAGCAGTCTGTTTGGATGTATGAGTGTGTGTGGGTGCAGAAAAACAGCTGTGCAGAGAAAAGGCAAATCTAATTTCTACCTACTAACAGATAAGAACTCCTCAGAGTTTTCACAGTCCCAGTTGGTCTCAGCTTTAACTTTTCAACTCTTGTGGCCACAAATCAGACCAGGTGGCCTTCAGGGATGATGTGTTGGTTTAGCAGTGCTTAGAAACTACTGCTGTAAAGTAATCCCCAGTGAGAAGGTGGAAGAGGAAGAGCCAGACTCTTTTCAGATCTAAAAGGAGTCACCACTTCTGTTAATGCTATAAGGCTGTATCCGTAGAATAATGTTTGATATTCATATGAAGAGCATGCCTTGTGAATTTCCATCACAGGAAAAGATCTGATGTCAGAATCGACTGCAGATGTTACCCTTTGACCGCAGTGATTTAACACTTCCTTGCCAATCTAGTCCTATTCAAGAGTAACAATGTGAGATACAGCCTGGATGGTTATTTAGAACAAAAAAAACCTTCCATACAACATCCTCAGATCAAGTTGGACTGATGTAACTCAAAGGTGAGTTGAACTTTACACTGAACTTGTGCTTATCCAATAAATCAAAGAAAAGTTACTAATAGCTTCACCATGCTTGTTGTTGATAATCCAATGTTCATGGTCCTCTCAGCCTACATTTATAATAGGAAACAAGTTTTCACCTTTAATATTACTATTACTTGGCTTCAGTGTTATTGGCATCTGTTATTAGAGGGGGAGAGATGGGCAGACAAATGAAACATTTGCTCAAGCTTGGCCACCTTAGGAAATCAGGCTTCAAAGGGGAAAGTTTGCATATGAATAGAAAAAAGAAAACAACTTACACCTTTTCCGTTTGATTTCCATCCATCATTGTAGCAATATGTCTTCTGGTATGGTTTTTTAGCGTAAAGGTAAGTTTATCTGACGCTATTTCAGCTTTGGCACCAAGGGAGAGATTTCTGTTGTAAGTAAAAGGGAAAACACATTGACAACCTACAAGGAGAGCATACCCTAAGCTGGGTGAGGCAGCTCCTGGGCTGCTGGGGCTGCAGAGAAACACTCACAGCTGATGATGTGCAAAGGCAGGAAGTGTGTGTGTGTTCTGCCTCTATGACACAACAGGGCCACCCTACTGCTGCTGGTGGCCTCCTGGCCTAGATGAAAGGCAGCAGTTAAGTAGGAGGTCACTGTGGTAGGTCTATAACACTTTCAGTCATTCATGTTCACAGCTTAACCCACAAGATACAGCCTGAGAGTGAAAAATGTCTCTTTCCACCAGTGGATGAATGCTTGTAGCTATGAAAGCATACAGGCAAACTGAGTAGCAGTACTAAAAAATAAAGTAAGGCCCAGAAATGATGGAGTGATGTAATTCACTAGTTAATAGTCTGTGCTTCCAGGAAAATAAGGGGGGGGGGATGGGGTGGGGGATGTAAAATAAAGTTGAATTAAGTGTGCAGATTCATTACAAGTCTATTTCTGACTGTAAGAACGGACCCAGCATGTTCAGAGCTCCCACAGTGATTCAGCTGAACTGCCTCTTGTGCATAGTCTTACAACAGTCCAGCTTCTACTTCCAAGGAAACATGTAAATATGGAGGCTGCAAAGGAACTTAATTTCCATGGAGTGATGACTTAACTCCAGTTTAATCCAGCAATCTACAGCAACCCCATCTGGCAGACAGTAGCCAGCAAATTATCTTGATGACTGGGTGTGCTCTAGCCAGAGTGCAACAACTTTAAACTTTAGGATGTCTCTTTCAAAAACTTCACTGTAAAGTTAGTTCACTGGGGCCAAAGAAGTCTCATGTGAGCAGACAAAGGTCTCAACAAAATGGATCAGTGCCATTGTTATGGTATTTGCACATAAAAATAGTTTGTGTCACTTCCAGACTCCCTTGATAAAAGGACCAAGAACTTCTGTTTGTATTTCCTCATAGGTTTTCTACTTAACTAGGTCTAAGTATTCACTTTCCATAAACGATAGCAACTTTGTTGTTAAGAGCAGTTCATTGGAACATCTCTGTCTAAAACTGGCTAAAATATTCTTATTTTTTCCTTCCTTCCCGTCAAGTCCCATTGAAAATTCCACCTGGACATTTTAAATAATCTCCTTGGTAGTGGCTCCACTTTTTTATTTTTTTGAGAACTGCAGGCTTCTAAGGTTTTCATGGGTAATAGAAGTGACTTCTCTCTGTCCCTTTCCCTCCTACTTTCAGTTTTTTGCTCTGCCATACAATATAATTTGCTAAACAACTAAACCAAAAATGCAGTGTGGAACTGTTCTACTGAGGTAATGCTTGGCAAAAGATACATCCACCTCATAACTTTGTTTAATTACCTCTGAATGGTCCATGAAATAACTAAAGTGAAATCAGCATCGAAGTCTAGAAGCCCCTGTATCATTTTCTTTCTACTGGGAGGGCTGATGGTCCATAAAGAGTTTGAATTTCCCTCCAGATCTGCTCGAGTTATATCTTCTCTTGCATAGCCCTCTAGAAACTGCAAAGCAGCCTGTAGGTGAAGAAGAGGAAAAGAAAATTTCAGTGCAGTGATAGTTACAAGACACAGAGCCACACTTCCCAGTCAGACAGATTTGTAAATGTTTGATTAATTTTAAGTGCAATGGTGTGCACTGATTGTTTTCTTCAGGTAAAACCTGGGACTTGAGATAGGAAGGGAAATCATAGACAAACTAAAAAGCAAACCAAAAATGGCCTCATTGTTTGATGGCCATGCTGGCCAAAGTGAGTCTGAAAGTTCATGAAGTAAACTCTGCAGAGGCTATTCAAACCCGAGTTAAAATTTTACTGTCTTTGGTTAAGTATCTTTCTGCATATTAAAGTGTCTGCAAAGGATAAAGCAACTAGAACCTTGCAACTTCCAAATGGATCTAGGTTACAATATTAGTGCTATTATACATGGGCTATTTTGTAGGGTCTAATATCAGGTTCTAATATCAAATTCTTTAATGGGCTAGTAGCAAGCACTTCTTTTAAAGTTATAACTGATCAAATGCCAGTTACATTAGCAATGCAACAGCTCCTACTAATTACTAGTCCTGTAGAAACTTGTGAAAGCTGGGCATGTTGCTCCATGAAACACTGAGACTATGCTTAAATGCTTTTGTTTTGACATTTTAATGTCAAAACATTTCTAGCCTACGCACACTTTCTTTTGACAGCACCACCATTCCTCACTGGAAGGTGAAAGATGTGTGCTCTAGGAAGGAGCGTGGGGCTTAAAAGGGCATAAAACACAGTTTTGTCCTCACAAGGTGTTTTCTTTGGCAGTCCACAAACAGCATCACGTCTCCTGAAGGTTTGTTTCATTTAGAGTGGAGGATTTTATTCAGACAACAGGACAAGTAGGGTTTCTGCCTTCCAAGATTTTGTGCAAAAATGTCTACATTAATAGTAGTTTGTTGCACCATAACCCAGCCCTGTCCTGACAAATGATGTGGCTGAACCTTTATTCATGCAAATCTTCTTTATAGAAATGTCTTGCAATGGATGACAGCCCTGATGACCACTTACAACTACACAAACAAAACTCACAAAAGGCTTCCATGGAAACATGCACACATTTCAAAGTAATGAGGTATTCTATGTTTTACTTACAGTGTTACCCCTATAGCTTCCTAGAAATTCACTGAACTCATTTTGATCCAAACTTTTGAGCTGATTCTGCTGAGCGCTCATGGTAAAAATAGGCTGGGAAACAAAAGAACACATGCTTATCACATTTACTTCACATTGGCTGCTACATACATACACAGCATCCTGCGCATCACAGTCCAAGACAATTATGGCACTCAATTCAACATGATGATGTTATAATCTCATTCCACTGAAATGCAAGTCACCTACAATTATCTTATATCTACCATGTGGACCTGTAGGATAATTTATTCCGTTTCCACTGCTGGTAGAGTCTGGTTTTAATTTGAAAAATAAGATAATATTTTTCATCAATGATTAATTAACATATTTTTAAACCCAAAAGGGGTGATTTGTGGAAGCTTGACAGATATCTTGCATAAAGCAGGAGGGTTCAGTTCAAGGAAAGGAAGAAGAAATAGCACAAGGAAATATAATGTAAAAAACAGAGTTTGCTTTTAGTGTTTCTTCTTTTTTACCTGATAACCTCCTAGAGTTATTGTGATTGATACATCTAGAGGCTTGTTGGTGATGCCTGCAACAGATTTGATTAAAGACATGAAGAGCAGTGGGAACCAGACAATACAAATCAGCAAGACGATAATCATGCCACCCATTCCATACTTCACAACTTTCTTTTTCTTCTGGCCTCTTGGCTGAGGATATCTCTGCAAAAGCAAACAGCAATATGGTAACATCTCTTCTGTCAAAGGTACACTTCATATGACTTTATGGGTGAATATATAATTATCTTAAGGCTTCCCATTTCTTGTGGTAACTTTCTACCCCATGTCAGGCCAGATATTTTGAGATTTATTTTAGCAAACCTGCACAGACACCCACTTTCTGATGACAACAGAGAAAAGTGACAAATGAACCCAAAGTGTGTGTCCAGTGTGAAGATTGTAAACCTATGTGATTTTGATTCTTCACAACCATAAAGGAGAAAGAATTTAGGTAGGATAATTTGATTTTTTTTTGTCTAAGTGCAATCATGAACTCAAAAGAACACAATATAAAATAATAGCAGAAACAGTGATACAACAATTTGTTCCAAAAACTGCTATCATAAGGGACACAGTTTCTTGTATTTGCACTTCCAAAAAAATTTATCTTAAAACACCTTAAGGCAGATTTCCTCTCACAGGTATTGAAATGCTGCAAACTCTATATTGTGGGGGATGGGGGAGGCAGGAAAATGGTTTGTCAGCAACTGACATACACAATTAGTAAAATGTCTGATATTGCACTACCTCCACATTCATTTCATACCTCACTTGAAGTATTTCTAAGAGTTGACAGGCTTGATCCAATCTGTTTCTAGTGAATTCCACACCAACTCAAATTAACTAATGTTTAAAATTTTGATGCCATTCCTAAAATCTGTATGTTGCTGATGTAATATCCTTCTTTTTCTCTAGCTTCTGAGGACCAAAGTGACTGCTTGTCTTCTCCCTTCAAAGCAGATCACATGGCATGTCTGTTCTGCCTTGCCTGTAATTCCTGTCCTCTGTTATTTGCCTCATGACTGAATACTCTTAATACTTTCACCATCCTGTAAAATTCTTAGTTTCACTGTAATTTATTTTGGTCTATATCTCTTACAAGATTTAACTCTGTAGTGTTTTGTAGCCTGTCCTCCATGCACAGCACACCACACATGCAAAATAAAGATGCACTGTACTGCACTGCACCTCAAACACACCAGGAATCTGGCTTTCAGGAAATTCTTCTTGCTTTGCAACATGAAACCATAAAGCCCTATGACAATATTGCATTTGTAGTACAATGTTATATTTAAAATCAATTATTTACTTTTCAAAAGCAGTGTATCAAGTCATTTGTCTTGTGCTACAGAATACTGTTTTCATTAAAGTATCTTATCTAGATCAGCAGGGGTATATTATTTGTCTGCAGGAGATTAGTTCAGGAACTTCTAATGATGTTGTAGAACATCTCAGAGAGAGTCTAGTGGTCCAAGTACTTAGGCATAGCACTCAGTGAGAGAGAGGGAGAGAGAGCCAAAGTACCCTGAACAACACTTGGAAAATCGTGACACAGTTATTTTTCTGTATGGCATTAGCACACACATGCCAGCTTAGACATGGAAATCTTCCCATGTCAGATCTCTGCTACACGTAATGTGAATCGTAGCTTAAAAATGCAGCGAGATGGAGAGTCAAAGTAGAGCTGGGTTATTACTTCTCCAACTGCTGAAGTCCTTCAGAACTCCTTCCATCCATGGCAGAAGTGGGAGTCATAGAGAAAAAGCCTATATGCAAGACTTGTGTGCACTTTAGCTCTGATCTACGTGATATACTTAGAAAGCAATTGCCATTAAGAAACAGGATTATAATATAAGTAGAAATACGTCAGTAACACTTAAAAATAAATCCACTTCAATACACATGTAGAATTTCTGACTGGTTTGGTCACTCTTAAAATAATGTTTAATTTCTTTTTCAAATTGGCAAAATAAGCAAGCATATGGTTGCAATCTTTATAGCAGTTATAAAGAATCCAGAATTTGCAAGTTTAACTTAAACTGAAGCTTAAATGATTTAAAGAGACTGAAATTTCAGTGAGACAAATGGTGGGTTTATCTGGCCTGCAGTTCAGTTCTGGGTGTGCAGGGACTCTCCTGAGATAAAGGGGCCAGCTGAGTTCCCTCTGCAGCTACATGAACCCAGTGTCCCTGGGACCTACTCTGGGGGCACGATCACTTCCTTCTACTGATATTTCTCCTCAGCTGCAGCTTCCCTGCTCCTCCAGGTTACTCATTTAGTTGTGTGTGAGACTGTGTGAATGCCAGGACTTCCAACCCCAGCCTTGAAACCCAGGCATGCAATGAAGCCAGCAGGAACATGCTTGTGGAGTTCACATTAATGGTGGAAAAATCAGCTGGGCACAAAAGAGAAGCTGTTTGAAGTTTTATTCGCGGCGGCTGCCAACTAACGTAAAGTACCCAACAGTCTGAATTTTTCTGAACACAAGTGCCAGGCATATCTTCCAACAAACTTTTTATGGTGAATTTCTCAGTTATTTAGGGACTCATGATTACTTCCCTTCTGCAAGGGGAGAGAAGGCCTGAATCACTCATATGGGGTTTCCTTACTTTTTCTGACTCTCGCCAACACTTCAGGATGAATATATGAGCATAGATATCTTCAACACAGATCCAGCTGGAAAGACTGAGAGTGGTATCAGTCCAAACCCAGTCCATTACTGCTCTCAACTCAGTCAAAAATGGAACTAGGCGGAACCTGAAGGGAGACCACAGCAGATAACTTGTCAGAAACAGAGGCATCACATCAAACAAGCACAGCAAGTGTATATATGACAAGAGGGAGAATTAAGACAACACAAAAAGAGCTTAATTGGGGATTCTGTAAACACAAATATGATCACATCCTGAAGCTGCCACAGCTCATGTTACTTTAGATGTTCTTGCCAGGCCATAAATAAAGATGCTTATGCATCATTATGTCCATAATGTGATTGAGCCACTGATGGAATGGTACAAGATTTCCTAGATTCCTCTGATCTGGGAGAGGAGCACATGTTTTCCACAGGACGGTGGGATTAATTTTGTATCTCTTTACACCAAGTGTTGCATGGCATCTTTGCAGTAGGTGGGCAGCCCTCTGCTGCATACGGAACTGGGCTTTGTGACTCAGGATCAAACAGCAGAAGAAGGTGGGAATCAACAAAAAGGAAATCAACATGCAAAGAGCAGCTGTTCAAAGGGCATCATTCCTTTTCCTAGTCCCACACTCTCCTGATCAACCACATCTCAAAGAGTATTTCATGTGAAGAAAGCTTTCTTCTGTAACTTTTCCTTGGAATGCAAGAAGCCCATACTGCAAATACTGTGAAAAGGCTGAAATTATTGCATTTTTTCTGTGAAATACATGTATGCTTCAAAGTGGCTTAATCAGAAGGTCACTGTAACAGTGTAAATGGAGGATGTGGTCTGCCTGTGTAAAACCACTTTTCACTCTGAGGTGATGTTGTGCCTGTTCCTTGCCCTAACACTCTGAACTCCTCAAGAGTTAAAAATGTGCAACACTTCTCAAAGCAAACATTTTTTTTTTGGTGCTTATTATTAAGTTCTTATTTCTCAGGTGTGCTGTCTTTCACTCTATTCCTTTCACCCACTGAGGCACAGCAGGTAGACCTGCTCCAAAGATCTCTTTGGGATTTGACACCTTACTACTTTTTAGGACTGCAGAACTAATAACATTACCTGTTTTCTAGCACAATGTGTAGCTCCTATTTCTGTTCATAAAGGTGATTTCTTGGAAGTATTAAAAATGTCTATTTCATAGGGAACTGAATGGCTGGTATATCAGGCTTCTAGTTTCAGAATGAGAGACGGAATTTTATGAAGTCTGCCTTCCAGAAATATTTTTTTCTTTTTTCTTGTGGACTACAGGGGACATATGGCATATACAGAGTGTGCTGTGCAAAATTTATTGTCTTATTTCCAGCAGTCTGTGAAGAAAAAGTAATGAATAACCCCAGCATTTCACTATAGCAAATCCTCATTGCACAAAAGAAAGTAGAAAGGCAGTAAGTCTGTGCTTACCCTTGAAATAAGAACAGGTTGACATAGTTATAACTTTTTGTGAGGAAGTTGCCAAGAACACGAGTTGGATATCCGCAGCGTATCTGATAAGCTGATAAGCCAAAATAAACACATTTCACAAAATACCAGAGCTGGGCAACTGTGTTCTGGCTAAATTTCCTGTAAAGGAAAAGATAAAGGAAAATGATGAGCTTTTGTATCTGCAAAATAGACCAAATAAGATTTAAATGTTTTTTTGCTCCTGGCAGTTTCCTCTTCCTGAGGTCCTGTGAAAAGGCCTTGGTTACAGACCCCATGGCAGAGTTAAATGAGTGTTTGGAAAAGACACTGAATGAAAAAGTCTAAAACCAGCATCCATTACCACCCCAGGGTCACAGGAGAGAGACTGGGAATAGGCTCCCCAAAGAGTGAAGGCTTTGGGCAGTGCCCTCTCCCTCGGGATGCTGAAGGTCCCTTGAAGTCTTTCTTGGCCCCCATGATGGCTCAACCCTCTGTGAGCCCTGGGTAGGGGCTCAATCAAGGCAGCTTTAGTGGCTACTTGTGTTCATGGCAGCACCTCATACAGGAATTTTAGATGGAATGACCTCTGAAAATATTTTCTGCCCTTCCCTGCTCAACTCAAGTCTTATTCCAACAAATAGTTCAGACAGCTCTTCACTTTCTCTTCTCTGGACTGAACTAACTCTCAGTCTCTCCTCACATGTACCATTCTGGTTGTTATTCAATAGCACAGTGGATCTGCAGCAGGTGCCTCATGATGGACAGGATTTGTCAGCCAGCCATAACTCAGTATTTTCAATTAAATCCCACTGAAGTATTGCAAGACATTTGCAGGGGTTTCTAATCTCACTTAGAAGGAATACAGGATGTTTCAAATGCAGATTTGAGATAAAGAACTTGATATAGATTTCCCAAAAGCACAGACTAAATTATTTTATTTCATAACAATTCTCAATGAGCAGTAGATCAGAAATCCATTTGAAAAATTTTTTTTTTTTTTTCAAATTTGGGCACAATTGCTACTGCACTTTGTTTTTGAGAGAAAGTGAGAGTTTTCTGTTTTCACACTATAAATATATTTCTTTTTCCCCAGTAAAATAACTTGACTGTTAATGAAGTGTAAGGTGCCCAGGTGACATACTCAATTTCCATGGACAGTCAAAGGAGTGAGGGAAATACTTCAAGGCAACTTAAAGTAGGAAGAGGGGAGCCGAGAGGAAAGTAGGAAGTAGGAAGAGGGTTAGTCAAAGAAGAGGGTTAGGGAGGGAACCTTAACACCTCTGCACTGCAGACTGCAGTGGTCAGTGCCCTGGGCCATGAAATGATAAATGTTAGATTTGGGAGCGAGCCTGACCAGGTATGTGACCTGGTCCATGCAGCGGATGACCACCTCCACATCATCTCCAGAGCCAAGTGGAAGGAGCACGGGAAGATAAATTTTCTTTTCAGAATAGACACATATTTCAGATGTTCCTCAGTTTAAGGAGATTTAAATCCACAGTTCACACATTCCAGGAAAGTGCTAAGTTACTGTGAGGGAGACATTTTCTACTCGCTCTTCTATAAAGCAGCATGCAGGAGTCCAGGGAGCAGGGAATTGGATCAGAGGCCAACATTGTCTCAACTGAAGGCTCTAATCACTCACAGGCAATTTCTCTTTCACCTGCTTGCATTTTGGCCTAAACTGAGAATCTTCCTGTGCATATATAACTAATTCTTCCTCAAACTTATATTGGCCACAGTTACTGCTGTGGAAAATGCATTCCAACTTTCTGCTTAGAAATGAGGCAAAGAAGAAACTTGATCATAATTCCAATGCCTAGCTGTAAACACCTCAAATTTAAATACAGAGAACTTGGTAGAGCATCAGTATTCCACCCACATTGTTTGTTGATAAGGCTTATACCTTTCTGTCACTCCAGGCAAGATAAAGAACATCCAGAAATGTATTCCGAAAACAAGGATGACCTGGAAGATGACTTTTCCCATGACAGTCTTTTTGAGGTACAGTGCTCGATCTACCACCATGGTACCAAACTGAATGAGCACCATCACCAAAAATGCTTCTGGGACCTGGTCCTCTGATAATGAAGAGGTGATATCAGCTGCAGCAGAATGTTTCTGAAAAGCAAAATATAAGGGTGGTCAAGGAAAAAGGACACTCGCATGATATTTAGCATCTACAACACATAAACCCTCAGCAGGATTTACAGATAGATGCCTCTGTGACATACCCCAAAAGCCCAAAATCCAAACACAATGATGATGAAGTCCACTGTATCTGCGAGGAACATCAGCACGTACACATCAGTCACGGCACTGTAGTCTGGATGAATAAGATTGTAGAAAAACTGTCTGATGGGCACGTACACCTGGAGAGTCCTAAAACAACATAGACCACAATGTGATTTAATAACACATAACTTGCACTGAAGAAAGTAAAGACTAAGTGTGGTATGATTAATATTTTTAAAGATACCTAAGATCTACTCTGACAGCCTTTACAGGGCTGCAGAGACACCAGTCCTTTGTTCTGGTTGCTTCTAAACCATTGTATTAGGATTTGTTCAGTAGAAATATACATAGCCAACCAAGGTCACAGGGGATATTTAGCTTTTTTATCAGGCAGATGCTATTTGAACAACTGCTGATTTGTCTGATGTTCAGCTGCTGGGACATCTGCATACAACAAACACTTGAATTAACATCACTAGCAGCCTGCTCCCTTTAAAATGCTGGCTTATTGCTTTGCTGTTTGGGACATCCCCCCAAACCCACACAACTCCTCATATTGCTCACTTTTTAACTGTAAAAGCCTTGGCTTTGATCATTTGTTCTCGAAACTTTTCCATGAGAAGCTCTTTTCTAGATTTTTGCTTGATGCTTAACACACTGCTTCCCTTCTGACTGCTGTTCCGTGTACTGGTACTTCCTGGAAAAATGGGAAGGAAAAAGAAGTCAATTCAAAAGAAAAGTTTAAATACTAAGACTAGAAAGAAATAGATCTTGAGATTTCCAGCTCATATGACTCCCACATTTGAAAGAAGCTTTGAAATGAAATCTGCTTTTCCCCCCCACCAGTATGATAAAATCTTGAGAGCATCCAGTAAAGGCTGAATCACTGGCAGATCAAAACTTGATTAATAGCTATAAAAAGAGAAAGTGACTAGCAATAAAAGCAAATATTTGATTGATCTGACTCAGTCACCTCAACTGGTGGTATTATATATATTTAGGCTAGGGTACCCCTGCACTTTGTACAAGACGGGGCATGTAATCTGTTTCAAAATAACAAATGAAAATATTTTCTTGATTCAAGTGTCTACAGAAGTAGGTATGAAAAATACATGTGCTTTGCATTCCTTTTAGCTGGAGATTATGCTGGACCAGAATTTCTGGACCTGGGCCACACTGAGCATTCCTTTTCCAGCTTTTGGATAATGTCATTTAAAAAGCTTAATGAATCACAAAGTATGGCTCTCCATTTGAACTTTAGGAAGGCTTGGAGTGTGTTCAAACATGAAGATACATTGGTTCATACCCTATTTCATCATTGAGAAGCAGCAGCATTCAGTAGCCCCTGGGAGCTCCTCAGCAACCAGCCCAAGGTTTCAGAAGAATGATCCTATGGGAAATGAACATTTGTCCTTCAAATCCCAGAAATGCTGTGACATTTACCTCTCTTAGATCTGTGTGAGGAGAAGCTGGACCTGTGAGACAGCTGGGATATGCTGCTAGAACTCTTCCTCCTGATGGCAGCCTGCTGCTCAGGGAAGTGGACATGGATGGACTCCACTGATGCGGCAAGATTGACAGATTTCAAAGAGGCAGAAGAGTCTCTCCTGCCTCCTGCCAGAGAGAGCTCATCATCAGTATCCCCTTTATTACTGGAGCTGTCTCCTTTCTCATCTTCATCCCACAGTCCATGGCACTAGGAGAAAAACAAGAAGAGAACATATCAAGACTGTATTTCTGTCGCAGTATTTATCACAGACATTGCTCAGCTCAGTCATGTGTTCACAAGGGAGAAAACAAATTCAACGTGTCAGGATACCATAGAAACATGTAGGTTGCAGAAGATCTTTAAGATCATCAGCTCAACTGTTAACCCAGCAATGCCAAGTCCACCACTAAGCCATGTCTCTCAGTGCCACAGCTAAACGTCTTTTAAACACTTTCAGGGATGGGGACTCAACCACTTCCCTGGGAAGCCCCTTCAAATGCTCAATAACCCTTTCATGGAATTCAAGAAGAAATTTTTCCTGATAACCAAATGAATGAGTTCTTTATAGCACACAGTGATTTAAAAAAAAATAAAATTAAATATTAAATATTTAATATTAAACATTAAACATTAAATATTAAATATTAAACAATAAACTACCTAAACCCAGATTACCTTTAAAATGGATCTGTGGAAGAATAAAGCAAGAAGCTGAACAAGATCGTAGTGCACATAACCCTCTTTCTTCTCAATGCCAATGATATTGGGTGGATGGTAAGGTTTGTCTTTTGTGTAATCCACATGTTTATTCCAAGGAAAGAAGCCAAACTGGAAGAAGTATTTGATGACAATGGCCACCTGTTCAGAAACACAACACACTTGGGGTGTTTTATAAGCATGTCAGATATAATAGCCTCATGACAGTAAGAGGGATAAAACACAACTACTTTGTCAGTTTTATGAGAACATAAACAAGCATACTCATTACTATAGAGGAATAACACTTCACATTTCTCCAGTAATAAAGTCAATCAAAATTCACCAACAGATGATACTCAGGCATTTGAGATACCACAAGCAGTGCATTCTGTCTCTTGATTAACTATATTACAAAGAACAGTTTGCAAACAGTCCATTCTTGTGAGAACTGCTTTACATGCCAGGAAGGATATTGCTCATTGCAATGAAGGAAATAACAAACAAGATCTTTCCATACCACAAAAATTGCTGAGGACTTTAGCAAATACTTGTATTACTATGAAGGGCCCAAAGCCCAGCCCCGATCCCAGAGATTGAAACCAGCCGAGGGACCATGCAAAGATTGCAACTTCAGTTTTCTGTGTTAGACAGGGGCTTGCAGTACCAGCAGCATTACCTCAGTGTAGACAATGGCTGTCATCCAGAAGCGTTTGCTTGGCCGAGGAACAGACAGCATGGCCCACAGGAATATAAGGATGGGAAGCACCAGGGTTATCATGGAGGCAGAGATCATGTGGTTGAGGATGATCACAAAATAGCACACCATTTCTGAACGGGCCACCAGCGTATTGTACAGGGCATAAATAAGGAGCAAGACCCGAGGCTGACCAACATAGAACTTCTCTGACTCCTCCAGCTCGTCATCACGAAACATCCTGTGAGGAGCAGAGTACCACAAATGAACAGAACATGAACTTCACAAGAGCTGCTTTTCAAACTGCTATTTTTCCTTTAGAAAAGTATTAAAATCTACTGCTCAGTCCAATGGAAGAATGAAAAAGGGGGGGATTTGGTATTATAATCAAATAGCCTGATTCTAAGCTCAGAAAACAAGAATTTCAGGCAAAATAAACTGTTCAGCTGTTTTTAAAATTTATTCAGAAAGAGAATCAGCCTGGCCTAAGCACTTCTACATCATGGATTTCCTACAGCTGTTCAACCAACATATCTCATGCAAATCACCAAATACTAGTATGGATTCACATCTGATTTATCAACACAGATAGGAATTTGGAGAAAAAACAGGAACATCATGAGACCTATGTTATGAATCGTCCAGAGGCATAAGATTAGAACATAAAAAATACCCATGACCATTAGATGTGTCCAATCTTCTGTTTATATGACTGAAATAAATATAAATGGCAGCGACTTTCATATAAATTCACAATCCTCACTGCTTTTCATAAAGTTTCCTGGCCTGAGAACAGATCTTGCTGAAAAGCAAAAATTACTATGGAAAGCCAGAAGACAAGACACTGCATCTGACAAAGTCAGATCTATATACCCTCTCTCCCCAGGTACAGGCAGGCTGAAAGGCAGTTCTGTGGTTTAAAATTTTGTCCCTGCTTCTGGGGAAGCCCTCCCCAGCTGAGTCAGACCAGAGAGCAGCTGCAGATGTGCAGGGGCACCATTCTCACCTCAATGCTGGTTGTGCTACCGAGCACAGTGTCTAAGGGGCAAAGAAGGGAACATCCTCTCCCTTATGAAAGCACCTAGCAAGGTGGTAAGATAATCCTCATCTCCCACTGGCTTCAACAAAAATTGCCAAAGGTCAGAGTTTCCCTTACAGTAATCAAAAATAATTAAAGGAGAAACATTTCCCCAGGTAGCCCTTGAGGAAATTCACTTGGAATCACAGCTGCCTGGAGAAGAGAAGCCCTCTCCACAAAGAATATTTAGAAAAGCCCTTGACCCCAAGACAATTGCAGCGCAGAAATTCAGTGCTAATCAGAACAATTAAATATGGCATCTAGGAATAAAGCAGAGATTTCTTCCAAGATGAAATTGAATCACTTCAGAAACCTCTAATTAGAACAACTGCGCAGGAAATGAGCTTCTTCCCTTAAACTAAACTTAGCACAAGGTCTGTATCAGAATTTGCAGGCTAGCTCTGAGACAAAACCCCAAAATAATAACAAAATTTTACACCTTGTGATCAACATCTTTTTCTGGTCAAGGATTCTTACTTGTTCAGGAGCAGCTCACTAGCTGTTAGCTCGTGCGTCAGTGGGGGCAGAATCGTGTCAAGTTTGTCCGTCCGACTGTCGTCTGGGCTCACCATCATGAGGCTCTTCCCAGCTGAGTCATCTGGGGAGCCAAAGGGAAGGTTTTCAAAGCTGACAGCTTTGCTATAGGAAGGTGGAGCTTCTGCATTGCTGTCCACTGTGGAGTACAATGGTACATCGGTATCAGGAGTATATGCAGCTCCTTCTGAATCCAGGCTATAATCTTCTACCTCCTCTTCCTCCAACCTTGATGCAGAATGAGCTCCTTCTTCCTCATGCTCCCCTTCTACCTCCTCAATGGTTTCTGTGGTCCCCTGGCGGGAATAGAGCATGGTGACCTGTGTGGGTTCACTGTTGGAGATGGATGAAGAGAGTCAGCTGTGTTTTACAAGAGTCATGATCAAGAAAAATTTGTTAATTGTACCTGTATGCAGACAGCTGAGCAGCCTCATTGCATTCCCAGGCCTTCAAAGTTTGTATGATCTGATAGAAAAGATATTATCCTGATCTCCTCTTACACAGATGGAACATCTGGGTCAATCTGTTCCCTGAATGACATCCCATTGAACTCACAGTGATTCACCATCTTTTAACACCAGCAAGGAGCAAATTAGTATTATCAACAAGAGGAACTACACTACCTTTCTGAAAGTAGCTCAAACATTTCTGAACAGAGTCAACACTTGCTGTTACATCTACTTAAGACATGCTCCATGGTGAAGGATAGGCAGCCATGGGATTTCTTCTAAACATGGTGCTTTTAATAATCACCGTATCAGTGTTGTATACAACTGGAACGTGAACTGAACACACACATATCAACTCTGATTCAAATAAAAGAGCACATAACTTGCTAGCAATAAGAAATACAAACCAAATTATGAAACTGGTCCAGTAACAGGATATCTTGCTTACCTTTAGATTGCCCTATGTTCTTCAACACAGTCTTCCCTTTTTCTTTACCTGCCTGCTTTACTTTGGTATGTACCTATTTCTGGATTCAACCCTCTGATGCACTCTGATCAGTTCTTTGCTTGATTTACCTTCCATACTCTTGGCTTTGCATAGACTCGTAGAATGGATTGGGTAGGAAAGTACCCTAGAGATCATCTAGCTCCAGATCCCCTGCCATGGGCAGGGACACCTCCCACTAGACCAGGCTGCTCAGAGCCCCATCCAACCCAACCTTGAACACTTCCAGGGATGCAACACCCAGAACTTCTCTGAGCAACCTGTTCTAGCATCCTACCACCCTTTGAATGAAGAATTTCTTCCTCATATCTAATCTAAACTTGCCCTCTTTTAATGCAAAGCCATTTCCCCTTGTCCTATCACTTCATACCCTGTAAACAGTCCCTCTCCAGCTCTTTGTAGTCATCCTTTAAATACTGGAAGTTCATTCTGTGTTTTCCCTGGAACCTTTTCTTCTCCAGGATGAACATCTCTCTCAGCCTGACTCCATAGGAGGAGTGCTCCAGCCCTCTGATTACATTTGTGGCCCTCCCTCTCAAGTATTTTTTTTTACCTCTCCCCTCTCCCTCTCCTCCTCTTTCTCTTTTCAGTCTCATTCCACTCTTTCTCCACAGGTTAGACAACAGGCACCAACTCAGTGTCTTTGTTGGCTGCATATCCCTGTATCTCAACAGAGACGAAACAAGATTTTGCATAACTCCTATGAAATTAATGGGGACATATTTTCACATAAACCATAATCTTTTAGAGAAAATTGGCATAGGCAAAGCTATCCAGCACTACCATCTTGTGCCAAAATTAAAAATTAGGCTTCCTTTTTTTTTTTTTCCTTTTACACTGCTTCCAAACTTATTGTGGCTATGTTAGATAACGTTACTTGTAGCAGAGTTTTAATTAGACCATGTAACACTTATGATGATGTGTGTTTGGATCACTCACAGTAGCACTCATCCTGGTTAAAATATACCAAATCATAAAATCCCACAATTTCAAAACTGATTGACTCAAAAAAATTGTTAAACGCTTTCAAAACTGAAAAACGATGCAAAATTACATGAAATTTCAGATTTATAATATTTACAAATGATTGAAACACTGCTTCCCAATGTCATTTAAATCCCTGGGTTTTATTTGCTAAAAAGTGAATGAACACTTCTGAGCAGTCTTCTCTTGTACTGGATATTAATAGTATTTGCTGCTTTTTCATAGCTATTTTCCCTTTCTTAATTCCAACACTTTACTGTAAATCAATGGTAAAGTAATCAAAACATATTTCAAAATATTTCCTATATGGAGAAAAATAAAAATTGAAAAACTGGCACAATGGTGCCTTAGTTTCTAAAATTACACATCTCAGTCCATATTTAGGATAATTGATTAGCTGAGAAACTTAACTTCCAGCTTCCAATTTAAGAACAATCATCAGCTCAGTAGCTCTGCAAATAAGACACTTTTTTAGCTGAACAAATACAGACTAGCCTGTTTTTATAAACCCAGCATAATGTTATGGAACAACTTTAAAAAATACATGAGCTGAGGATGAAAGCAAAAAACAGAACAAGGAGTGAAACAGCAAATGGATCCTAGATTTTGATCCTGGCTTTGAATCTCAGAACCGTGCCACGACACAGGAGGGAGGAAAGCTTCCTGTAACCATGCAAACCACTCTGCACACCACACACAGAACCATGTACACTGCAGTCAGAATAATGGTATGGGTAAACAAGTGAACAAAGCATGCATGAGTTAAGCACCTTGACACTATACTGCCACTGTCAGCTGATGAGGAGGACATATCCATGCTCTGCATTTTACGAAGCCTAGGTCGGGCGCGCTCACTTGTTTTAGGAACAGAGTCTGGTCCATCTAAATCATCAAGGGTTGACTGCCTTGAGAACAGCATGGTTGCTTCAGTGTAGCAGCTACAGCAGCGCAAACAGTTATAGAGACAGTGTTAAATACAAATGGTGTTATGATACACACGGTTCAGTAAACAAATATGCTCGCCATGCAGCTAAACGCTGACACAGAGAAAAACAGGTCTGAGAGGAGATAAGGATTTGTTTAGAGTCACCACACACTCCTATGCACAGGTTAGTCATGGTCAGTCTCATGTAGGAGCTATAGAAGGCCATCTATTCAAGCAGATATGGGACCAACATAGTGCTCTACATGCTTTCCAGGGGAACAGACTTACATATGTGAGCAGGTTTTATTTTGTTTACCCCTGAAATTTCCAGATTCCACAAAGATGTTTTGGGAAGGGACCTCCTCTGTACAAATTCTGTTTTATTACTGATATGCTTGCTGAACCTTTTTACACAGGTACAAGCCAATTTCCTAAAAGAGCCCATAAAACTGAGTAAGCTCATATTCCACAAATAGAAAAATAGCTGTCAGACATTGGCTAATCCTCTTTCCAAACCAAAGAGCCAAATCGGATATGTTACTTAGCCAGTAAATGCATGCCAAATATAACTTGCCCTGCATGGGATGGCTTTTATTTTGATATTTACTAGGAAGCCCTGATGATTCATTCCAGAAGATTTCATTTATTTCAATCACTGCTTAAAAGTATTTCAAAATTGGTAACATGCACATCTTGAAATAAAGAGCAGATATAATAAACCCTTATCTCCTTTCACTTATCAAATACAACAGGACACCAGAGACATACACAATAGATTGAGCATTCATGTGTAACCGGAGAAAAGAAGAACTGGGTGAGTTATGAGAAGGAAAGTACATAATTAAATACAAGCATTTAACTGAGCAACCAGAAAGAAGCAAATACATTAATGGCATATGATAGGTAAAAAATTATTTCTCCTGAAAAAATCTCTGACAAACACAGATAAAATGAGTTGAGTGGCCGGGTGTAAACACATGGAGTGACCTGCCTGAGTCTCTCAGATAGAATGAAAGAAGAAAAGACTCCAAAATTCAGGATTTACACTCTACTTTTCTTCTTTTGACTCCATCTGTGTTACACCTGAGCAATGGCAGCAGGGGATTTGCTTCCTTGGCAAGCATGATGTTTGTCCAGGGGCACAGAGAATTGGGAAAGAGGTCAGAAAGGAAGGGCAACAGTGTTTTCCACGTTCCTTTGGTCTTGCTATCTTGAAGTGAGGAAAAAAATCTGCTGGCATGAAGTCACAGTCTGCAACTATTGCCTTTAGGAAAATGGGGAGGAAAGAGCAAAATATGTGGAGAGAAGTTATTCTTAGGCTTACCCTCACTGATGATCTTTTTTGACAGAATGGCTTTTTGGACTGAGACTAAAAGCATACCTTGGCCTTTGAAGAGAAGAAAAGAATCACCAAGATACCAAAAGTATTGTGAAATACTTTTCCTTAAGAGCCACTTCAATGGCAGGGGCACCGCTGTCCAGCCAGTTCACTTGGCCAAAACCCCTTACAAGCCACTTCATTATTTCTGTGTGAGCACAAAGGCACACAAGGCCCTCCAGACAAAACCTGGAGGGCTGTCTGCGTGGCGTGTGGTTTATGACAGGGGAGCAGGTCTGCCCTGCAGATGTGATTCAGCATCACAGGAGTTCAGTGGAAGCTTGGTGTTACTAACCTGAGGGGCTCTTGAGGGAGGACGTTTCCCTCTGCACATACAAACACGAGACATAGCCAGGCTGTTCTGTCAGTGAGGTTTTGGTGCTAAAATATGAGGAGATGGCAGCAAGTAGACAATACAGTTTTGCAGATGACCTTTCTGTCTATGTCCTATGATGTTTTATGTACGTGTCATTTCAGATCTCAAGGGCTGAGTTTATTCTTTTGAAGGGCAACACTTAATAATAAGGTGTTGAAGGACTTTAAATGCAGACATAGTTCAAAGCGAACTGTCCAAGAGACTTAAGCAGAACAGATGTTTATGCTCACATGCCTATTCATATATTTTCAATGGAAGAAACATATGCCAGCTGCCCTCCCAAACATGCCAGATCTGACCTTGCTCCCAGAAAAACCAAAGGAAAAGCATTTATTAATCCTAATAGATAAAAACATTTGTCTGGATGAGTGCCTGCAACATTTGGTTTAAAGCAGTTTTAAATGAAGAATGAATCATCAGGTTTTAAATGAAGAATGAATCATCAGAGTAATTACTGACTGAGCAGCTGCACTATATCCTCAAATATCAGGAGATGTGTGTGAGTTGTCACCTGTAGCACAGTCTGTGTATTTGTTATGTGCTTTAGGAGCATGCCCCCAAACGTGGAGAAAATGAGAACACCAGTGAAGTGGAGAGATGCACACTGCAAAGCTGATGTTGATGCAAGTCATTGCCTCTCACATAAATTTGATCCAAGCATATCTTCCTAAGTGATTTTTAGAATTTCTGTTGGAGATCTTGAAAGCATTAGCCTCTTAAAATCATTCAACAACTACGTATTTTAAATTGAATGCTCATTAAAAGCTCCAAGTTCAAACATTTTATATAAAGTTCATAAGGTATCCATTTTAAATAGGGATACATATATAGCACATATATAGCAGAGATGTTTTTATCCTTAGTGAGTAGGAAATTTTTAAGTTTATGACTTTTTGTTAAACAAATTTACTCTTCACAAAGAGTTTTTCAGCTTAGTGGGTGAACTATCTTTTCTATTTTTTTTTTCCTCTCCATGGGCTAATTACTGACTGGCATAATTTGTTTATTATCTGTATTACTACATTCCCAATGCCTCCAAGAAAAAAACACAATCAATCCCTAACAATCACAGGCCTAAACTGGACTTTAATCCAGCCCAAAGAGGGGTTCTCCTTTCTTCTGCCTCCCTAGGCAAAATTATCTCTCCAGTCCTCCCTGCCTCAAGCCCTATTCTACCTACTAGTGAGGGAAGCACAGACAAAAGGTAATGCTCTTAAACACCCTGATAGGGATTCTCTCCTTCAGCTCCTATAAAAGTCTACACAAAGACAGAGTTTCTTTCAGAGGAACTGAAAATACTATTTGTGATGGGCAAAAAATAATACAAATTGAACTGGATACAAAAACTTAGATAACCTGAAATCTGACCTGTGTGTAGCTGGTATTACACAATTGTATGCAAAGCCCCAGGAGGGAAGCCAACTAGTTTTAGTAAGTTCCCAATCATCTTACTGAAATTCACAGTTTTTTAAACTAATAAACAGGTCATCAGTCAAATGGAAACAAACTGCAGCAAATGCTCTGCCATGCTAGATCCCAACCCCTTCTGGTGGTGTTCCTCAAAGAGCTTGGTAAAGGAACAGCATCAGTCCCTTCTCCTGGCCCATATGAACTTTGTGTTTTGCCTTCAGGAAACATGAGAGTATTTATATACAAAGAGAAACCAATCAAATACCCTATGAATACCTCATAGTTTCTACTGTGTAGAGAAATGACTGAGAATAAATGACAGCCCTATTAAAAGAAAACAACACAAAGGACACTCTACATAACTCCTTTCAGTAGTTTACCCAGGCTAAGAAAAACATCCCTCAGTTAGACTTATGAGGGTCAGCCCTGAACTTCACAAGAAATTTACAGTTCCTGCAGCTGATCATGAGAGTTTTTCTCTTTGGCTGTCCAGTGTTTACCTACAGTAATTCCTATCCCAAGCACTAAGGATTATGTCTTATTATAATGGAACAGCTTCTGTGCTTCAGCATTCCTGTGTGCTTGTTCACCTTACTCAGGGACCTAATGTCCACTAGAGAATTTCAACACTACAGGATTTTTAGCAGTGCAACCAAAAGATAACCAGAACAGAAACACTCTGCCCCTTCCCAAAACTTTTCCATTGCAACCTGAGATCCATGATCACAGGGATGTCTTAGATTTAATTAGTCATTTCTACATTTACTGGAAATCATTACTTTAAAATGCAAACTGCCACCTGCTGTTGTTTGGGCAATTAGAGAAAATCAATCAATAAACTCATAAGAATTTAAAAATATTTCGCTTTTCTAAAAGATGATATGGACACTTCTGTAATCCTTGGAGAGATATGCAAGAGTGCCCCATTGTGACAGATGGCATTATCATTCAATCAACAGACTCATTATTGCTTCCTCTATTATTATAGCAGATGTTCACAATTTGTAATACTCAGTCCAAGAATATTTGATTGTTGATTACCAGAAAGAGAATTTGAGATTAGAGAAATCAGTCATAACTCTGTCTTTGCTATTACTTTGTTCATAAACCCTGTGACAACTTTGAAGGAAATGGAGATGACAGAAACCCGTGTGAAAGATTTAACTTCTGTTGCAAAGCATCACCACAGGATCACTGAATTCTCTGAGTTTGAAAAGAGATTTTAAATCACCCTGTTTAAAGCAGGGTTAAAAATGGGTGGTTATTCTTAAAAATAGCAAACCAACAACACACAAGCTGGGTTCAACATTGGATAGCATCTCATTGAAGAGCATCTATACATTAAAATTACAAGACTAGTTTTTCTTTAAAAAAATTTATTTTGGAATTGGCTTCCCTTTGTTTATGGTTAAAGCTCCTGCTAATGATTTTATACTAAGTTTACTAATTAGTATACTAGTTTACTACAGATAGAAGTATACTAATGTATACTTCTATCTGTAGTAAACAGGATGACCAAAAATAATTTAATGAAAGCAGGACTGATATCCCTATTTATTCTTTAGGTGAGACTGAAGGAGTTAAAGTCTGTGGAGTTAAAATCTGCCCTGCAGATATCAAAGTGGGTCCAAGTGAGCTGGAAACAGAATTTGACTTTACATTTTTTCTTACATCATCTGACTCCTGTAAAACTTTGAGACAAAACACAAAGGTGTTGCTCAGTTGGGCAACAAGCCACTGAGAAAGATTTGCTCAGATTTGGTGTTTTTACTGGAGTGAACCTCTCAAAGGTCAGTGCTCACTAAAGAGCAATTTGTGGATATTTTGTTGAAGCATAATACTCACAGACACTCTTACCCTTGCATTTCAATACTATCTGAAAGGAAGACAACCCCTCATTATTTTCATTCTGCTGACATCTACCCATATCTCATTAGTAAAAGCTATGCATAATTTACTGTACACAGAAGTTTCTGAGTTTGCTGGGAGTATCAAACACGATATGATACTGCCACAGTTCACAGGAGAACAGGACACAACAGAAGACCAGGGATTATGAAACAGCTGGACTTCCAAAGCCCTCCCTTCTCTCCCTCATGTTATACAAATTCTGCAGTATCTTAAAAGTCAAGAACTCCAGGGACATGGTGGGAACAGACTGCCTCTGTAAGAGAAGGAAGTGAATGTGTGTGCCTCTGTGTGCATGAAGCAGCAGGAGCAGGCAGTAATTTTGGCAAGGGACTTGATGGCATCCGTTTTCAGAAAAGAATGAGGAAGGTGGTTTTCCTGAACTAGTTTGGATATTTGATTAACAAACGTGTAGCTCTGCTGGACTGTAATCATGGCAGCTGGGAAACCAAACTCTGAGGCTGTTCAGATGGGTTTTGCCCTGTGGGTGCAAGAGGGAATTTTGTTCTTTCAAATGCAGAATCTCTTTCAATGCAAAGCCTTTTCCGATTTGCCTTTTCCAATTGCAGACAACAATTTATTTTACAAAGATGAAATATTCACCATAAATGATCCCTCCCCAAATTACATGCCTAAAATCCTAAACCATTATCACAGAAACATCCTCAGCACCACTTACTTTCCATTTCTTTTCACAAGGAACAGAATGCCAATGCCAATGATTCCTAATTCTAGGGGAAACTGAAAACAGTGGGGTAGTCATGCAGTAGAAAAGAAGTTAAGCCAAAAAGTGAGTCCATCACTATAAAGGAATAGTAACATGTTATAATTTTCACTATTAAGATGGCATGGAGAAATCAAAAAGAATTCAACATTGATTAGAAAGTTCATCAGTACTTAGACAATATCTAATATTACGCCTATTTCACAATTCCTCTGTCTTTCACAGAATAAAATTAATTCAATACCTGGAGATGCTGTCATGAGATGCTGCTGAATCGAAACTATCCATTCTTTCAGATGCTTGCAAACCAGAAGCTTGACTGGGATTTTTATCAATTGAGTCTAGTCCTGACTCCTCAGAAAGTTTCATCATATGGTTCTGGTAATACAAATGGATGCTCTCCCGTGTCGGAACATTGCCCTGTGGAAGAGAGGAGAGGTAGACATACATGGCCAGGGGGATGTGTATTCTTTGAGGGAGCAGTTTCTTCTGTCATTTGGCAAGTAACAGGTTAAGGACTGTGCAAACACCTTCCTAGAAAATAGCAAACTCACACCTGAAAAGAGTGCAAGTCAGATTTTGACTTAACCTACCATGGCCCAATGTGTTTGGCTTTCAAGCAAAACTGGAGCAATCCACGTGGTTTCAGACTATATTTAGCCACCACAACTCTGCTGGATGGCACTGAAGATCCTTCAGCATGGGAATGAGGAGTGGACTGAACCCGTGACTCAATCTGCGCTGCAGCAACTTTGGATGGATCTCTTTTAGATAGCTTTACTGACTCTAGGAACACTTGGCCAGTAGCCAGTAGCAGAATTTTTAAACAGAAAAAAAAGCCCAAGAAACAGTTAATGTACAGACTAATCTAGATTTTAATTAGTGTCCCAAAATAAAAAAAATATTCATGAATTATGGACACAGATGGAAAACCATGAAAAAAAACCACTGAAGACTTTTACTCTTTCTCTGTGACTACACAATCAAACAAGTTCATGAATTGATAGTTTTATTAACTGTCAGACCAGATCTGGGCACAGAATCAAGTCTCTGGCTATGATATTGCAATCAGAATTTTAAAGGTGTATCATAAGAATAAAACGGAGAATTTTCTGTTCTTGGGCAGAAACACATTCAACTCATTCCACTAGTGGTTGCATTGACTTCAGATGATGCACTGAGTGGGGAGGTTATTATTCTTGAACAGTAATTTTTTTAACCTATAGTGAAGCCTTATGCAAGGACTTTTCCCAGCTAAGATAATAAAAGTAGTCTAAAATATTGTCTGTATTTCCTTTACTAATTTTAATAGTTTCTAGTATTTCAACTACAGTCCTCTACAGTGTCCCGAAACTCCAATACTCAAAATCTGATGTTTTGTGGAAAAAAAAAAAATAATTAAAACATCTTAAGAACAAAATTTGACACTCAGGTTTTTAATTAGGTATGCTTGTGTACAAGCTGTGTTGCTTCTGCAGTGGTAAATGTCGGTGCCATTATGACATCCTGACTCTGAAACGAGGGTACAAGTTGCATTCTAGCTCCACCACAGGCCTGGCATAAAGGATAAGAGTTATATCATCTATTTGCATTTGGAAGATCTAAATACATTTCTAGTTACACTAATATTAATCTCTGCTAATAATGGGTTTTGCTAATAGATATAGCTTGTGAAGGACCACATAGCTCCATTTTCTCTGAAGAAATATATGTCTGTATGTCAGTTATTTCCAGTGCAAGTTGATCTAGAAGAAGAGTGAAATATGCAGACTGAGGTAGTTTTTGAGCTGTTTAAAATGCCAGCCTTTTCCTACCTTTTTGAATCCATTGTGTCCTTTCAAAACCACAGTGTACTACAGAAATGTTTCAGCCAAAACCTTACATCAACCCCTCAAAGAATTATTTTTCCCTTGTTTTGTGTCCAGGTAATAAATCAAATAATTTATTATTTAAGGATTTATGAACCAGCAAGCAGTTAAAAAGTCCAGACTTATTTTTAAGATGCACGTGTATGTCAAATTTTCACAATTTTCCTCCTCACTGCTGTGATCTGAAAAGACAGCCTTTCATTTTTCACCAAGCTGGAAATGGCATTAGCAGACAAAAAAGACTGAAGGCGTTACCTTCTTAATCTCCCTGGTCAGCATACAGCGCTCGATCCTGAGCACAGTGGAGATATCGATGTGCTCTCTGGAGATGGAGTTAAGCCAAGCTGTGAAACTGTCCAGCGTTGCCAGGAAAAGGACCCAAGTAAACTTCAAGATATTAAATATCCTCTTGATGATGTTATCTAAGGGAGAGCAAAGGTAACAGAGAGTTAATGAACACAAATATCTTCTATTGCACTTTTGCTTGGAGTTAGATTCATTTTTCTTTTATTGTCTAATAATAATAATAGTAATAATCCAGGCTGCAAAACCCTGTCATACTAAGGAATCTTTGAAGATGGCTGGAGGCCTTTTGGCTGTCTGGACCATTTTCCTGACTGTAGGCCTAGGCTTATCATCTGGAATCCCTCTTCCACCCTGTAAGTCCTTGGTCTGCCACTCTTAGTCAAATAAACAGTTCCTGATTTTAGAGGGACACTGTATGCACAGGTCTGTGAAATGAAACCCAAGGATGTGGGCATCTCCTGAGAGTATTAATCCCCAGGTCCTGCAATCTGAACAAATGCTCAACCAGTGTGTTGAGCTGATCCTCTTCAGTTTCTCTTTGTGAGCATTCCTCTCCGCAGAAACTTTGCCATTTGTGCTTGAACCTTGCTAAGCTGAATTTTTAAAGTCTAAACTGCCTAAACAGTCTTTGAATCTGACCTCACATCACTTTGAATCACACTTCTCTGTATTCACTGTTTTTAAATCCTCTGTTTATCTAAGTAGGCTGCACTGTGCCATCAATGATCTCAGATAAACAAGCACAACTAGGACAAATAAATGGTATTTCTCATCCAAAAAGCAGAACTTTCAACTTATTTTTTTATCCACTCACAAACATAAACATCATACTAGAGTTTTCATGTAGTATTACAAGTGTTCATGGCCAGGCTGGATGGAGCTCTGAACAATCTGGTCTAGCAGAAGGTGACCCTGCCCATGGCAGGAGGGCTGGAACCAGATGATCCTTAAGTTCCCTTCCAACACAAGCCATTCTACGATTCCATGAATCTATGAAATACCAAAAAAAATTCTTTCCAATAGCCAGTTCCAGAGCTAGCTGTCCCTGCAAGGTGCCAAAGCCCAGAGCACTGGGTGTAAAGATGAAGTTTTGATTAAGCAGGCTAAGAAATTGTAGAAAACTGTCAATAATCTGCCGTGCGTGATGCTCTCAACAACCTCACTTCTTATCTGTACCACAAGATGGCATGCAAAACTCTGCAGAATGAGTGCACAGCTCCTTACAAAGACTGCAAAAGGAAAGCTATAATAAAGTCAATGATTTCTCTGTACAGGCAGAGTTGTTGCAGGCACATTTATGTGGAGAGAAACTATGGGAAAAAATCATTAGTGGTACTTTCCTGGAAAGTGGGTGCTGAAGTAGCAGTATGTCCCATTTACCTGAGCAATGCCATGGAACTGGTCAGCTAGAACTGAGCATAAGAACATTTAGCACCCTTCACTTGGTCATGTAAATATTTCAACAATATTTTGCCCTTTTTTTCAGGCCTTTCCTATGTCATTTACAATTGGAGATAATTTTATGAGCTAGCCACATCAATCTTATCCATTCACTGTGCAGGTTGTGAAGCTAAGGAAATCCTGCCATTAAAAACTAAATGTAAAGCTGTTTCTACTTCTAGGACCATCCATTACCTTTGCATTCCAGAGAATATTATGAGTAGGTAAAAAGAGAACAGCACACATACACAAAAATATATAGCATATATTCTTTTTTAACCCACACTCTTCCTCTCCAATATGTAACTTCTGTTATTGACTTCAGGAGAAGTCACTGCTCTCCAGTTAAAATTATTTTTATTATTGACCACCACTGGCCTGGCATGGTGCCAAGTTCTTCCAGTCTAATCTGAAAGGTCATTTTCCTCCCCGGATGGAGGTGTTTTAGCATACATTTTTAATGACACTGTAGCTGTTCTGGCACCTTTGCTGTTCTTCAAAATTTTTAAAAAATAATCTTTTGGGGATCAATTGCATTTAAACATATTCAAAAAGGGAAACAAAAACTTTGTGCAGAGAAAGCTCCTTTCTGCCTGAGTGCGAGATAGGATTCCACCTAAGGTTATTAATGACACCAATGATACTGGCTAATTTTTCAGTATCTTCTTTAAACAAATTTTACCTAGGTACAGACAAAGTAATTCAACAAAAATATAAAGCACTTTAAATTTATTATTTCCAATATAAATTAATTATAAACCTCCATCTTTTCCCCAAAACTCCTGTGTAGCACCAACATGACATCCCAAGATGCATTTGTGTGATTCACTTCAGTGTTTTAAGACAGATAACTGCATTGCCAGTAAGTAACAAATAAAAACCCACCAATCCCCCCCAGTTCTCATAGCAATGCAACTCATTTATTTGAAACCACTGCTCTAGTGATATACAAATGGTATCTTCCACATCCTTTTAGCCTCTTCTACCCTGTAAGTCACTCAGGGACACAATTCTAACTGGAGCTGTGGGAAACAATTTCATATAGAGAAGAAAAGTAGATTTTGATGATAAAGCGTCACTCAAGGTAAACCATGATGAAGATTTACTTAAGAGGAGAGTCTGTTCTCTTTTTTAACTCCAGTTAGAAACAAGGAGAAGCCAAGCTTGGATTTATGATCTATTACATTTCTTTGTAGGAAAAATTTGAATGCGGGCAAGATCCTGAAAACTGCTGTCATTTCTTCTGTAATACAGAACTGCCATAAGTCTGATTTTGAATGAGAACGTGTAAGATAAGGAACATAGCTTAAGTTGTTCTGTAAGTAAAATACACAGCAGTGATCAAATCTGAGCTGGCAGGTGTATTTGGTATTTAGAGAGTGAGTGCAATAGCTAATAGTCCAGAACTAGAAGTTCCTATGCTCAAGGCTTGTAAATCTTGCAATAGAAAATCTGATATTACTTAGGAAGCTCTTCCTGCATCAGTCAGAGTGGATCATTGCAATGCTGCCTCTGTGACAGGCCACAGGTCACAACTGCGTTTTAACAGCACAGAAACCCCCTGCCTTCGTACCTGGTCCATCAGATTTCTTTTTGACAGGTTCCTCTTCACTGTCCTCACAGTCTGCATCATTGCCACCTCCTGCAAACAATGAGCAAACCAGTGAGTGTTACACCTACAGAAGTGCTGGTGTAAATGCCATTCAAGCTAGAGAATGCTACAGTTCCTAGCAGTAGCAGTAACCTCACCTAGCAGCATAACAGAAAGCACATTCCCATTTCTAAAGCACTCAAGTGAAGGGACAACCCTGTCAGTAAAGGTGGTCATGGATGAACATCCCTCTCATAATTTGCAGTCATGTTCTCTTTCTAGATAGGCTGCTGGGTGAGATCATCTACTGGTGGAAACCCAGATACTTTCTCAGTCACTCCTCAGCCACACTCAGCAGCCTCACCTACTGCTTACTCATGCTTGAGCTCATTTCTTCACCCCCTGCAAAGGGAAACCTGAGCAGTGCTCTGATCTTCTCCTGCCTCTGGCCCACCAAACCTGAAGGAATTGAAACATTCAGGCTGACATGAAGCAGCAGAGTTGTTTTGACACCACCACATGTATTTGTTTAGGCCTCTAGCAGAAGAGTGCTGTAGATTGACAGGCAGAAATGAAAGGCAAAAAAGCAATCCTGCATCTATCCAATGCTCAATAACTGCAGCTACAGTTTCAGTGACAGAAGCCAAATTATACAACTCCTTTTTTTTAACAGGCGAAGATGGCAAACAGAGGAAACATCTAGTTGATTAAGCCGGTGTGCGCCCCTCTTTTCTCCATCTATACCAACCAGAAGAGCTTTTGAATTTCTATTTTCTAATTAAAAAATGGAGAAAAAGTTCAAGATATATAAACCACCTATAAACTAGTGGTTTTTTCGGAGGTATAAAAGATTTTACACTGCCAGTAAAGCCCAATCAACATTTGTACATTTTCCTTTTGCTTTCTACTGAATTTAGGGGGTTGTGGATATTTGGGGTCCTCAGTGACTACAACATGGAAAGTGAAAAGCCTTTCTTTATATTCTTCTTCATGTATCAACTTAAGCTTCTTTAGGGAACAATATAGGAAATGTGGCCAAAATAAATAATATGTGGCTATTTAATTGAGTATTTTTTTTACAGCTCCACTTGAACAACCACATTAAACAGTTCTTCAACACCTTTCCCTGAGAATACACATGACTTTACCATTGAATAGAGTGACTGATAAACTCTAGAAAAGCCTGGACAGAAAGATAAACCTTTTTAGGAGATTTAGGAGGGAGTGAGAGGGTAATGTCCTCTATCTTCCTGGTTCTGGCCATACACTTGGAGTTTACACTCCTGTATTCTGGAGAAATGCTGTTAAGTACCAGGTTACTTTCTTTATGAAGTCATGTCTTTACTATTGCAAGTACTCTCACAAATGTTTTCACATAGCTGATGTTTTCTGCAATGCGCTGAATCTTCCTACTTACCAGAAGTTCTGGGCATCTCTTACAACTCCATTTCTTGCAGCTTCCCCTTTACCTCCCTCAGAGCATGCTATGCAGAGCAGAAGGACATGACTACAGCTGACCTTGCCAAGGGTTGGTGCAGGACCAGACTGCCAACCACAGTTAACTCATTTTTTCAGTTCCTAGCCAGCACTGAGAGCACTTCTCCTCTAAATCTCATCTGCCCTTCACAATCGGGAGCAATAGGCAATAGTTAATATTGTGTTTTCTAAAATGGAAAAGGCTACCTACCATCCCCAGATCCTTTTCGCCTTCGCTTCTCTTTCCCAAAATTTTTCTTCTCTTTGCGCCTCTGTCGTAGAGCTGTTTTAGGGTCAGTTATCCAGGCTTGGTAAACAAACTGGAAGGGAAAAAAACCCCCTCATTTATATCAAGGTTCCTCATGCTCTAAAAGTAAGCCATAGAATAAGCCACAAGCAGGACTATATAGTTTGAGTAAATGCATTCTGTGGGGGCCAGGAAATATTTTCAATCCCAAATCAAACATCTCCCTCACAGATCTGCCGAGTTTTCATGCACTATTTTTGTAAGTGTAAAAACAAATGTGAATATATTAGTGGGTGACACATGTTTCATTAGAACCCACAAAAATTCATGCTCTGAACTTTGGGAATTAATACCTTTTTGTGCATATGGGCTACCTTGTCAGAAGCACTCAATTTTGCATTTCTACTTTATCATTTTACAGGCAAGATGCAGAGCAAAGAAAACTTTCATAGAAAGTGCAGCAATCCATTAATTAAAACATCAAAAGATGTAAAGGTTTACTGTACAGTTTAGATATTTTTCGCCCCCTCTGTAGGTCCCAGTGAAATGTTTACAGATTTGTTATCTGTACACAGTACCAAAACTGGCAGTCAGGAATTCCTCACATTGCTTCCTGATTTTAACAATGCCTTTCTCTGCTGTTTCAGATAAGCCACTTATGAATCCTTCTGCTACTGGTTTTCCAGTTGGAAAATGAAGACAGTAATACTTACCTATTTATCCAGGGTATTTTATGGGACAAAATCCTGCTCCCAGCACTCACTCAGACCAACACTCTGTTGACCTGTGTGACTGCATGAAGCATGGAATTGGCTCAAAATATTTATAAATTATATAGCAGTGGAGGGAAAAAGAAGAGTAAAAAAAATCACTGAGAAGTAACTTTTTTTTAATAGCTCAGCTTCAGATGTGAAGGAAGGTTACAGAAAAAAAGGAGCAAAACGCATATCTTTTATCCTTATGTGACATTAAATGTATATCAATTACAGAAACTAAAGTAACTTTTAACGCAAAAGGTGTTCTTTTTGCTCTTTCAAAGCTTTTCATTGAAAAAATGGTAATCAAATTGTCTTCTAAGCAAACAGGCCACAGAAACAGGGTAGGGAAACACACAGGTGCAGGCAAGGGGCTGAAAAAGCACACTAACAAAACAGCTCTAACTAATTCACAGCAGAAACATGCAGATGATGACAACAACACACATGTATCTCAGTGAAGCTGGAATTGCCCCTCATAGGACAGAATGCTACAATTTCTATTTAGTTTATTTATATTTTTAGAATTTTCCCATGGAAATCACTTTGGAACATTTAAGGTATTCTTTTAAAACTATTAAACTGACATTAAAGTAATTTAAAAGGGAGAAATACTTTGTTTTGTTTTGTGAATCTATACAGCCATGGAGACAAAATTATTTTTGTACTGTTGAAAAGAAAATCCTCTTCCGAATCTCCTAAAGTCTGTACATTTATTTTTATATGTCTGTTGTTCAAAACAAGCACCACATGGGTAAATGTGTGGGATCAGAGGACCTGGTTTCCCTTTGCTTTGTAACAGGCATTTTCTAATGAAGGTGATCTGGGGGAATGGTGATATTCAAATGAGCTAACACCATTTTACTTTACTGGAAATTAGAAACTGCCAACATCTTCTATTGTCATTTAATTTTGAAAGTATACACTAGCCACAATTATAGTGTGAATAAAGATATCAGAGCTAAAAGACAGACTTGGAAGAGGGTATAAAATTAGAATTAAGAAAGTGAATTTGATTTATAAATTTAATGTAACTACCTATGCTAAGCAGAGGGTATTTTAAGAGCATACTGGGTGCATATTAGTTTAGATTTCTACCTCTGCATGGACTTCCAATTTAGTATCTTTTAGGCTTTGGAGCTGATATTCTCAATCTGTAACATTCAATCCTTACAAAAGTCACATTACATAATGAAGTGGAAAGTGATACACAGTGCCCAAAGTTAGGAAATGCTAAATGCATTCAAGCAGGGCAAGAGAGAAGATGCATAAATCTTTTTTGTGATGATAAAGGCCAGAAGAGTAGAGAGGTAAAAAGGGATTTGGAGCAGAATATGTATTTAACAAACCTTTCACCAGCTTTCTGAGATCAATTACCACCGTGTCCATAAGATACATGCAACTTGATGTGACCATCTTATAAATCAGTATCAAAAGAAAATAAGAATTTGGGTCTGCATTTTCACTCTGAGGTTACACTTAAAAAAAGATAGACCACTTTGCTTGTGATTTGACCACTCCAAAATTATGAAACGCGTTGCATTTACTAGGAATGAGACTTTAGCAGTCATAATTTTTTTTTAATCATCCATATAAGAGGAAAAATGCAGATGAGGACAGAGACAGATATAGACACTATGTCAGGAACTAAGGGGTGGGTCACATAACTGAGCATTTGCAAAATGTCAAGTACCTTTGCTGCTTTGATTAAATACTGAAGAATAGTTTTGGGTAGTTTAATGATAGACTTTGGCAAGGCTAAAATGGCTGAAGCAAATTTTCCAATAGCTCTCTATAAAGAGGGACAAAGCAACAGTAGTTAGTAGAAAAGCAGAAAATATTAATAAAAAGGATCTCTTTAATTACTGTATCTAGAATACTAAGAACAAATTTACATTCATAAAATTCAATATGAGAAAAAGATTGTTTATGCTGTTCACATTAAAATTTCAATAATACGACTCTTAACTGCATACATTCTCTAATATTTAAAATCTCCAAGTTAACCCTTGAAGGGACTAAGGCACACAATTGACACTGAAAAGATCATACATTCAAATAATTCTTTAACAGAATCTACAACAAAGCTCACTTGGCTAGTATTTCTACTAAGACCTTGTGCATGATGATGCAAGGTGAAGAAAGTATGATGACCATAGGATGAACAAACCTTTCATGAAGAAAATCAGTTTTCTGTTTTATACAAGTCTGCTTATATAAAGCCACCCAGCATCCTCATATTGCACACTGCAGAACAGGCCACCTATCCAGAACATCTGACCAAATTTTGAAATAATGAACAGATCCTACATCCTCAAATTAACAGTTTCAGCCCTGAGATAACAAAAAATCCAAACCTCAGCATAAATGAGAAAATCTTGTTGACTGCTGACCTCAAGTTTAGAGCTCTTTAACTCAGTGCTTGGCACCAACACATCAGAACAAAATGCTGTCACCAATTTTTTAAAAATCAGAAGAAACAAGAATGCACCCTTTCCTCTATGCCTGCCTGGAAACCAGAAAGAAAAATGATCTAGGAAGTCATGAGCCATTTTTATGGTCCAAGGTAAGTTAAATATAAAGTATATTTAAAAAAAAAAAATAGTTCAATACTACAAAACAAAACTTATCACATTATTTTGATCCAGATTTGTTTTGCCCTTATTAGGGTCAGATTTATTTTTCCATGTCATTACCATGTAGGCAGTTTAATGAAGGTAACCAACTGCCAATGTAACGTAGTGTTAGAATATAAACCAAATCTCATTTTATTAATGAGTTAAATAAAACATTTCTTCCTGTAATTCAGTAATGTTGTCTGGGAAGCTTGGTTTGAAAGATTTTGGTTTAGGGGATAGAAAAGCAGGGAGGCAGTTTCTTGCTCTTGCTTGGGTTGAATGTTCTGCAATGCGCCAATTCGCCAGTGATGTGAGGCTGCATCTGGATAGGAATACTCAGCTGGAAAAAGCTGCTTCTTTGATTAATGCTTTGAAATTACAGACCTGAAAAATTTCTGCAACATTTCCAAAAAAATTCTTCCACAAGTGAAACCTTAATCTTAGGTAAAAGCAAAATCAATCCTAGATGTAGGTGTATTTCACTAACTTCTTCACCCACATTCTTCATTTAGGCCACTGCATTTGGTATCTGGTATTGTCTAACAACAGCCAGTCCACATAGAGGAAACTAGATAGGAAACTTCAAATATCTTTTTAACATTACAATATCCTCCTACATCAGCACAGTCTGGCACTATAAATGCAAATATATTAACTAACAGTGCCCTGAAAATGAAAGAAAAGAAATGGATGTAGTCTCCTTTTGTAATTTTAAATCTAAAGCACTTTCTAACCCAAGGATATATTTCTCTGGCCCACTAGGTTTAATTATATTTTAAAAAAATTAAGTGTGTATTTCTTTTCCATGAAAACACGCTTATTTTGGGGATTATTTCTTCATGGAATGATAACATCTCCTCAAAACTTAAAAAAAAACAACCACTGGAGGCATTGCAGAGTAGCACCAGAAGAAAGTCAACTTCCTCAACTGTCTTTATTGCAACGCAGAGAAAAGTAAAGCTTGGGTTCTCACCCTTTGTGTTTTGCATTGTTGCTGTCTTCAGGTGTAAGTGGATAAAGATATGACTCTAGTAAAGTTTCAGTAAGAATTTGGCAATGCATAAAGCATAAGGAAAACTTACGTTTTAAATTGGCAAGAAATTTAATTTCCAATACTTTTCAGGACTACTTTAAAGGAACTGGAAGCTTTAACATATGTGCCTGTATTATGAGAAGTGTACATTTTTTTCCCAGATGTCAATGAGATAGAAAATTACCATAAAGTACCTGAAATGCAGATTTTTTCCGAGGCTCTTCCTCTTCTTTTTTTTCTTCTTCCTCTTCCTCTTCACTATCCGTCTCAAACAAATAATAATTTCCACTTCTGACCACTAAGTGAAACAAAATATTTTCTTACTTTTCTGAATAGTTCTATTCTCAACTCCCCCAAGACCTATGAGCAGGTAACCAGTCATTTAAAAATTCATAACCAGGAGAGGTGAAAATAGAGAAGAAGCAAGAGATGAAAATGTCTCAGGCCATTTATTTGATGTTAGTCTGCAATACTGTGGTCATGAATAAGAGCTATTACAAGAACTAAGGAAAGCATTCCTATAAGAAGAAAATGTAAAGAAAAGGATTGAAGTTTATCAAGTTACAAGGTTACATTTTTAGAGAAAAATGACAAGTCTAAATTTACTGGGGACTTAGGATTATTTGAGGGAGTAAAAAAAGCCCAGCAGGTAAGTAAATTAACTTACATGAACAGTACCACTGGACAAAAAATACAGAATTTCTCTTTAAAACATTGAGGCAATATTTTAAACTAGGTAATGGGATGGTATTAGTTTGATGAGGTAATGGAAAACCTTGGCTTGTTTAAAACAAATCACTCAGATTCTCTTAGCATGATTGCAAATGAATTTCAATTTTTTGCCCATGGATTCAGAAAGATTCTGAAACCTTGATACAGCATAGGTACACAGTGATTAAGCTAGGCCTTATATCCTTGAACAGAAGCAATGTTTTTATTTCTCAGATGGCAACAGGCCTACATGAACAAACAAGGGAAACAAAATAAATAAAAACAAGGTAATGAGCAAGAGAAAAATAAAAACCACAGCATTACATACAGCAGTGAAAACTGGTCATTAATTTCCACATTTAAGCTGAAATATTTGTAACAACAGTTACTTAGATGAAAATTTACAAAATCTGGATATATGGAGCCATACATATTTATATAAAATTATATCTATCCATCATTATAGGTGTTTGGAAAAGTAACAGTTGTAATTCAATCATACCTTGAATTCTACACAGGTCCTGTGTGCACAGATGACCACATAAAACTACTTAAAACCCTAGGGTAAGGCTGTGCAATTTGCCAGAATTGATCTTTAGATCATAACTTTGCCATCTAAAACACCCTCACAGAGGGAATTTTGTGCCTCATGTGCCCACTTATGATTTTTAGCACCAATGAATGCCCTGCAGAGGGACAGAAAGTCCTCCTCTGCTGTTCTTATTGTTGCACTGAGGTGAAAAGAAAGTTCGGAAATTTCCTGTATGAAACAAATGAATTTTTTGGTGCTGAGCCCTCCATGAAGGCCCATTTAAAATGTGCTGAAGAGATGAAAGTATTTTAAGAGCCAGTAACCTGGAGCTCTCTTTCATAAAAAGGTAGTCAGCAGCAGAAATTGTCAATGGAGAAGATCAGCAGGGTAAGGTTTGACATTAGGGAAAACCTCCTGCAGTGCAGCTCTGAAAAGGCTCACAGCAGCACTCAGTCAGGCTTGGAATGCCTGATCTGAAAGCAAATAAATCTACATTGATCTCCCTACAATTTTTTTTATTTAAAGTGTATCTGAGGGGACCCTCTAATGTAGCAGTTACATCCTTTTTACAGCTCAAGGAAGAGGTATGATTGAATAGCAATAATGCATTCTTGCACACATCAAAATGGAGCAAGTGGTTTATCAGTCACCTACAAGGCTTCCTGAAGAGACCAAGCTTTACAAGTAACACAATTCAGGGCCAGGCTGGACTTGGGAGACCCCTCTTGTACTGCAAAATGTGGCTTCCTCCTACTGAGAAAAGACACATACATACAGGCTTTTCTTGTGGGATGGGATGGAGGAGGCAGAAGAGGAGCCATGCAGGAGAAAGCATGATCCCATCATCTGCTTGTGCCCAGAGGGAAAGAGCTCCCCAGGACAGCTGCATTCTTTTGCACTACATCAGACACAACTGTGTGACCCAGGAGAATCTAAGCATGTGGTCCTTACTCCTGCTGATCTTTTTTGGACCTCAAAAATAATCTGCAAGCACAGGAGGAACCACACCTCCCTACAAGGGAAATTGTGAATGATTGTCAATGAGGAAATCCTCATGGAGGTTTTTTATCTGTTCTACTTAGACCCAAATTCATGACTGTTTTAATTGCTGTGATATACAAAATGAGGCGTCTTTCTGCACAATAAAATTATAGCAAGTGATATAAAAATAGCAATAAAAACCTAAATTTAAAACTTCAAGCCTGAGTGACTTCAGTGTATGCCCACAAACCCATTTACTGAGATGAAGAGCCACATGCTGCAGAATGCTGCAGTTACAGCGGTGTTCCAAAAAGAATGAGTGGGGAATATCAGTCTATTCCCAGTCTGCATGCCTGTGAACACCTACTGTCAGTGCCATGTTTCACTGGGTGAGGATGCAAGCCACGTGGCAGGCAACTGCTGGTTGTAGGGTCAGGGTCTGTGATGTTTCCCACAAGCTTTTGCATTATTGCAGTAAATAGTTTCAGGAATGCTCAATATTTAAACACCAAAATGTAACTTGCCACCTAAGAACATTAAATAATGAGGATGAAATAAGTAAAAACCAAAGTCAATATCTCTCTGTGCAATTCTTCTTACTACAAAACCAGTGGTGGATAAACAAGAGACCTTATCCCATTCCTTCAAAATCACCATAGCTTGAAATTCTATAGAAAAAAGTCACAAATTATAGTTTTTATCCTTTTTGTCATTGTTGTTCTAATGAAATTACAGTACAAGAATTTTATTTTCATAAGGCTTTTGAAAAGGATAGGTCTCTCTAAAGTGGCAGTGTGCCCTTTAGAAAAACAAAAATAGAGGCACAGTTTACTTGTGACTTGATAGAAATAAAGATGACATGTTCTGGTAAAAACTGCTGGCAAATATATGTCTGCTGAAGTTATAAATACACATAGGTAAATGAAGCAGTATGTAGATGTGTAAAATTGTGACTTGGAGTAGCTCTTAAACTAAATGACCAAACACAATACAGACATTCATATTTTTAATGGCATGAAGTCAAGTTGAGGGTGATTTGGGTTGGATATCAGGAAGAAGTTTTTCACCCAGAGGGTGGCTGGGCGCTGGAACAGGCTCCCCAGGGAAATGGTCACAGCACCAGCTTGACAGAGTTCAAGAAGCATTTGCACAATGCTCTTAGCACATGGTGTGACTCTTGGGGATGTTCTGTGCAGGGTCAAGAGCTGGACTGGATGATCCTGATGGTTCCCTTCAAACTCAGCACATTCTGTGATTCTGTGTTTCTATGATTTAACTCTGATCAGTGCCCTACATTTAAACATTTTTTTCATATCTTCAGAGGTTACTTAACATCTCTTATCTGATTTCATTCAACAAACATCCAGTTGAAGGACATCTGATTTGAGATTGCAGCCTTTCCGGTTCTACCTAGCCCATAATGTAGCAAAGAACTCTATCATATAACTGGCCTGGGCTACAAAAAAATTAAAATATCATAGTGCACCAATTATATGAGCGACACATGCTAATAATTTATTGTGTGCAAGGCTAGACATATCTTTGCTCTCAGGTAAACACACAAAAAAATGGAAATAGCAAAACAACTGGCATCAACGACACATTAAGGTGTCATCAGAGAGATGGAGCTGAGCTCTACACAGCCTAGTTCTGGGAGTAGTCTTCCTGCCTTACTGTGGTACTCAGATTTCTACAGATGATACTAGAATGACTGATGAACCATAAAAAAAGATGTATGATATGTGTATATGAAAAAGAAATTATGACTAATGTTAGAATGCATTGGCAAACTTTCACATTCACATTTTTAAATATATTGAGCTCTGCAGTATCAGGGAGTTGAAACCTTTGAGGTCAAGACAGATTCTTTTCAGCACATGTTTATCTGATTTGTTATTTTTCTAAGAGCACTCAAAGTATCATGAGCTAGTTATGCTTCCAACACACAGAAGTTCAAAATATAGTTAAATTCTTTGAAGATTGGAAAGCAGAAAACACATTTTTTATAAAAACCCAAGCCTTCTATCAAGTCACAATCACAAAATCAGGCATAAAATAAACAGGTTATGGGAATGCCTTCATTCTGGTCAAGGATATAAGGGTTAAATCCACATATTTGTAAGAGGATTGAGAAAACCTACTGGAAGCATGATCAACCCAAGGCCGCCACCACAGCTTTTTTTTGCCCTTGGCTTTCTCTTTGTCTGCATCTCCTAAAATAAAATATGTTCAAATATTAATTTTACAAAATGAGAAACATATTTCTTACACTGATTAATATTTTTTTATTTCTCTCAAAAGAGCTAAAATTTCATGAGCACATCAGATGTCAGGTCTACTGAGTACATTAAATATTGAAATAATTCAAAATCACTAAGCAGAAATATTCTGATTTATGCAGTGGTTAAAACAGCATTCCACTCTAAAACGCTAAAAAGTTAGGTTTTGTGTTTTAAAACATACTGTCACAGTTGACGGTAACTTAAAGAGGAAAAAGAAAATCCCTCCTCTCAAATCCCCTTACATTTCAGGCTCCAAAAATTTTTAAATCCAGTAAGTACAGATCCCAGGTCAATGCTGGAAATGTGGCACTAGATAGGTATGATTTTTTCTGTTCCCATGATTTTCAATAACATTTAAAAGTACACAAACATTTTAGTGGCTGGAAAGAAATCCAGAACAGCATCCAGAAAACATTGCTGGAAAAATGTTGGTGCTACCTATTTGTAAAACTGTGGTTTAAAGATAATGACTTTTATCAAAACAAACCTCTGACTCTTTTTAGCTCTTTGCCAACCGCTTGAAGTTAACCAAAAAGTATCCTCAATGCAAACCATTTTCTCTAAACCTAGTTACAGTACATAACACAGATTTTTTTGGCTGAATCGAGCCTGAAACTGATACTCAGCTAACAATGTTGTTACATGCTGGCAGTTTTCACAAACTTATCACTTGTCCAGCTATTAGGTTTATCAGATCCTTAGTGCTCAACTGCAAATACGGTACAGGAGTAGCTAATGGTACCTTCATCATCTTCTTCAGAAACCTTCCGAATCTCCGGCCCCTCTGAGGACTCCTGGTTCATGCTTAGCATCCTCTCTTTACCCTTCTTGTATTTTTGCTGCCTGGCTTTGATGCGATCCATTCTAGCAAAAGGAAGAATCTTATTAGAATTACGCCTTCACCCACCCTGGAAAATAAGTGTTAAACATATGCATACAAACACACACACACACACACATACACATACTGTGCAACACTTCTAAGGGAAATATTCCACACTGTTGTTAGTCCTGCCCTTAAAAAGAAGGAATTACACTGCTCTGAATGAGCTGACTGGAAGGACCAAGCATAGATGTTCACTCTATGGTCAGTGAGAGCTGGGTTTCCTGCTTTCCTCCTTTCCTACTCCCACTCAACTATCTTATTATCATTTAAAATTGAAAGAATCGATGTCAGGAATTACAACACACCAAATGAAGCACTGAGAATAAAAGGACTTCTACCTAATGCAGAGCTTTTCCTCAAACTTGCCACTGAACAAGGGATTTGGTTGATCCTGCACTGTTTGTACTACAACTTCACCCTCTAAAATCATTTGTCTCAATGGACACCAGTGACAAGTGGTGTCTCTTGGGGGTCCAGTCCTATTTTTAATGTCTGGTGATGAAGTCAGTTCAAGTGTACCTTCAGCAAGTTTTCAGATGACACCCAGCTGTGTGGTGCTGTTGGCACAGCTGAAGGATGGGATGTGCTTCAGAAGGATCTGGACAAGCTCAAGAAATTGGTGTACAGGAACCTCATGAAGTTGAGTAAGACCAAATTCAAGGTGCTGCACCTGGGTCAGGGTAACTCCTGGCATCAACACAGTCTGGGGGATGAACTGACTGAGAGCAGCCCTGCCGAGGATGACTTGGGGGTGCTGGAGGATGAGGCTGGGCACGAGCCTCAGTGGGTACTCCCAGCCTGGGAAAACAACTGTGTCTTGGGCTCCATCCAAACCAGTGTAGGCAGGAGGGTGAGGGAGGGATCCTGTCCCTCTGCTCTCACGAGACCCCACCCACAGGGCTGCATCCAGCCCTGGGGTGCCCAGCACAGGAGGACATGGACCTGTTGGAGCAAGTCCAGAGGAGGGCCCGAAAGGTGATTAGAGGATGGAGCACCTCTCCTATAAGGAAAGGCTGAGATAATTAGGATTGTTGAGCCTGAAGGAAAGGCTCTGGAGAGATCTTTTTGCAGCCTTTCAATACTTGGAAAGAGCTTATAGGAAAGATGGGGCCAAACTTTTTTGCAGGGTCTGTTGCGAGGACAAGGGGTGTTGCTGCTGGCAATGAGTAGATCACACGGACACAGGTGTGGTGAAAGGAAGAGAAAGTTTATTTCTTCTCCCAGGATTTATAGGTTTCTGACCACGGCCAGGGATTGGATGGTCAGGATAACACTTTCCCACTGCACTGGCCATGAGAGATGCCCATCACCAGATGTGTAACAGAAGGAATGTATACATATCTATGTTTATCTGTCCTGGGAAAGTTCTTTAGAAACTATATCAACAAGCTCCAAAGCTGAGTTTTTCAGGGTGACGAAGGGGCAATGGTTTTAAACTGAAGGAGGATTGCTTTAGATTGGCTATAAGGAAAAAACTTTCACAATGAGGGTTGTAAAACCTGAAATAGGTTTCCTAGAGAGGTGGTGGATGCTCCATCCCCAGACACATTCAAGGTCAGGCTGGATGGGGATCTGAGCAAATAGATCTCTTTGAAGATGTCCCTCCTCATTACATGGGGGTTGAACTTTAGGTGACCTTTAGATTTTCCTTTCCAACTCAAACAGTTCTATAATTATGTGATTTTCTATAGGTAGAAAATACGGTCCCTGCAATCTTCCAATGATTCTTCTGTTAGGCAGGGTGGAAGAAGCTGTCGTGAGTGGGGTTTGACACCTGGTTAGGAAGCAGTTAGGGCTTTCCATGCATCATGGGGGAGGAACTTTAAAAGATTTCTGCAGTTACCAAAGAAGCATGTTGGCTGCATGCAAGAGAAACCAAAGTGACTTATGGGCTGTACAAAGGGAAAGGATCTCCAAGCCACTTGAACTGAATGCAAATATTTTCAGTGAGGGTAAACATATATTTTGTGCTTAAACACTACAGGAGGAACCACAAATAAAACAGAAAGGGCAGTCATGCAACAAATTTTTCCAGGAATACAGGTAAGTGATATACAGAACAAAATTCTAATAATGGCAAAGCATGTCTATAAAAGAAAGTGCTAGATAAATACTGGAAGCCAGTATTTCTATAAAAAAAAATGCTAGATAAATATAAGCAATCAGTTAAATATCTACATACATATGCATAGAAATATATATACATATACACACACACACATATATATATATGCATTAAATACATACTGTCTTTTCAGTTGATCCATTGATTTTTTTTCCTCTTCAATTCTTGCCTTTACAGCCTTGACAATTGTAGCCTGAAAAAGCTCAGCACCCCTACATCAGAAACGGGGCAGAGGAAAAGAAAAAAGGAGAGGACATGTTAAATGTTTCTGTTTTCCTTATGGCAACTAATCACAGAGAACTTTATGTTTCCTCTATACACGACCGTATCTGCATCAAACAAAACTAATCCAAGGTCTGAAAGAAACAATCAATCTAAAATAGTAACATTTTTACAGACAATCATTTCAAGATCTTGGACCAAATGTTGTGAACCCTACTCAACCTGTATGTTCCTCTAGCGCTGCTCAAGAAATTCAATTTCCAGTCCTCAAAACACAGAACACAAATAGGTTCAAGGCTGGGGAAGGATTTCTTGCACACAGGATTTCATTAGAGTCATTTCAGCATTATAACCACCTCAATCCTCTGCCTCAGTCCTCCTGGAAGCCGTGAGCAAGGTCAAGATTTATCCAGGGCCATGGTGAGCAGAGATTCAGCTTCACTTTTACCCTCTGAAAACTATGGTGCTTTCAATCTGTCAATACAAATCCTTGAGCAAGATTCTGGTGTGCCAAAAGAATACGGCTTTGCACTCCATTACATTAGAAATGTAATCAGTTCCTTGATTTGAATTCTATGGCCATTCTTCCTAATTCAATTAGGAATTCCTAATTCCTAATTGAAGGCTCTTAAAAGAGTCTTCAAGTCTCTCTCAAAGAAGTAGCCTAGATCTAAAGCCTTTCTTTTGTTAGTAATTCAGCAAGAAAAGCTATAATTTTAGAGGTCCGTTCTTTCATTCTGGATGAACATTTCCCAATATAGGACATACTTTGATACTCATGATTTTGCTTTATGCTGTTCTAACTGTGAACCCAGCACACCTAAAGAGGTACAAATTATCCAGCATAATTGGGCATCAGCAGTGAAAACCACCCCAGAAAAAAAGCCTAATGCAATGTGGAGTGGAGATGGAGGTCTTTTGGTAGCCCCCTTTACAGTGCTGAATTTTGTTTAGTATGGGAAGCTAAACATGTCCCCTTCTTAAAATGATTCCTGGAAGAGGCAGATAAAAAATACTTCCTTTCATTATGTGCAAGCCAAATTCTGCCCTGACACACAGTCAGAGATCAATGTCCATATGCCTTTTGAGGAAAGAAAAAAAGCCACAATACATGTAATCTAATATTAACAAAAGTAATTTCTTAGAAACCTTATGGAAATTAAAACCAGTATTTCAATCCTCATCTGCTTTCATATTATAAACCAGAAGAATGTTTGTGCTAGTGATGGCTATGAGTGAATGCTTGTGGTGTAACAGGCCCAACGAGGTTAACACTTCCTTGCCAAACCTAGTCAGTGTTCAGTGAAGTGACACTTCCCAAAAGTGTTCCATTTTCTTCACAAGCCAGATGTAAGAATTGTCCCATCTTCCTCTTCCTGCAACATTTCTTGAGATGGGATTTCTAAGGACAATTGTCTCAAACAGGCTCTGACAGCAGAATATTTTCTTTGCAAGACTTAGAAACTCTGGCATCCTCTCTCATGCATATCGATGTTGAGAGAATGCTGCAACACACTTTGAGAGCTTTTAATAGGAGCAGCAAATAGTATTTCATAGAAAGAATGATTTAGTTTCTATTAGATTCCTAACTAATTTGTTTTCTTGTGTCAAAATTGGGTTTCCAATTATGAGTTTAAGTCAATGGATTGTTTAAATCAATGTTAAAGGACTGTTTTGGTACTACCTATCATAAACAATAAGTACTACCACCATGAGAGATTTAAGCTGTTTAATTTAATTTCTTTTAAATTTTCGATGTTACCTTGATGCTAATATCTGAGAAGCTTTTATATCTGCAACCACGTGAAGGAAGTAGTAACTCATGAAGACTCTCCTTTGCAGTAACAGGAAAGCAAAACATATACTGTCCCAAATGATTCCTGCTTCTCCACTGGGCAGTTTACAATCTAGATTGCCTGTGGCTGGAAAAAGACACCATCAATGTTAAGAATTATTTCATAATATTTAATCAATTAAATAAATCTAGCTTTTAAAATTATTTTAATTATTTTAGATTTTTCTAAAGAAAATAGTCATGCGTTTCCATTTGAGGTACACTGTAATTTCTTTTTAACAAACCAAAAAGCTTCCAACAATGTGATGTCCCATGACAAGTGAGAACTCATCAGAAGTGAACCATTTGCATGCACTTTAGTAAGTACTTGAAAACAGAGACTGGAAAAGGCATATTATTTTGTTACACTGAATTATTTGATTTCAGTGGTTGCTAAAAAATATTTCAATTTTTTCTTCTCTTCAAAGTGACTTTTTCTCTCATTTTTTAATTAAGGACACTATCAACAGAAGAAAAAAGTGGCTTATTTTTGTCAAAATAACTTTTAGACTGCCATGATCTAGTATTTTTATTTTTCCTCTCCACAACTCAGTTCAATGTTCCTTTCCATTGCATAAAAGAATAAATATTTGAAACCACAAAACTGCTTCCTTTGGGGTAGGAGGAGACAGTCAGAAAGGAAATCCATTTCCTCCTACCTCTAGATTTTGGCTTGGGCTATTTCTTTCTTCCTTTATTCTCTGTAAAACAGTTCTCTTGGGGATATTAAAAAATTAAAACTGGGTTTTGTGGAGCTGGACTATATTTTGTGGACATGGCCTATGCTGCCCTACAGAAAGCAGCAGCAGGACTCAGGGGACAGCCTCTGGCTCAAAGCTGGCTTTTTAAGCAAGCAAGCCAATCTAATAGCTCTGGAAGGTCAAACTCCAAGAGCTTCAAAGCCTGCAGTGCCCAAACCCTCGGGGGGTTGAAAACCTGCGTCTAAGTTTCTGTTGCTGCCCAAAAAGTTTTGGATAACACAAGAATTCCTGGGCACCTTTCATCCTGTGAATTTGCCTCTTTGTATTTACTTTATTTTCCCCTACTCCACACTTACCTATTAGGATCAATCATGATGACAGGAATTCAGAATTTTGCTGCAGACTCACAGGGATGAAACAGCTCTTTAAATTCAGAAAAAAACCCAAACCAAACCCAAAGAACATTAAAAAACCTGCAGGTGTTTTCAAACTGTTAAGCCAGGGTGTCAAGACAAAGTGGAGACAAATTAATAGCTCACAGAGATTGTGAAGGATTTTTCTGTCCAAACTTCATTCCTCCCTTCTCTCACCTTCACCCACAGACATTGTCCACTCCATTCCTTTTATCACCACTTGATAATGATCACGAGGAAGTAAAATGGCCTAAAATCACTATGCATGCAGAAAAATTGCCCCTTTCATGCCATTTCAGTGAGCTGAACTGGCTGACCCTTTGAACCACTCAACTCTGATACACAGGGCAGAGTGGGAGTCCACACTGCACACAGGGAGTACAGCTGGGAAAAGGGGCCTGGTCCCTGCAGTGATGATGAGCTGACCTTTTAGCTCAAGTTGTACAGTAAACCAGAGTATCATATCAGCTGCATATATGGGAAAATGTGTTTAGTGCCAATATCAGTGAATTGTTCATTTACAGCAAATGCTGGCTGTGGATGGATGGATGGAAGGATGGATGGATGGACGGATGGATGGATGGATGGATGGATGGATGGATGGATGGATGGATGGAGATGGTGGTAGTTTTCTCTGGATACGTGTCTCCCTTGTTTCTGTGAAATATCTTCAATATTCAATGTTGCTAATCAATATAGGACCAAGATTTTTCAAAAGGTAGTATTTCAAGGGAAGGCACAACTTACATATGGTAGAAGATTTTAAGGTGATTTTTTATTTATAGAAAATTATGGAGAAAAATAAGCTATACTTACGAATATGGTAGCCTTTAACTGTACAAGCCAGGCTAAATGCCTGAATCACCCAGCAACTATTCTTAATTAATGATTCAATGTAGCCACATGCTCCTATCTGCAAAGTAAAAGGACAGTTTCATGTAACAAGATGTAGCAGAAATAAAGTTAAGAAAAATTGCATCTTTTTACATTACATGAGAAATAATACAGCCAAAGGCAGTCAAATTATCCTCATTACTAAAAGAGCTTGGAAGAAAGTGTGGCTTTACCACTAGACACAAACCACTCTTAGACAGAATTTGATTTTTTGATTATTAGTGAGACAGGAGGTATGTGGGGTTTGTTTGTTTTGCACAGAAAGGGACACATCTGGCATATGATGTGATGTGACAACTAAGCAACTTTTATAAATCACTGACTTAATCTTGCAAGCATACATGGATGGACAAGCTTAAGACACATGTAGCTCCACTGAGTTCCCAAGCATAGAATGAAGCACATATGTAAGCATTTAGAACATTTGCAAATTCAAACCACCCATAAATCAATTTTATTTTAGCATAGTGACTTAAATAAATGTAAAAAGAAAAATGTCTGTTCTTTGCAGTCCAGCACTAAAAATGTTCAAAGCTAAAACGTAATTGCCAGGAATAAATCTAAATTTGTCTTTCAAAAAGACTGAAATTACTGGCTTGTCTGAATCACCTGTCAGTGCCACTGCAAGAATACATACAAAATAATTAAGTAATGCATGCAAATCTTTAATATTTTGCAGAAGAATTTGACATTTAATTATCAAATACATCTGTTTTCATCTGAATTTGACACTAGCTCTAAAGGAAACAGGAATGGAGTTTGTAACTTTGTAGTCAACTTCACTAATTGCATTACATCACACAACTGCATCTTGTACTAGGTTTGAAAATTCCTTATTTAAATAAATGTTCTAATTAAATGTGCACTACTTATCAACAGTGTGACTAATTTTGCACTTCTTACTCATTTTTCAGTCCACTGAGATTTTTGTGAGGCTCCTAAGGAGAGACTTCATTGGGCAAAGAAACCAGAACCTGGCCCTTTGAGAGCAGCTTGTGAGCTTTCACAGAGCCCGAGTGAGCGTGTTTTCCTACGGTGGATATGCACTGCCATTCCCTAGCAATGCTGGATTGAAATGCAGACTGCTTGGTGTTTGCAGGAGGCTGTGGTCCCAAAGAAGGATTTTTAATGACCACTCAATGCACTGTGCACACCTCCAAAGAAACTCAAGTGCTGAGGGCAGAGGAAAGGCAGCAGCTACCCACCGACAGGATGTTCTTCATGGTGATCACGAAGACGTTGTAGGCAATCAGCCAGTCCCAGTAACGCAGGATGCTCCTAATGGGCTTCAGCAACAGGTCTCCACCAAAGAGAAGGAAATAGAAGCAGGCCACCAAGTAGCCCATACAGAATATGCTGATCCTTGTGGTTCCCGTGATGAAGATTATGGTAAGCACAAACCAGAAGAGGTAACTAAATATTATCACCTTATACATGTCTAAGTAGGACCTAGAAGTAAAATAAGGAGAAAAAAGTTACCATTCTTTTTCTGAGGGCAATGTTATTTTTCCTCTTTCTACGCTTGTGCAGAAGGTCTTCTGGGCATTCTCACTCTTCAGTATTTGTGCAGGCACTCACCACTAACACCACAGTCAGGGGATTTGGTTCATGCATGCGTCTGCACAGCTCATACATGCCACTCCAGCTCCTTCCTGTGCATAAGCACCTTGCTACACCTGGTCAGGGCACCGTGCTTGCTGCAAGATCAAGCCTTGTATCATGGAAGGGAGGAAAACCTGTTCTCACCAAAATTCATGGTGGAGGGATATTATCCGGCAATGACATATATGAGGTCTAAAAGTTGTCTGGGATCATCTTTCAAGAAGTGTGAGAAATAGTATAAGAAATCTATTTTAAAAAGCCAACTACAATACACCACTGCAAAACAATTCCATATTTATTGATGACTTCTAGGGAATTCAGCCTGGTCAAAAGACTAGTTTTCAAAGACAGCTGCTAAAAATATCTTTCTCTAATGGAGATCAACTGCAAAAGTTTTGAGGGGCAAAAGTTTCTACAGAACAGAAATATGATAGAATTTACTGAAACGTTTTCCAGGAATCTGTGAGACAGAGCTATCTGAAATCAGCCTGGCCCACAGTGGGAAAGAGAGAGAAACAATTTGGTATTTTCAGATTTCTTAAAATCTAGCCTTAATATTGACTCAGTGAGCTTTCAGACAGGAATATCTGCCAAAGGTAATACCAAATACTACATATAGCTAAACACTGCAAAACCAACTAACTCTTAGTTTCCTCCCGTTTATAGTGTTTTGATTCCAAATCTGTGTTTTCAGAGTCTGTTCATCCAGGCTGTGTAGCTACATTTGTCAGGAAACCAGTTAGGGAGACAGAACTACAGGAGTGCACAGATACCTAAGCCAAACCATGTAAGGAGCAAATGAACTAAATGCACTGTATGAAGCCACATAAAAAGGCCCCTGCTGCTTGATGTTCTCAGAACTTTCTAGGAGTATGTATTTATAGTCTTACATTTATAGGCCTATATTACATATTTCACTAGAGAGGCACTTAATGAAAGGTAACAAGCTCCTTTGTGTTTATTTCCTACAAATATATAAGAAATTTGTGATTTACTGCCTGTGAAATCTAAAAATACCATGACTTTGGAGATGTTCTGGGTGATAAAACATTAACAAAGAATCAATATGCGCTGGGAAAATAAAGAAGACATCAGTTGAAGAGATCTTCATTAAATTCATGCACACTAGAAAGGGTTATCTCATTGTTTCTCCAGAAAATAATACTCTGTTTGATATTCCTTTAATAATAACTATTGGTGTGTGGGATGGCTAGGAAGAGATCTCTTTCTGACACTGCTGTATTTCAAAAAGCTTGTCCTTTGCTACCAACAAAATGTATCAGCATCTTTTGAGAAACACCCAAAATAGAACCAAATTGATCAAAAAATCAGCAATGTCTTAATACTCTTCAATAAAATTGAACTCTGACTCTTAGACACAACTGGGACTGTCTCAATCCAAACTTCCCAACATATGGATGTGGTGCTTGCTTCAGTCATAATCAGCAGCAGGTATCACTCTTAGATTAAATCTTCTGGAAATTAGAGAGAATGTGAAAAGGAAGACAATCATCTAGCTATTTTTTCACTATAATGGTAGCCATTTGATAAATTTTAGCATCATCTAAAATATTAAACACACCTGTTCTTCTAATATCCAAAATATATATTAAGTATAAAATAGCCTTGGGTATCTCTAAATCAACCAAACAACAAAACTGCATGCAATGGAAAAATTCTACGAAGGGAGGAGGCACTACAACTGTGTCAAGTGACAAATGATGTAGCCCTTAAAGATGGAAAGTATTATATAACTGTGCAGTTACATGCAAATCCAACAATAAGAATGGCTCCCAAGAATTCACCTGGGAGTGCACATCTCACAAAATGTGTTTGGACAACTCAGCCTAAGCACACCTAAACAATGAAGACCACAAACCATCCAAGGTACTTCTGTGCTATCCCAAGAAGAAAGCCACGTTGAACACAAAGGAGAGAACCACTCAAGTTGTTTCAGGTAGATAAAAATTTTCCTGAAATCATGTTTTTTTCAGTTACAATATGCAAAATCTTGTCTATTACAGCATAGAGTTTGCCCCTAAATTAACTTTCATTAATTTTTTTATATTGATTTTTTTTTATATTGATATTTTTATATTGATATTGATAGGTCAAGTGTAGTAAGAGTAGGAATAAAGACATGCCTTGGTGGGGAGTTCTCTATGTACTACCTCTCAAATAATTTGACATGTTCTCATATATAAATCTTATAATTCTGCCTCAAAGCCCAGAAACAAGGTGTTTCCTTGTTGAGGAAACAAGGTGTTTCAGTTCCTTGCTCTGAAATCATAATGCAGCAGTGGAGGCTGAAGGACAAAGATACCCCAATAGTTAAACCCATGAGGACAGGTGCTTACCCTCTGTTTAAAAGCTCCTACAGAGACAGGAGAAAATGCTTAATCTTGGATAGCATATGCTGTGATTTTATGCTTCCACTGCAGACCACACAGCTCATTAGTTTAATGTCATGTAAATTTTCCAAACTCTCATTTTCCAAGTGTTCTTTAAATCTCCCTTCATTCACCAAGAGCAAAAGGCCACCCTCAGGATGTGATATTTAACAATATACATTAGAAATCTGCACAACTGGTTCCCAAGGGGACAGTCCCACCCCCTTTCATCCCTTCAGCCCTGCATTTCAGCCCCTTTTATGGCTTTGGCTCTTTGAAATGGTTTCAAGAAGAAAATTTTCAAAAGCCTATTTACTTTGAGGGAGGACAGAAGGAAGGGATACTTTTCTGTCCATTTAGCCTCCAAACCAGCTCAGTGCTGGTGTGATGAATGCAGAAAGGTGGGAGGCTGCAGCAGGAGGCTAGGAACACAGTCACACATCCCCACTGATTTTCCAACCATGTCATTAGTAGAACCCACTAATACTCTGGATAACATTTTGGAAAAAATGACCATATCAATTTGCTCAAAACCAAGAAAGACAAAGTCTGAAGTTCATTCCACACATCCATCAAAGCTATTTTAACCTCAGATGGCTCTCTGTATCAAATTATCTGCTTTTCTTTTCTAAAGTTTTATTTATCTTACCATGATTGTTTCAATATTTAATTTCCACAGTAATTAATTTTTAACTGTAATACAACCCAGCCTGTTGCAGAGAGATTGCTCTAGGTGCAGCTGTTTTCCTGGCATGCTACACAGTGTTTGGCTATGACCAGTCTGGTGTCTGGACCTCTGCCTGCAGGCACCAAGAGGTGCTGATGCTGCAGCCAACAACCCATTTCAGGAAAGGTATTTGTCCTCAGCCAGTGCTCTGAAATTTAGGGGAAGAACACAGTTCTGCTTACACACTGGTGAGAGCCTTTTGTGGAGATGGACCAAGCTAAAGGCTTCTTCATGCAGGAGGAGCATTATGCTGTTATATAGCTTCATTGTTTTCCCTTAGCAGCACCCTGCTTTGAGTGTGGTACCCACCTTCACATAACCCCAAGGCTCCTCCTGTAGCCTTCTTCTGATGGCATATTGCCCCTATAATATGTGTTCTGCAAGCTTCACCTACTCCCAAACTTCCTCTTTCTTTCTTCCATATCTCCTGTTCCTTACACACTCAGCAGCCTGTGTGACCCTGCATCAGAGCTTGTTTCCCCTTCTAATCTCAACATTGCTAATGTTCCCAACCCAGCTTCCATCCTTAAACTCTTTCCCTGAAGCTCTATTTCAGCTTTCAGAAGGGAGTTTTTGTTGATTTTCCCTCTGCCAATAGCAACATCCAGTCTTCTGAGAACTAGCTCCCTTATTTCAATGGACTTCTTCAAATCTAGTGCTGGGGATCCCCTAGGTCAGTTCCTACTATTTTTGTTAAACCCTCTCAAGGAACTGATATTCTTTTATGATTAATTTCTTACCAGTGGAGTCCTTCCTTCATGATCGTATCCACCTTAAAAACACCCAAACTCACAACTGTGTTATTTGTTGATGCTCATTTTTTTTAGCAACTGAATGTTTATCTGCTTTAAATAATAAATATGACACTAAGCCTATGATGTTCATTTACAGGTCCTATCTCACTAGCCTAAGCTGGAATACAGTTCCAAGACTGGCATTAGAGCTGCCTTTCAGACACTTTACCTGACTCCCTCCATGATGGTTCCCAGAGTACATTAAACGAGACAGTTCAATGACTGTTTCTGCTTCTAAGTGGAAAAAAGCAGATTACAATCCCAAACTTTTTTTTTCCCTGACAATATCTAAGAGAAAAACTTCTTGGGAACTGAAATGAGAATTTTCCAGCATTGGAGACTGTGGGAAAGGATTATTCTCAGTGAAGTTGCTTTAAATCCCGTGTCATTCTAAAAGCTCCTATTTCTATTCTTTGTTCTTATTTCTGTTTCAAAGTCCTTTGGATGTGCACTCCTTTGGGGTCAAGCACGTATCCCCTGAGAACTCTGGGGGTGGAAAGACAAGAAAATTTCAGGAAATCTCTTACTTAGACTGTATTTATCATTGCTGAACTCAAGTATTTCTCCAGAGAGAAGAAAATGAAGCATTTTGGAAATATGTTCTTCTTCTGCCACTGTTTATGTTGCAGTTAAAAGTTTTTTATCCATGTCTACTAGAACAGTGACCAAGTAATATCTTCTCAAGCAAAGGGATTTTGGAGAAATGCCATTATTAATTTCACTTGCTTGGATAAGGTTTGAACCAAGTTCTTGCTACTATTTAGACCATACCGAAACTTCTCTTGAAAAGCACAAGAAACTTTTTAGACAAAGTCCTTTCAGTTCCAAATTGTGTTGGATGGAGGCCAAATACATACATTTTGGATGGAGGCCAAATACATACATTTTCTTCTGAGGCAGATCTTCAATGGATTACCCAGAGCTTGAGAGTCCTTCTTTTAAAGATTTATAAACTCTAATAAAATATTCAGTCACCTTAAGGTACTGTCAGCTATTCTCTGGTGCTTCTTCGAAGCAAATTAGGCATTTAGGATTGCATATGCACAGTGTAACATCTCAAAAATAACATAATCTAAACAATAATAATATAGAAAGCCTGGGATAATCTATATTGTGGTGAAAGCATTGAAAGAGACACTTAAGAGCTCAAAGAAAGGTAAGATACCTTAAAGAACACAAGACCTATTATGCATCTCATTCTAAAGGAAGGCCTGTTTATTCTTAGAGACACCATCCTACGTGTTCCCATTACACATTCATTCAGTTAACAATTACAAACAAAAAAAAGAGAAGTTATAGCTTAGAAGGGAGTGGAAGGAAGACCTGTCAAACTACAGATGAGTGAGCCTTCCCTCTGTGCTTGGGAAGATCATGGAGCAGGTCTTCATGGAAGTAATGTTAAGGCATATGCAAGACATGAAGGTGATCCTAGCATGGCTTCACTGAAGGAAAATTGTGCTTGCCCACTCTGGTGGCTTTTATGATGGAACAACTGCAATGCTCTATATGGCCAACATATGAGAAATGTCATTTACCTGGACTTGTATAAAAACCTTAAAGATTTTCCTGATCTCTCTAGACTGGTGTGACCTGGAATTGACAAATGGGCTATTCAGTGGATGGAGAACTGGCTGAATGGATGCAGCCAGAGAGTTGGGGACAATGGCTCTTTGTCCAATTGGAGGTGGGTAAAGAGTGGTGTCTCTCGGGGCTCTGTCCTGGGACAGGTGCTCCTCAATATCTTCATCAGTGACACAGAGTGGGACTAAGTGCACTTTCATCAGGTTTGCAGATGGTACCAAGCTGAGCAGTGCAGTTGGCACAACAGAAGAATGAGATGCCATCCAGAGGGATCTGGACAAGCTTGAGAAGTGGGCCTGTATGAACCTCATTAAGTTGAACAAGTCCCAGTGCATCTGAGCCAGGGAAATCCCAGACTAAGAGAGGAATTCATTGACAGCAGCCCTGACAAGAAGGACTTTGGGATTCCCAGGGATGAAAAGCTGGACATGAGCTGACAATATGCACGCACATCCCAGAAAGCCAACTATATCCTGGCTGTTCAAAAGAGATCAAGGGAGATTATTCTCCCCCTCTACTTTGCCCTTGTGAGATACCACCTGGAGTACTGCGTTCAGATCTGGGGTCCTCAGTCCAAGAACATGGCCAGAGGGATGGAGCACCTCTCCTAAAAGGCTGAGGGAGTTGGGGTTGTTCAGCCTGGAGAAGAGAAAGCTCTGATGAAACCTCATTGTGGTCTTACAGTAATTAAAGGGGTCCTACAAAAAAAGGAGAGAAGTGTTTACACAGGCACGTAGGGATAAGACAAGGGGAAGGGTTTTAAACTAGAAGAGGGGAGATTTAGGTAAGATGTTAGAGAGAAATTCTTTACTCAGAGTGTAATGAGGCACTGGAACAGGTCTCCCAGAGCTGTGCAAGTGTTCCAGGCCAGGTTGGATGGAACCAAGGGCTTTGAGCAACCTCGTCTAGTGGAAGCAACCTACCCATGCCAGGGAGGTTGGAATTAGATGGAATTAGATGATCTGGATGAAATGGAAAGTCCCTTCCATTTCAATGCAAACCAGTCTACGATTCCATGATTACCTGCTCAAATATCTACAAGAAAAGATAATAAAACCAGGAATTTCCTTTATTCCTGAATGCGTTAATTAATGGGTTTTCTAGTAATTCATGATTCATTTTTCAAACAAAAATGTCCCTCTTCTTTTTCCTTTCTCTGCCTTGCTTTCATTCTTCTCCTTATTCACACAACAGGAAGCTCTCATGAAACGGTTGCATAGATTTTTGGCATTTAGGTACCAAAATATAAAAAAAACCCCAAATATAAAGTGATTGCAGTTTATTTGTTCAGCTCACCTCCACTAATTGATTCCTTGATTTTCTGGGGCTTTTTGTACTCTCAATCAGTAATAGCACATACTGCCTGATACATGCAGCAAACTCCCAGTTAAATGTTTGTGTGTTGTTAATCACCTTTCCACAGGTCTCCTTGGTCAGCACACACCCAGCAGTGTGGATGTCCTGCCACCAATGGCTTCAAGTTGATGCATACCATGCACATGAACCAAAACACAGAAATTATCCCAAAGGATTGTGGAGGGGCAGCAGGCCAGTTCAGCTTGAACTTTGCTTTCCACTATAAACCTGACTCCGATTACCACCCAAAATCTTCAAATATTCTCTGTGTTTCAAAGTTTCTTTTTAGTCCATTTGGGAATATGCTCTACAGATGACCAGAATTACCTATCAGATTCCAGAGAACATTGAAATGATCCCAAAAGAAGATGTTTAAAAAGCAGTGATTTTCTTGCCTTTCTCTTCCAAAGACAGCTTTAAAACACATTCTCACCATTAACGAATTTTTTTCAGAATTTTTTTTTTCTGGACTAAGGGAGGAAAATTCAATCTTTCTGCCAGGAACCAGCGATGGTTTTCACCAGTGACTAAACACATCAGTTTGCCCAATGCAACTGCTGCATCAGCCTTTGCTAAGATGGACACAACTTCAGTGGCAAGAGAAAAGCTTAGGCAAACTCCACTACACTCCCTCTCAACCAAGCCCTATTAGTCAGATATCTTTAGAGAGAATTCTCACTTGATGGAGCATTTTGAAGAAAGATTAATACTTCTTCCTTCCTGCTTATTTTACTGAATCTAGAGCACAGGGTTCACTGTGCAGACTGGAAATTCTCAAGAGGGAGAATTGTTCAACCTTTGCCTAGTAGCAACTATAAATCTCTGGACAAATGAGTCAATTAAATGTTTCAAGAGTTCAAAGCTCTTTCAAGATAGAGTTGGTAACCAATTGTAACAGAAGTAGCAGGATCATCCTAAAGATCTTGAGAAGGACTTCTAGTGGTACCACTTCTCTGGTAAAAGAAATAAAAGTCTGTCATCAAAAGGAAAATTTTTATTGACATTAGTTCTAGACATTTATCTATTCCTGTCATACTCAGACTTTGGTTGGTAACATGCATTCACATATCTAGACTGACAGAACACCACAGCTAAGAAATTGTATTCTTCCTATTTTGTGATACTGCACCAACTTTTAGAGACAACTTCAAGTACAGCATGTCCAGCACAATTTAGAACAGCTGAGCTAATGTGTGTTTCCTGAAATGATGACACAATGGAACAGTTCCATTGTTTGAAGTCCGTTCAGAATAGACTGCTTCAAGCTCTGCCCCTTTCTCTATTATTCACCTTCTTAAACAACCTTTTATGCAATGCTCAGGAACAGGAAGACATGTCAGCTGCCCTTCCAAGACACTTCTAAGGTTCTCATTTCTAGATGAAATATCACAAAAGACAGTCTCTTAGAGTATTATTTTGATTGTGCTTAGACAACAACTTGGCAGGACATAACATATGACTTTTTGGGAATAAACACATTCATAGGAAGCTGCTGGCTGCAATGGATTCTTGCTAACATGTCTGTGTTTGGGGGGAAACTACCAGAGCACTTAAGTCCAACATAAATGCTGCCCCACTAGGCATTCATGAAGGGAAATTCAAATTTGGGCACCAAGATTCTTTCTGGAGTTAGAAATATAGAGGATTAATCTAACAGCTGAACCATTTTTTTTTTTCTTAAGCTTTCTAAATCCACATGTGCACAGATAGCATGCAAGAACTTGTGACCTAAAGGTGAACATTTTGCAATGTGCTTGTTGTCTAAGACAGCAGTGATGTCATGATGATTTTAAAGGACATGATGATTTTAAAGGTCTTTTCCAACCTTAACAAGTCTATGATTCTGTGAATGCAGACTTTCAGGCAAATTTATCTCTGAACTTCCCTAGAGAGCACTTAAAACATTAATCAGTTTTAGGAAGACATGTTTGCATCCACCCTGTTCTAAACCAGATGCTGATTACCCAGAAATTAACTATCTGCTCTCTCACACAGCAGTATGTTAGATGGGAACATACATGAATACAAATTCCAAGTAAAAATTGGAAGCTGTGAGAATGACTTTTACCCTAGTGAACTTTATGAAAAGGAAGTGCTGTATTTTCCAAGTATTTAAGATTCAAATTTTACCGGCAGTGGATGAAGTCGGGAACTGGATTATGCTGGCTGAAAGATGCTGCATCAAGGTTCATGCAAATTTCCACATTGTCTCCAGCCATGATTCGCACTGCAGCTTTATTTTCATCCTCAAATGTCTGCCTTTGCAAGGATGCACACAGAAGCAGCATGAAGTCATCTAGGAGAAAGTAGTTATTGCAAGGAAAAAATCAGTCATCAACAAAGGTGTAAGGAGAGTTGTGATATATTATAATGTAGTTACCAGACTGTTTTCCCACACATTGAACTTCCAAGACTGAGTGGTTTTCAATGCATTTAACTCTGAATAGAAATTTATAAATGTTTTTAGGTTTTTTTTACCTGTCATTGTCTATGACTTTTATGGAGAAATAAATGAGAAAAGGGGAAATATTCATACATTTTGATGTCAAGTGATAAAAAAAGAGATACAGGGAAAGCCAATGCAAAAATTAGGAATTCTGTGAATTTTTCTACTGCATTCAAAGCTTAGTATTCAATTGCCCAAAAAATCTGTCATATTGCTACTGAAGTGTAAATAAAAGGCTGGCTTCAAATTCCACTGTACAGATGACTTAAGTGAAGGACATGTAAGCACTTCATAATGATGTGCTAAAATACTTACACACAAGGAAGACAGGGTTTGGTCTCACAATGAAGTCTGGAAAGTATAACCACTTTATGATGTTGGAGTTGAAGTTGGCATTGCCACTTCTCCATGGATAGTCTGCATAGCAGAAGCATGCAAAAATTCAATCAGTACCTCATAACAATTACTTAATCCTGTTCTTCAGAAGACTTACCAATTTTTCAGCATTTTTCTATAAAAGCAAGTAGCATTTTACATAAAGGGCGTCCTTACCTTTACAAGGAGCAGGTGGGATGCCAATGCAAAGGAAGTACTGGAATGTAATGATGCATGCTAGAAAACAGCAATATTTTGGCCAGATCTCTGCAATAGCTTTTCTCCTGCGTCGATACAGTACAGCAATCAGCCAGAAAGCATGAATCATTGCATAAAAATCCATCCTTTGACCAATTACATTCACTGATAGAAGAAAACAAGTCTGGAAATGAAGTAAAGAAACAGAAACAACTTTTACAACCTCGTGGCTAGTCAGTACAGCAATAATAAGTTATTGTGGATCCTGACAGAATGCTTGGACGTGGCTGCATCTGACTGCAGGAAACCTGTGCAAACCAAGATGCTACAAAAGCAACTTCCACCATTCCACCCAAACACCTAATTTTTTGATACTCTTCTGTCTGTTTCTGTTATGGGATATCTAAAGATACAGGAAGCCTTGTCACAATAGCTGATATTTGAAATGTTTAATTGTTGCCAAAAAAAGAACGTATTACACAGCCACATATTTTGATAGGATGTACAGATGCGGAAATAAGACGAACTATCAAGGTTGGTAACAACTAAAATGTATCCTCATGTAGGAAATGGACAAGGCATTTAGGCCATACAGTTTCTATTGGTGATAGACAAATGCAGTCACTTCTTTAAGACAGCTTTAGTTTTCCATTAGGCTCTGCATTCCAGCATTTCTACTCTCTGGGTTCACTGAAAGCAGTCCCTTCACTCAGTTCCATGAAACGTATTTTGAAACTTTGTGAAAACTTCATTTATTCAGTGCACTATGCTATTTTGGTTTTCTCTCCCCCAGACTAGAATGATCCTAAAATTATTACCCAAAGGAAATAACTTACTGGGCTCCTTTAATTTTCATTCATTCTTAATCTTCAGATCGCTATGAACAGTTTACTCCATTATCAAAGTGGTGGTAGTGTTTAACAGATAGGTCAAGAGCATCATTATGATTAAATTTAGGATGCATTACTCTGAGAGTTGCCTCCTACAGAGAGGCATAGAAAATTGTGAAAAATCACTATTTATGAAAAGATTTATTTAAAGTACATTTCATGTGCAGATGACAAATATAAAAGGTAAGGGAACTAAGAGATGACTAACATGAATGATGACTAATAAGCCTCTAGATGTCAAACACAGCCCAAGCTACTATTCAAAAATAAAACATTCAAAAGGTTTGGAATGATAATCTAAAGAAAAGTAGTACATATTTACCTCCAAACCAAACTTGTAGAAGAAGTAGTTTATGAAATACTTGACACAGTTTACAAGTCCATCATCCAGATGTGCTCTTGTAATATCATGGAAAATGGTTTTAGTCACAGGTGCAGTGAGGTTATTTCGGCATCTGTAGTATTCTTGGTGACGGTAGATTGTAACTTCAAAAGCCAGAATAGCCAGCATCAGTAAGTTATTCTATGGGAGACACAATCAGGAGATTATTAAATAAAAGTCAAAACCACCAGAAGCTATTAAATTTTCTGATAAGCATAAACACATTAATACTCAAACTGGTGTTATCACTGAGGGCTTCTGCACTCCAGAATGCACTGGCACCTATTCCCAGATATTATGATTGAAACAAATTAAGGTTCACACCAGTTCTTCAATTTTGATGACTCATACAGACATCCAGAAGATTAATATAAAGACATTAATTAAAAAATACTATAATAAAAACTAATTGTGGAAAGGAACGGAAGGAAAAAATCACTGAACCATCCACATGCCCTCTCATATTTCATAGCTTCTCTTAAGGTATCAGGTTTTGTATTGCAGGAGAGAAGATAAAAACATACACAAAAGTCATCTGCAGCGGTTTAGCTGTCAAACTCTAACTTTCCAAAACAAGGATGTTGGGTAGAGCAAATTTAACCTGGCCACTCATTCACATGAATAGTATATCTGTCTAGATCTCTGTTCTCTGAGAAAATATTTGGGACAAGAATCTCCTGAAACAGGTTCCACTGGGTTTTTCATATTTTCTGACAACCTTAAACTGTGTATATAGAATGTTGGAGATTCTTTAAATTAACAAGAGATGTGGTTTTCCCCAGGACTTGGCACATTTTCACTGTAAGTGAAGTTCTTTAATCAAGACAGGAATAGTAAGACATTGCTCACAGGCATCAACCAAAACCAAGAAGAAAAACAACAGACATCCATTTACTAATGTTTGAATGAATTATTCTCTTAACTCATTATATTTTCTAAACTGTGGCTAAGGAATAAGCACTTAGAAAAATTAACTTTTAGCACACATTGTCATTCAGGGCAATTACTCCAATTAGACCCATCAGTCCTTTGGTACATTCAGGGCAATTACTCCAATTAGACCCATCAGTCCTTTGGTACCTGAAAGCCATGCACCTCTTAATTACTTAGACTTCTTAATTATTACATTTCTTAAAGAGCTTTTAACAGATGGTAGAGTCCAAAAGTGATAATTTTACATGAAAGAATAGCTTAATTGCTACTGAATCCCTTCTGGAAATGTTCTGTGTAACAGATGTGGTTTTCTATTGCCTCTTTCCCTCTGTACTTCCCTATTATCAACGGTTTGCATTTTTTTTTTTGTGTGGCAGATTATTTATTTCAAAGACAATGCTACTTTCATAAAAAATAAGAAAATATCTGAACACAGAAAACAAAGGAGTTACCCTTAAGTACACAAGAAGGGGATAAGACTTTCTCAATCCAACCCACTCTGCCGGATCAACTGGCCCACTGTAGAGCACGGAGGTTTTCAGTTCTTCTAAATTTACCTTAGTTTCATTCTCTCCAGGCTAAAAAGAAAATTCAACAGTTATAAAACATAACTTCCAGACTATTTGGGAAGGGCATGATAATCAACAATAATACATCAGGTGAACTGTTATTTTTGTACTTGATATGCTTCCTTTTGCTCTCCTTCACCAAAGAAGACAGCAGTCAAACCTTTTTAATATGCATTTGTACTCACCAGTGTACAGTTACTGGAAAAAGTCTTGGGATCAATAGATGTGAGCTGGTACAACATTTTGCAGACAATAATCACACATGTCCAAACAGTGCAGATACTTGATGCCAGTGGGCGAAATTGAGCATATGGCAAAGCAAGAGCCCAGGCAATTAAAAACACAAAGTTAAACAGAGACACCTGAAAACACAAAAACAGTACAGAAATTACATGGAGTAACAAAAGAACTGAGAAAGTTTTGACCTTTTCCACAGAAGGTAAAAAATAGAATCACTCAAAAGAAAGGGACATGCAGAAACTTTGAGGAAAATACTGAAAAAAGAAAAAAATTACGATACCCACAATAACACAGACACAAAGTAGTAAGTGAAGAAGGAAAAACTTTACAGTTGGTTTAGGAAAAAATTTACCACCTACATAATATTAATACTATTAGAACCACAAAAATTCCATATCTTCCTTATCAACAGATGTGAAATACAAAGGACCACATGCAGCTTCTGCTGCTTTAGTACACGAGACAAAGAAGAGATGGCACAGATCCGTGTGTTTGTGCAACTGATCTTCATCCTCTAGACTTCTCAACCCCCAAAATAAAAATTAAGAAAAAAAATGAGGAAAGGGATATTTTTTTTGTTTTTAGTGAATCCCATCTTACTATCCTATTATCCATAGAGAACTCAAATTGCCCATACCTAGAATTACAGCTAAAAGTGTTGCTCCCTTTTTCTTCAGGCATTGTTCCACATTCTTGTTTCTTAAGCACCAGTCCGAGTGTAAGTAATTTTCCTACATGTGCCTTCTCAGTTCTTTTCTACAGCTTCCATCCTTGGATGGTGCTCACAGATAGTTTAAGCAGGAGAGGGGTTATGTCTCTTAAATCTAAAGAATCGGACTAATAAAATTTTAATATCTGGAGAAAAGGTGGGGGCTGAGACTCTTGAAACAGAAAGAATGTGGAAGATGTCAAGGCAGGCTCCCAGCAGGTGAACAAACCCAGCAGGATCCCATAATTTCAGTGAGGTCTGACAGGAGAAAGCCCTCTCCCTACACCTGAGTGTGTAAGCACATGGCAGATGTTGACAGGCCTCCACGATGTGTGACAGTTTGACAGTGGGTGTTTACTTGCCTCTTTCACTGTGACCCAGATGATGTAAGAGGAAACAATTTTGATGATGTGCAGCTCCAACAGCCACCACACGAAGACTTGCATCTTGTGAAAATACTCCAGGAATTTCAAAAACAGCACTGTAAGGCGGTCGATCACCAGATGCCACTTGTTCCTTAAATCTGCAGGGATGTTCAAGGAGAATCATTGTAAGGACAAAAACAGAAGGTCTCTGTGAAATGGAATACTCCACTAGACAACAACAAACATTCAGCTTCTCTTCTAAGCCTTAGAGTAAGAGAAGATGGAGGATAAAGCTATGGCTCAGTGGTTAACTAACTAAAAATGGAGTTGAAGCCCACTTAGCTAGGGTGCTTTCCCTTTTGACCCACATTCCCTGGAAAGATTCTGCACTTCAAAAGCGGCAGTTGTGGCCTCCCTTGCCAATTTTGCTTTTATTCCTCTCATCAGAGCTCTTTTTGGACTCTCATCCTCCAGGATTTTTGGACCTAAGCATAGAGATCTCACTCAGGAACTAATTCCAGCCCTGATCCTTTTCCAGCTCAGAAAAATACTTTTTTTTTTTGGTGCATGGAAGCTATGGACCCAGCCTGTTTTCAGACAGCACAGACTACTACTACTGCACAGAAAGCTTTTCAGCAGATTGGAAGAAATCTGTGCACACTGGGACTTGGATTCCTGTCACAAGGGTTTAGACAATTCTACTATAGACACCTTCAGATATCAGAGTTGTCTAAACTGCCTTGAAAACAGCACAGCCTCTTAGAGTGGGACCTGTGCCTTCACAGGACATCTGAATCAAGAAAGGGAAATGCTAGTCCAGACAAATATTTCCCTCAGTTGAAAAATGGAGTCTATCAAGTGGAGATCGTGAAGTTGGGTGAAAGTATCCCTTCACAGGGGTGTTTGGCTAAAAAAACCATCCTCCCAAATAGTACTCCAGTGAGCAAGCTTGTGGCATCACCCATTACACGTGAGTAATACATGACATGACAATACACATGACAATACATTTGCTGAACAGTGCTCTCTAAATGATGACTTTGCTTGTGGGCTGGCTGTGAAACTTTTTCATCTAGCTCTACATATTACTATAGAGTCTTCACACTGTATCCAGGGTTTCAGAAGCATTTTGGAGATTAGGAGGGATTTTGCATGCTGTGAGAACATTTACATCAGAGATGGAAACATTTGCAAGTGATACCAAAGCATATCACTGTCTAAGCTGGTAAAAATGAAAAGGAGTTACCACCGTCTTTATGAGATTATTTCAAATTGTCACTTTATTTAATATGTAAAGAACACCAAGATGGTTACTCCATGCATATTTGGGTGAAGAACACATGCATATTTGTGTGAAAAAACAGACTTCTGGAACACCTCACAACTAAATTCCAGTTTTTTCCTTTGCCTAAACACAACTTAGGAAATCCTAATAAAAATGCTGAGTGATAAGAATTCTGTAAGCACATAATCAAACTTGAGAAATTAATTAGCCTACAGAAATCTAATCCTATATGTGTTTTATAAGCACAATGAGAGTATTTAAGAGAAGTCTTTACAGAGGTAGATGTTCTCACTCATTCTTTCATTGCATTTGTTTTCATTTGCAGTGTTGCATCATGCAAGATGTATCCAGACACTGCCAGTTAAGCGTAGCAGGCAGAAAATGTGCTCTGTCTAGCATGGCCAGGTAATACACACACATAAAATTCAATAAAATACAGGCTTGACTGCATCCACTGAAAAGTACAACACTCTGTAAGTAAAGTCTGTACACGTGAATGTGTTTAATGCTCTGACCACATGGCTGTATAAAAATGGTACAACTCCAGTAGAAATAAATGCCATCTGCACCTTAAAGATGGATCGCCTTGTGCTATTTCCAAACAACACCAGCTGCAGCTCCCCACTTCCCTGCTTGCCTGTGTCACTGCACAGAGTAATGTCCACAAGCTGGCCTCTGTCCCAAAGCCCTCCCAACAAACTGGGATGCCTGGAGTGCACCAGACCCCTCATCCCTCACAGACAGTATGAAAGCTGGCCAATAAAGGTTTTCATGGCCCTTGACCACACCTCTGTGATGACAGCTGTTCCAGCCAGGAAAGGTTAGTTGTTTTAGCTGAGGTTCAAGCACTGGAACAGGCTGTCCAGGGAAGTGGTGGAGTCACCACCCCTGGAGGTATTTAAAAGACGTATAGGTGTGGCATTTAGGGACATGGTTTAGTGGTGGATATGGCAGTGCTGGTTTAATGATTAGACTCAATGATCTTATGAAGTCTTTTCCAGCCTAAATGATTCCCTGATTCCCTAGGGATGCTAAGCCTGATGTGCTGCCATTTTGCCTGAGCAAAGATCCCCTCCCTATTTAGGTGTCACAGTCCTGTGAATATTGGCATGAGTAACTAAACTTGTAGCAAGACCCTTTCAAAAGAATACAGCTTCCTTTGGTGTTAAATGCTCTTTCCTAGTTTCACTTTTGGCTCATGTTACAAACTGAGTAATGGTAATAATTAATTTTAGAAGTTCATATTAACAATATCAAGGATGACAGTATAAGCCATACCCATGTCTGCCCTTAAGCTTTTTTATGTTCATCCAGGCTCAATTACACATTCCATATTCAGAAATGAAAAATATGACACTAATGTGCACATAAATAATGAAGCAAATCCATTGGGACTTCTGGGGAGGAGTGTGTTGAAAGCATGCAGTATCAGATATTAAATATGCATGTGTATTATTTTCTCAGTTGTAAGGAGATTTCTCTCTAAAGAAGTACTTAGGATTTGGGGTAGCCTTCAAATAATCTAACCCAGACCACCTTGAAGAAACGGGCAATGGGTTTTTGTTGGTTTCTTCCTCTCACCATCCTACAGTACGATTTTTTCCCAGGGAGAGCCTGTAGCCTGTTGAATAACTGATTAGTAGCCATCTGCTCCATTCAAGCTCTTTGACACAGACTGCATGTGAAACTAGAGGGATAACCCGGTGATTGCAGTTAACAGGGATGACCAATAACAAACCACCTGTTGACACGATTAAATAAGACCGAGGAAGTAAAAATTAGCATTCTGCAAAGCTTACCTGTAGTTTCTTCTTCCTCAGATTCATTGTCTTCATCATCATCATCATCCTCATCATCATCATCGTCTTCTTTATCCTCATCCTCCTTCTCTTCTTTTCCTTTTTTGACCCTCCCTTTCCCTCCCTCCCCCTCTGGTTCTTCCATTCTTTTCTCACCAGCCTCTTCCAGCATTTTATCCTCTTCCTTTTCTCTGCTGGCTGTTAAATTCATCATAGTTATGTCAGGAAGGCTTCCATCTTGGTGCACCAGTCTGTTGGTAAACAGCAGCATGTCAGCAAACTGAGGAGTAATGACATCAGTCTTTTTCTTTCTCAAACTGTATAATTAGAAAAAATTAAACTGTTCATGGAAAATGCCTTAGAAGTAGAAAAGTTAATGATTCTGGTACTCTCTCCAAACACACACTGAAAATTGAGTTGCTGGAATGTATTAGTAACTACTACTCACTCAGATACTAATGGTTAGTTAGTAATGAGTGGTATTGACACTTAAACTTGACATTTTCCCCACTGGAGAAAATGGTCAGAGTTTAAGATGTAGAAGCATGAAATGACATTATTTAAGAGGAAACATTTCATGACTTCACAGGGGACTTACTCATTTTGGTGGTTTGGTATTTTTTTCTTGAGGCTGCTCAAAGTAATTGGAACAGAAAGAAAAAGGGAGATGAGAACAGAGGGGTTACAGAAGAAGGTCATTGACAAATACGTCATGCTACATCACAAGTCATAAAGCATTCTCCTACGCCATCAGCGGAAGCCTTCTGATGCCAAGAGCATGCCATCATGACATTCACAGGGTGCTTCTATAAAGAAACATGGATTTGCAGCACAGATGGAAAGGGGGCAACCTATTTACACCAGTGCTAAACATGGTAAATGCTATACTGTGCTCTGAGCAATGCAGCTGAACCATCACAAGTATCTGACCTATCACTGTAATTGCATTTCCACCTTCCTCCAACTACAAGATGCACCTGGAAAGCCAAGGAGTTGGCAATTTTTCTTCTAGCTATAGATTTGGGAACAAACAAAAGCAAGAATTCCATGGCTGCACCTTCAGAAGATTTTATAATATCTGTGTTTGATAGTGCCATTTATTCTTTCTTTGCCACATGTCACAGAGAATTTTTCTTTAATTTATAATTGTCACCATCTAAATCTAATCAGTAAGTTTCATTGGGATATGACTGATTTAACACAGAAACAATATTTCTCTAGTGCCATGGTGCCTGTTTCTTTTTTTTCCTGAGATTATTCAGTATATATATTTTCTTTACTAGAGAAAATATATATTTTCTCATAGTTTTATTTTTTCTCCCACAGCTGTGCTGCTGGGACTCACCTCCCATAGCTGCAGAAAACCCTTTGAATATGACTCCTTGCAATGAAGTCTGCATTTGGCAAGTACACGATTAGGTCATTAAATGTTTGGTTATGCTATTGAAATTACTACACTCAGCATAGTTTCAAGCACCTGTAAGGCTGTTTAAATATGTGATAGTACCATCTCAGGGATTTATTTTTCTTGATGTGGAATTCTTGCATGTAACTATTTAGACAGGAAATTCTGCCAATTTTAGGATTTTTATATTTCAAAAAACTAAAAATCTATATTTTTTCCCTTGATCATTAATAACTAAACTAATAGGCTAGGCAGTTAATGAGAAATTCAAACAAGAAGAATTATTTTTCAATCATTTTGGAGTTGAAGTGTCTTCAAGATGGAAACTTTGGTGCCCCAAATGAAGGAAAAACTACAGAAATTTGACTCAGCAATCCTGAAGTAGAAATACCATGCCAATTGTTAAAAAGCAGAAAAATTGATTTAAAATTAGAAGTTTAACAAGACATTCAAACATTAAAAAAAAAAGAAGTAATAAAGTTTAATCACATTTTAGCCACATTCATGGCTAAAATTCCTCATCATGGGTTGGACAATGAACCTGTGTGTCTAATAACGAAAAAAAAATCCAGTTTATTCAGTAACTTTGGCTACTGAAAACAGAATCATAAAATAGTTTAGGTTGGAAGGGACCTTGAAGTATCCATCCCCACTGCCATGGCCAGTAATACCTCCCAGCAGACCAGGTTGCTCAGAGTCCCATCCAACCTGGCCTTCAGCACTGCCAGGACTGATCCATAACCTCCCTGGATGGTATGTTCCAGTGTCTCACCATTCAACAGTAAAGAATTTCTTCCTAATATCTAACCTAAATTTCCCCTCTTCCAATTTGTACACATTCCTGATGACAAGTCCCTCTCCAGATTCCCTGTAGGCCCCCTTCAGATACTGGAAGGTTTCTGTGAGGTGTCCAAGCAATCTCTTCTCCAGGCTGAACAGCCCCAACTTTCTCAGCCTGTCTTTGCAGGGGAGGTGCTCCAGTCCTCTCGTCAACTTTGTGCCTCTACTCTGGACTTGCTCCAATAGTTACATCTCCTTCTTATGTTGGAGACCCCAGAGCTGGATGCAGCACTCCAGGTGAGGTCTCACCAGAGCAGAGCAGAGGGGCAGAATCCCCTTCTTTGACCTGCTCACCACACTCCTTTGGATGCAGCCCAGGAATCCATCGGCTTTCTGGGCTGTAAGTGCATGCTACCGGCTCATGGTGAGCTGTTCACCAACCATCACACCCAATCACTTCTCCTCAGGGCTACTCTCCATCACTTCTCTGCCCAACCCATAGGGGTGTCTGGGATTGCCATGACTCAGGTGTAGGACCCTGCACTTTGCTTTGCTGAACCTCACAAGGTTTGCATGGATCTGCCTCCTGAGTGTGTCAAGGTCCCTCTGGATGCCATCCCTTCCGTCTGGTGTGTTGACAGAACCACACAGCCTGGTGTCCTCAGCAAACTTGCTGAGGGTGCCCTAGATCCCACTGTCCATGTCACCAACAAAAATGTTGAACGGTCTCAGCCTCAGTACTGGTGTTGAGAGGCACTACTCGTCACTGGTCACACGAACAATGAGCCACCGAGCAATTCTGCGTGTGGCCATCCAGCCAGCTCTTTATCCACCACGTGGTCCATCCATGAAAACCCTGTCTCTCCAATCTGGAGACAAGGATATCATACCGGATAGTGTCAAACACTTTGCATAAATCCAGGTAGACAATGCCAGTTGCTCTGCCCCTATTTATCAACACTGTACCCTTATCATACAAGGTCACCAAATTTGTCAGGCATGATTTCCCCTCAGTAAAGCCATGTTGGCTGTTACCAATCATCTCTTTTGGGACTCTTTGATTATTTTCGTATCTAAGTCACAGATCAGCTAGTATATGTACTAAAAGGATATTCAGATTTCTATAACGTGACTAAACATCAATGTTCCCTAAAATGACATGACTAACTTATATTTACCTGGAACTCTAATAAAGTATCAACAGGAGGGTCATGTATAAAGAAGAGAGAATGAATTTTCAGTTCAGTTCAAATGTTTTAGAGATCCCTGGTTACTATAAACCATCAGAGTTCATTTAAAAGGCAATAGACCATGAAATGAAAGTAACCACATCAAAACCAATCAGACAGGTTTTTTTATATATGCAATTGCATTGATTTTTATGAGATATCTTCCCAAGTGACTTTTATAATGAAAAAGTCTACATTCACACTGGTGTAAATCAAGGACTTAATGACTTACCTCAGTGTAAATTGGACAGAAACACAGTAACTCTATAGGATTTGGCATGAGTGGATTCATCTTTTTCTTATTCATATAATTCCCATTTGTGTTCTGGAAATCCAGGAGGCAAATGGGGTTATAAAGATTGGTACATGTAATATATATACCTGATAAAGCCTCAGTATGAGTTTAGTTTTCAGTAGGCTTAGTTTCATTGGCATCAGTAGGCTTGAGCATTGGATCATGTGCTTAGGACATCCAAGGACAGATAAAAAGCCCTGCCCAATGTTTGGAAAGTTAGTCTACTTGGAATCTCTCTTCCAAAACTTCCTTATGTATGGCTAGGATTGTTTTTCCAATTTCTTTTTTTTTTTTTTTTTTCTTTTTCATTATGAGATCACCTTATATTGTAACTGACAACACTGAGGTATTAAGATATAAAAACTTCACTAGTTTAGAATTCTTAAGACAAACTACCCATACATCTTCACAGCTAGTGAGATATGACTTCGTTGTCAGAAGGCATATTTTGGTGGGAAATTACCCCAAATAACATAAAGGCATTGTGTCTGATACTAAGGAAGAGAAATAACTAAATAACAATGCAGGCAACAAGCCTTGAAGGTACAGCCACTACAGCTTTTAGCTGAGAGTATTTCATACTCTCAGGTTCATTAAATAGGGCATCAATAATGAGAAGTATACCAACAGATCTAGTTTTTGGCAACAAAGCAATTTCAGTGGCACTAAAATCATGCTTGTGCCACAAAGACTTTCACCTATTTTTCATTTACTAGAGAAGAAGGTTAATTAATTGAATGAATTACTAAGCATCTTTTGTCTTTGATAATTTTTTGCTGTTTATGAATTGCTTGAAACTTTCTGGCTAAAAGAAGTTCTCCAGTATCTTTCACAGAAAGCCTTAAGAACAGAAAGCTTTCTGCTCTGCAGAACACTTTTTTTTTTTTTTTTGGTGAACTTTTAAGAATGGTGACCCAAACTATGTGATGACATTTAAGAAGGAGCATGAAAATGACTCATAAATTGACTTCTTGTTAGACCAGGTAGTCACAAATATCTAAACAATGTATCTTCATGGTTTTTCTGTTTATATTCAGTTGTGACAACAACTCAGAAGTCCTTCTATTCTCAGAGATGATTAAAAAATAGCTCACATTTATTCCAGTTAAGTGTTTTGAAAGGAATCTATTTTATGGAACAGTTTTTAAGATGACATTTATAAAGGGATGATCACGATGGTAGTTTTTCTAGTTTGGATCCTGCAGCACCCAACTCAGCCCATGAATTAACAGCCTTAGCATGCAGTGGGTTCAGTGTTCCCTTTCCAACTCTGAAATTTCAGTCTGTACAAACTCGTAATGCATACCACGTATTTAAGTGAACAGTCCCTCAAATTCCCATTCTTACATGCTTGGAGAAAGACAGGGGTGTCTGTCTCTGTCTGTGTGTCTGTGTGTACACAGGCGCATGCAGGCATGCATCTTTCCATGCACAAATAAAGGGTAGATAAACGAGCCTCCTCAACCAAATCTATTGTCTGCAGCCAATTACAAATAGCATCAATTATTCCTGCATTGAGGCATGGGCAAAGTTTAGGAGAATTCTCAGCTGGGAGAAGAAACTCACAATGTATAAATATGCAGAAGAGGTGTATTAACTGCTTCATCAGCTTTAGGAAACTGCAATACCTGAACAACGTTATCTCCCTGCTTACTTCACAGTACTGTGCAGCAAGAACATACTTTGCTTTAAGACAACTAAGAAGTAACAAAAAAAATAAGGTATATCGGTTTTTAAGGAAAGGAAGAATTGAAGTACCCACCTATTAATTATTAGATATACACGGCCATTGACTTTGGCATGGCTATGAGGTGGGAGATGAAAGCACAAGATGAAAATGGGAAATGATTAGAGAGAGAAAAGAAAACTGTTAAATAGGAACAAACACACTTTCCTGTCTACCAATGTGTTATGACACATTGTCATAACAATGCACACTCTGAAATTTTAACATACACCATGCAGTGAAAAGTCTAGGAAGCTTATAAAGGCAACTCTTAGACATTAAGAGCCTATGCAACTTTAGTCAGAACTACAGATAATTTTCACAGTCCTCAAAATGTGAGAACAGCCTCTACTGCTTTACTTTAAGTAAGCCTTAGAATACCACCATTTTTAAACATATTTTCTTTTTTTAAAAAAAAATACGCAAAGGTAATTACGGCAGAGCATCATATCAGAGAAATTATCTACCTCACAGCCTTTTTCTCTGCCATCCCATAATCCATGGTACAGCAAGGAAATGGGCTTGGAAAGTCCTAATCAGAGAGTTTTCCTTTCTCTTGCAGATGTAAAACTGAGACTCTTGGTTCTGACATCTTTATAAATCATGAGAAGTGCCTCACTCTGCCAGTTCCAATAAGCCAATTTTTTGCCCTCTCTTTAAAGCTGGCAGACCTTTACTCTTCAACTCACTGCAAATTTTGCTCATGAGAAGCTGCATTTGAATAAATGCACATTCTCATTAAGTTTAACAGGACTCTTCAGTTGCACACAACTGTAGTATTGTATTCACACCTGGCAGTTCAAAGGCAGATGGAGGAACTGGACGTGCTTTCTTTATTGCTTTCATGACAATCTCTCAGCTGCTGTGCTTATTTTAAGAAGCTTACAATTAAAAGGACTGAGTTCTGTCTTGTTACTTAAAATGAAGGTTCTGTTTCTGTATTTAAATTTTTTTTTGTTGCCAAAGGTGCAGCATAAAAGCAGTTCAGAAAGGTAAAACATTAAAGTGAATGCTAATGTCTTCAAAGCAAAAAGTAAAAATAAGTTTTAGTAGCTTTGAGAGAAAACTCAAATATATGAATGTTGAATCTGTTTTAATTGCCCCTGCAACTTCTTGCTAGCTTTACTGTTAAGATGAAGTTGGTTGTTGTGTTAGTTCTTATCCAGCTTTATGCATCACCAATACAAATGTCAGCTGAGCTCTTGTCGTGAAGCTGTGAACTATAGTTAGCTGATGCTCAATAGTGATTTATTGCATCAAGGGAAGAAAAGAGTTGTATTTTCATGTCAGGCAGTGTTATTAGGAATACAAACCAAGAAAACTGTTCTGATTTGGGTGTTGGTCATAATATTTAAAGCTGCTCAGGAGGAACAAAGGAGATACGTGGTATTCGTGATTTTGAAAATAGTGAAAAATGGGAAATGTAACACACATGCCAAATTTAACAGTTAAAAATAAGCAGCTACTTATGTGACTGCTTAATACAATCTAGTACACATTTAAACCCCAAAAAATAGCATTCTAATTCCAAGATAAAAAAGCTGATAATATCACATGATCCTCTTCATCTGCTACTTTAATAAAAAGCCTGGTAAGACAATGAATGTCCACTTTCAGCATAATACCTCAAGGCTACTTATTCCTGGAAAAAATGTTTGCTCACAATGCATTAAAACGTTTTGTGTCTTCACCATCAGCAGTTCCATCCTTTGGGAATAAAGTGACTTTAGTCACAGTGATCCCCTTCATGCCAGCATTTGGAAAACTGTATAACATTCTTGTATCTTTGATGTCATTTTCAAGTAGTGGTTTTCACAGGCAAAGTGAACCCATCAAAATCCTGCCAGGGCCTCAGGGTTATTTTCTTTGTATTCTGTGTCTATTGGATCCCACTGGAAGGGAGGTGGAAACTTCCTATGTTACTCAGCAAAAGTGCAAACTTTGGGCTGCAAGGCAGCTTGTGGAGTTATGGCAAACTGTAAAGCATTCCCCCAAATGCCTCAGCCCAGGAACAGCCCCATTTCAGCTCAGACACATATCTGGGCTCTGTTTTCAGGACTTAGCCAGTTCAGAGCTGTTGACACGTACCTGCTGCTGCACAAAAGTCCACTATGGGCATGTGCAGTTTGCTCACAGGCCATTACAAAAGTGCCCTTGAATCTACCATCACATTTAGCAATTCCAGAAGGGCAATGGGGGAGTTATTACACAGACAGACATTTAAAAGGTAAGTTTAATCCCCGCCCCCACACCTTTATTGGGAAATTCTATCAAGTTTGATCTCTTCCGGTCTTAGCAATTACTTCAATACAGAGACTGGAAGCATTCCATAAAACTGGAGCTTATTCTCATGGCATAAACTTGTACCATAAACTGTGAAGTAGCTCCAGATTGAATCGAATGTATGAAAAATATCTGAAATGCTTTGTAAATTTTGCGTAACCTAGAACATAATTCCCTGTTAAGTAACTGGCATTATTCCATAACACCCTGTGGTCTATGTGGTGCTATGCAGCTAGTCCCCATTCACAGAAGTGCAGCTGAGATACATTTATCATTAGACAGGTGAACATTCTGAAAGTAGGGTCTAAATTAATTGCTTTCTTCAGAGAATGAATGAACTCTCATTGCATACTATAACCCTATGTACCACAAAATAATTTCCCCCTCTTTATTCCTGGCTCAGTATCCTAGGCCAGATTGGTTTTTATGCAAGAAAATATATAAGAATTGAACACACTGAAAAAGTGATGTCCTAGGTTCATGAAAAAATGCTAATGAATGTCTGGATGAAATCACCAAATGTCAAGGTGTTTCTATGAAAAGAAACCACAAACTCAGAATTTTTCCATTTCTGAAGTTCAACTTTACAAAAAGGCCTAACTGTTCAATGAAAATGTGGTATTTTCCATAGATCTCCCAATCTTCATGTGGCCCTCAAAATGGATGTTGAAAAAAAAGAAGTGACCCAAAATAAAAGCTATATTTCTTATTAGTGACAGGAACACACATACCAAAGGACTCACACAGTAATTAAGCACCTAAATTCCATTGAATGTCAAAGCAAATGAAATAAATACATAAATGCCATTACTACCTTTGAGAATGAACCCTAAAATGAAAAGTTCAGTGTGTAGGGGAAAACAGGGAGAGACAGATACTTTGGTTGTAGTGGAGTGCTGGATACTGTGCACTTTCTTTTTAAGCCAGGTAGTCATAGCAAAGGCATATAACATCTACTGAAAAGTGAGCTCTACAAGATAGTGAGAAACAGCATTTCCATACAGAAAATAAATAGTTCCATTTACTTGGCTTCTTTACCTGTAAATAGTGTTGTCCTGTTTGCTGGTTACAGCTTTTAAATCAGTGATCTGGAGAAACCGATCGTGGAAATAGTGAAGGTGTAAAATACACACCAGTAGGAAGGAGGTAGGGATAAAGATGCGTGTGAATAGATCAGCCACAGAAAACTGTTTCAAGCCAAGGTCCTCTAGTCTGGAAAAAAACCAAAATTCACTAAGGCATCTTTTCACACAAAATATTCTTTCCATGAGACATTATTACAAATGATTTGCAATAGGAAATAAGGGGATGTCACTTTATACATGGTTTTGGTTTCTAAAATTCTCACAAACTAGCAATATTTACAATGCAAGTATCTTGTGTTTGGACTCAGTAATGTAGAGATTTACTGTAAATGCACTGTCAAATGAAAAAACCCTGCCACAGATCTCTTGAATCAGATGAGTTTTCTCTGACTGAAAGTCCTGCACTGGAGATCCACTCCTATTGCTTATACTTTCTAATGTAAGCTCCTCTTGAGAAATGACCAACTCATCATAAAGATGAAGAAACCCAGTCTTCCTTATTAGCAGGAGAGCAGGTTCACCTTCATCAGTTCCAAACATCCTGCAGATCTACCCTTAATCTTTCCCTGGATCTGGTTCCTATTGTCAAAGTGGAGAAGAGAAATATTGTCACTTTATTGAGAACAGAAGCAATCCAATGGCCTAAGCAGCCAACTGGAGAAAATATGACTCTGAGCTCCTCTCTGGGTTTGCTCACTTCTATGGTTACACCAATAAATAACTGAGTGCCTAAAATCAGCTATGCCTGAGAATGGCTGCAGGACATTTTTCTCCCATAAGGAGGAAGACTACTCTCAGATCCTCCAGTGACACTGAACTCAGAGATCCAAAGATAAAAATAAAAAATTAATCAAAACCACTTACTTCCTTTCATCCAGGCCTGTCATATTCTTCCACAACCCAGGAAATGACTCAAACTGGTATGTGTAGATGAAGATAAGTACCAACATTGTGTAAACAACCACTGACATCCAGAAGTACTTTAAAATCTTCCTCCACCATTCATAGTGTACCTGAAAATCACACACTAAAGATGCTGACACAAGCTGAAGGCAAAGACACTGATAGAAATATTGACGACATTGTATTGTCAAACAAGGATGAAGAACACTATTTTTCCGTGCTAGTTTGAAATAAGCAATGATTACCCAGCGCGAGGCACAGATTTTTGACATAGTATTTACTTCTGATTATTCAAGTAAAGACTTTAATGCAAAAAGGTCTGATGAGACAGGAGCCACAAGACACAAAGTCAGGAACAGCTTTAGTCACCTAATTTCACCACCATTAGGTGGTGAAAGTCTAGGAGAGGGACTACCACGCTCATTGGGGTTTGGAAGCTGTGTGGACCAGCTGTCACAACAATTGGTGATTATGTAGAATGTGCACAGACTCAGAATCTTCCACAAAGGTTCCAAAGCTGATGGTGAAGTGGCATGGCTGAGCAGAGGTGTGCATTGTTTCTAATTTACATGCACTTTGCCTGTCACTATAACCAAAAACCAAAGGAAAATTAGTCTTAATCCCTTCAAGTGGTCTTATTCTGTTGTGTCCAACTAAAGAAAAATTCACTGTTCATGAATTCTATTTGGAGTTACTTCATTACCAAGCTAAAAAGTTCTATTCAAGGAGAAATTTAAGTTAACACAGTTCTCCCTTACCTGGTAGAGGGCCACACAGAAGAGGAACAGTACCATGTAGATGATTTTGTACATGACAATTGTACCCTCAAAGCTGACAAAGAAGAACATGCCCCCACAGACGTAAATCCAGTACTTGATTAACATAGCCATCACCAGCTTCCCCAAGACTTTCATAATATCCTGTTCATCCTCCTCCTCTCCCTCCTCCTCCTCTTCCTTCTCCTCTTCCTGTTCTTCTGACACTTCTCCCTCTTGCGACTCCTCTTCTGCAAATAAAGAGTCACATTTGGCCTGTCTCTTCTGGGGACTTTCAGTAAGAATTTAAATGCACGGAAACTAAAATCTCTGCACACAACACAAAATCTTAAAACTCAATATTCACAAGAGACTGCAATTCCTAATCATGTGTGCCTCCAGAGTAAGGAAAAGTTTTTTTAACTTCATATGAGCTTAAACCTGCTGCTGGAGCCATAGGGCACATGGCTATACATCCTTACCAGACACCTATCTTCATTTTGTCTGAAACAAAATGCAGTTGTAGTAGAAAATTAGAGCCTAAGGGTTGCATAATGGTTAATAGCCAAAACACTTTCCATGGCAATGCTGATACTCTCAAGTAAGCAACCTTTTAAACTGGAAAACAAAGAAACCACCAGCACCAACAGAAACCTCTCATATTGAGTTTAAACTCCCATCTCGAGCTGGAACCTCTCATCTTGAGTTTCATCCTTTAGATAATATTGTGTTTACCTCCATAAACCACAAGCAAAGGAAAACATTAACATAAACCCAAAAAAGCTTAGAATTTATAAATGCTGTACTAACACTGCAGTTTGTTTTTTTTAAAAAAACCCTACCACTTATCCAGGTTTTTGTGCTGCACCTGGGCCAGAAAAGACAAGCTGCTTTAACCCTATGAAGAGGTCAAGATTCCCCAGTTATTAATCTTATGAAGTATGTGGAGGGCAGGGTAAGTGTCCCCTCAGCAGCAAGTACATGTGCAAGTACCTAGATAACAGGGCTTGCCTAAACCATAGTACAGTTGTTTTTCTTTCCATTGAGAGCAACATTGAAACTTCATTATCAAAAGGCTTGCTCACTCCTTTTGTCCCACTCACCATCCCCCTCTCTTCAGGTTCTTGCCTTGAAAATCCTTGTTGTACAGCTTTGACACTGATCAGCTGTTTTACTGAGGCAAGGATTGTAATTAATCAGAGACAAAACCACACTACTGTTTCCAGGGCTCACTTTCTACCATTTCAGTGCACTGAGCTTTTTCAGTTAACATCCTGAGAGAGGGGGGCAAGGAATGTTTGGAGAAACATGTCCCCAGTAGAAAAAGAAAGAATAGGTCACTGAGTTGTCTGATAAGCTGAACCTATGAGAGTAAAGTTTGCTCTCAGGTGTGCTTGAGCCCCTGCACTGAAAAAATATGTGTTTATTTTTTTTCCACTGAAATTTGTAGTCTAACTTCTGTGTCTGTGTAAGAGTTTATGTACCAACACAATTTCCAAGGAATTGAGCAACTTCTAGGTAAAGTCATCTTCTGTGGTTAAACTTTAGGGCAATCCCCTGGTTTGACTTGGGAACACAGCAGTACACTGATCACTTGAAAGTTCCATGATCTTTCTAAAATGAGTAATTTTATTACCTTCCAGCAAAGAACATATGATTTCAATTTCTAAAGTTCAGAAGTGTTTTATATCTGAGAGACAGCTGCACATAGATTTTGTAGTATCTTTCTTAGCCAATAACAGATACCTTGCTAATTGCTTTCAGCATCAGAGAAACGCAGTAACTGGAACTTCTATCATGACTGAAGGACTAAATTGGATCTGGCTTTACCTTTTTCTTCATTTTCTTCACTTCCAACTTTGACCTCAGATAAAGTAGCTTCTTTTAGCCGAAGTGCTTTCTGTTCAGTGAGGTGTTGCCTAAGCAGTAGCCAGAAAGTAATTGTGAAAAGAATCTGCAAACAAAAATCAAAACAAAACCAACAGACTAATTGTATATCCTACGTCCTACTGATACAAGCATAGGTTTTCACAAATTTTGCATGCCTTTGTTTTCTCTGTCTTTCAGAAAATGGCAGTGATGGCACCAGTGTCAAAGGGGGCAAGTTATGTTATTTATGAAACATCCTGCATTACAGACAACTTTGCTTCATTTGCACTTTTCCATTTCTTAAAGGTATTCACTTATATGTGCCTATTCCTACCCCATTTTATTCAGTTTTAAACTACTGTCTTATAAGTTTAGGGATCTTCCTATTACTCATTGATTGGTATAATTTCCATTTGTTGTTTTTTTTGTTAATTTTTTACTGGTTTTTTTTTTTTTTCAGGGAAGAAACACATGCAAGAGTGTGTTGTCATTATCATGGTTTTGTATATCATAAATATTTTGAGATGGGAGGTTTGTTACTTCAGGTGCTTAAACACAGCAAATTTAAAAATAATTTTTTTTGTATGTCTTGCAGTTACAGAAGACCCAGTCAATGGAATATATCTTGCATTTGCAACAATTACAAGAGTTGAGACAGCTCTTAATTCTTTTAAGGCCTTCAAGAGATGATAATTCAATAACAGCAGGGTACCTTAGAAATAAACAGATCTCTTTAATGAAGAGTGCATTTCTGTGTTTTGCAAAAAGCTAAATTCAACAGCTTGCAATACCAAAAGATGGACAAAAATTAGAAAACAGCATGATGCCTATTGTCACACAATTTTATGCTTACTTTCTACAAAGGTTTTGCTAATTTCCCTTTGCAGGAGGAGACATATTTCACTACATAGCTAGAAGAACAAAATTTCAAAGAGGAAAATCGTAAGAGCCACATACTTTGCACACAATAGAATGACAAGGCCAGTGGTACAATGTATTTTTTTTTCTTACACACAAGACCTTAATGGGGTAAAGGATTGCTCCCAGGAGATGGCTTTTTTATTGACACTTCTGCTAGCACTGAGCCATGGCAGCAGATTGTCATCCTGTGTGACTTGTCACAGCTTCCCCAGATACCTCCTGGAGCTCTGGCTTTTGCAACACAAACCTTTGATATTGTAAAACACACAGTTTCTTCTGCAGTGATTAGCTCTGTCTTCCCACTACATTTACTTCTTTGTTCTACCTGGAATTTCCAGAGCCAGAGCTGGCTCTAAGTCTTAAAGGGTTGCAGACCAAAGCAATGCTTTTAGTCACCTCTCACAGCATAGATGTTATTTCATTTTCAGACCAGGAAACACATACAGCATGCAGAAACTTATGCAGAAAGAATTACAGTACACTTCTATTCTTCTTTCTGCAGAATACAATATCCAGTCTTCATTTAAATTCAACCATTATTCAAAGGACTTTAAATTAGGAATAAAGGGGGTACAGAGTTACCAGTGCCCTAAAGAGAGACTGATGGACAAGGCTAACAAGCAAAGGGTTATGTGAACAAAAGTAAATACACACTCAGCAAATCCAGGCTTATGCAGGATCACTGTAAGCATTTGTATATGAGCAAGGCAATTACTTCAACACAGCCTTACAGGGAAAATGCCAGATTCTTTCTGGGAAAACAGCATGTCAGGTGCCCCTCTGAAGTACCTGTACACTAGAGCTCTGCAGCATGGAGAACAAACCTAAGCAATTAGCGATCTTTGCACAGGGCTGTGGTCTTTTTGGGATGAGAGAGACAGGAAATGATGCCTTGAATATTTGCAATACATAGCTACAGTCTCTTTAGGAAGCACAGGCCAGAGAGGAGCAGAGGTGAAGCTGGGATTTGGATGGAAACAGAGTTGGAATGCATAGACTCTGCCTGGGGATGGAGGATGGACTAGGTAATCTGGGAGGAATGCAGAGACTGGCCATGCATGCACAGATATGGTTAGAAAAGTCAAGGCCTGAGTCTGACAAGGTATGGCAAGAGCAACAAGATTTACTTCTGTACATGCCTCAGCAGAAAAAGGAAGGCTAGGGAAAATCTAAGGCCACTGCAAGGGCCCTGGTTACACAGGCTGAGGTACCTAATGCCTTCTTTGCCTCAGTCTTTGCTATCCTTAAAGAAACAGAGTTCCTAGAGACCATGGAAAAGTCTGAAGCAAGGAAGAGTCTTTCTTTGGTGGAACAAGTTTGGATCAGGGAATATCTAGAGAAAGTGAGCATACAAAAAATGCATGGGTCCTGATGGGATGTACCCAGGAGCTGGCTGGTGTCACTAGTAGAGGTTACTCTCTCAATGACCATTGATCAAATGTGGTGACAGGAGAATTGCTGAAGGAAAGCAAATGTCACTCTTATCTTCCAGATGAAGGATCAAGCCTGGACAACCTCACTTCAATCCCTGGGAAGGTCATAGTGGTGAGATGCCAGAAAAAGCTTTCTAGAGAAGCTGTGGATACTCCACCATTGGATGTGTCTGAGGTCAGGCTGGATGGAGCTTTGAGCAACCTGATCTAGTGAAAGATGTCCCTGCCTATGGCAGAGGGATTGGACTAGAAGATCTTGAAAGGTCCCTGCTGACCCCAAACTATGCTGTGATTCTAATGTGATGGAGGAGCCAATCACAAAAAAAACTTCCAGGCAAATGAAGGATGAGAAAACCATTAGGAATAGTCAGAGTGTATCCATCCAGGGGAAGTCATGCTTGACTATCTTGATAAACTTTTATGATAAAATGACTGACCTGGTAGATGAGAGGAGGGCAGCAGATACTGTTTCTTACTTAGACTCCAGAGGGAAACTGTCTCTCATGAGATGCTCAGGGAGAAGCTGATGAAGTGTGGGCTGGATGAGCAGACAGTGAAGTGAACTGAAAACTGACTGAACAGCTGAGCTCAGAGGGTGGTTATCAATGGCATAAAGTCTAGTTGGATGTCAGTGATTAGCAATGTGCCCCATGGCTCAATACTAAATCCAGTCTTGTGCAATATCTTCATTTTTAATCCAGATGATGGGGAGAGTGTACCCTCACTGAGTTTGTTGACAATGCACAACTGGGAGGAATGGCTGATTCACCAGAGTCATGCTGCCATCCAGCAGGACCTCGACAGGCTGGAGGAGGGGCTGACAGGAAAATCAGGGCATTAAACAAGTACAAAGTCCTGCTCCTGGGGAGGAAGAACCAGCTCATGCACCATTACATGTTGGGGTCTGACCTGCTGGAGAGCAGTTTGGCAGAAACAGCCTGTGGATCCCGGTGGATAACAAGTTACAAGTAAGCCAGAAATGTGCCCTTATGACAAAGAATGTTAGTGCCTGCATTAGGAGGTGTTGACAGCAAGTTGAGGAAGGTGATTCTTCTTCCCTGCTCAGCACTGGTGAGTTCATATTTTGAGTGCTGTGTCCTATTCTGGTACCCCAGAACAAGAGAGATGGATGTACAGGAGAGAGTCCAGCTGAATGTCCATGAAGGGACTAGAGCATCTCTTCTATGAAGAAGACAAAGCTCAAGGGGAATCTCATTTGATGTCTAAAAATATCTGATAGGAGGTGCAAAGAGGACAGAGCCAGTCTCTTTTCAGTGGTGCTCAGTGATGGGACCAGAGGCAATAGGCACAGACTGAAACATAGGAGGTTCCCTTTGAACATCAAGGGAACACTTTATTTCCTGTGAGGGTAATAGAGCACTGGCACAGGTTGCCCTGGGATGTAACAAGAGTTTCCACTCTCAGGGATATTCAAAAGCCATCTAGGCATGGTCCTGGGCAATCAAGTCTAGATGGCTCTGCTTGAGAGTTGGATGACCTCCAAAAGTCTCTTTTGGCTTCAATTTTTGTGTGATTCTGTGAAAGTTTTGGAATACATTTTATTCAGCCTAAAAAGCCCCACTAAACATCTAATGGCTTTATGGATGTGGCCAAATCACTATATATACATGACGGCTTCCTTTCTTGACAGTATCTGTTTTTAGACAAGATATATTTGATGATATAGCCAACAAGAAGTAATGTCAAAGGGAATGAAGTATTAAGACAGTTAAAACTCCTTAGAGATTTATGAAGTCATTGAAAGAAATTAAGAACTTCTCTTGCAGAACCCCTTGAGCTTTATCCCTCTTATGAAACTAACCCAACCTTTACAAGAGAAATAATACAGCATTCACTAACATTCAAATGCATTAAAGACCCAGAAAGGTTTGTCCAAAGGGTATTGCCAACAAGGAAGATGACATACAGAATCAACTTAAATTGTAATTAGGAGTCACAAGGGAAGTGATCCACTTAGCACAAGGAGCAGTGCCAACTAGATGCACTCCCTGAGATGCCCCTCTTGGGTGCTCTAAGAAAAAACATCCTATTTTCGCTCAGTCCCTTCCCCAGGACTTGCAGAACAAAATACATTTTCAAGACATTAAGGAAAAAAAATCTATCATGCACTGGAATCATCAAATTCTCTTGGTTCTAACCTGAAATGGATTTCAGCTCGTGCTGATTCAGGTGTAAGGATAAAGAATCAAAACTCAGCCACAGCTATGTGCTGCTGTTTGTGCCAAACCACTGGGGAGAGAGTAGTACTGGTAATTGCAATGACAGCACAGTTCCAGTGGCCATTATTGTCACAGACAGATCTGACATCCCATGGGTATTAATCTAGCGAATCAAATAACATCTGATTTTGAATTCAGTTAATAAAATCAAACGAGAGCAATTTCAATCCACCAAGTATTTTCTACAGAATTATCATGAAAACCTGAAAGGTGTCTGAAACATTTGCTCTAGTATTAGCTTAATATGCAAGAATCAGTTTTCTGAACACTCTTTCTAATGACTTAGCCTTTACTTCAGAATTGCTACTGAAAGTGGTTACACTGAATACTGTGGATGTACTCTTAAAGAACTGTCAAGAGATCCATATTTTTATCACAATATATTTTGTGGTTTTGCAAATAAATCTCAGCTGGTTGTTACACATACCTTTGATGCCAGCTCCCCAGGGTCTTTTCTTTTTAAAAAACCAGATACTTGAGGAAGTTCATCATTCTTGAGCTCAATACTCCATATATACTGTAGTATTAGCAGTAAATTTCCATAAAAAACCATGAATGGTGAACTGATCATGGCATATTTCCTTCGGTCCCGAATCATCCACAATGTGCAAGACCAGATCAGTAACACAAAAGTCAACCAGCTGTGATATGTGATGCTCCACGCCTTGTAGAAGGACGAAAGAGAGGAAAAAATGTCCACAGATGCATTCAGAAACAACACAGATGCAGATTTCCAGTTAAACTTTATTTACTCTACTCAGTGTATATTTTCATTTTCATCAGACTCTCGCCCATATTAATCACCTACTGGACTAGCTAAAACAAACCCCTTGGAGAACATGCAGAAAGTAGATTCTGAGAGCAAACCCTGCTTGATGCATTAGCTGCATTTTGTAAGCAGACTTATTGCTTCTCATTACACCAAACTAAAAGAGATGGAAAATAAAGATTAAAGTTTGGGCACAGAAATTCTTGCAAAACAGCAGCAAAGAATTCAGAGCAGGAGTAGCAAAACCTAATCAATGGGTACTGCATTCATGGCCTTTGACAGAATTACAAAACAGCATCAAATCCATATTGCTCTAGCTTTTGTGGAATCAGTTTAAAATGGAAAGCTATGGTGTGCACCCACTAACCTGAAGAATGTTTAGTCTACAGTAACCATGGTAGATTACCTGAATATTCACAACTACAGAACATTTTCTACAGCTTTCAGAATTCAGTTATCAAAAACTTCTCTATTAAACACTCAAGAAAAGGATTTAGGGGAGTAAGTGTTTTTAACTACATTGTGTTAGTAAATTAGCACTAAATTTAACTGTATATATGCTGCTGTAACTGTGGAATAACCTTCAATAAAGCATTAAAAACTAAAGAAAATTATTAAACATTAAGAATATTTTTATCATGTTAGCTTAGCCCTCCTGGAAATGATGTCTTTTAAGAGTATGTGAAAAACACTGATATGCTAGTTCTCCATCCTGTATGAGAAAATAGCTTACACTGAGCTGTCTTTGGCTGTAGTACAAATGGAATTAGCATCAGAGGATACCAAAAATAAATTAATAAATTAATTTGGATCACATAAAATCAGAATACTTCCTAAAGAGAAAAGCTAGCATTAAAGTACAAGTAGGTTCTTCAAAGACATGGTCTCCTTTTATATTGAGAGATATAACCCTGGGAATTAATTAAAAGGGAAATGTACACCTGGTCTTGTAGAAGGTGTCTCTGCCCAAGGCATGGGGGGTGGAACTAGATAACTTTTAAGGTTCCTTCCAACCCAAACCATTCTATGGTCTAAGAAGTACATGAATTTAAAAAAAATAGAAAAAAAAAATACTGTGTCAACATGAAAATAACTAACTACTTGTTAATATCTCAGAATGCATCAATCCAGATCTGTATTTTGCTTTATTTACAGCAGAAACTTTTTCTGTTAAAACACAGCAAATAAAGTTTGAAACTTTATGCAAACAAAAGGCAGCCAAGGTAATTTGTTTTACCATTTTTAATGCAAAATTGGGCCAAGAAGCTTTATGGTTAATTTCATCATAGTTGAAACTCTTCCAAAACAGTAAAAGCAAAGCTTGCATTGGGAATATAGAAAGACATCTAATCATTCTGTGGAAACCTTGGTATAGTGCAGCTCAAAGGAGCAACAAAGGAGGCTTAAAAACAAGAAATGGCATGAAAAACAGAAAGAAAGAAGAACACAAAAGTCTGACTTGGCACAAAGTTGAATTTTCATTGATATCTTCCTGTGTCAATACAAGAAACCAGGATTTACAGATCCTTTCTTCTCAGAGTCATTTGATGTATGCATCACCTGAATCAAAAACTATATTTTTACTGTTTTCTAAATCAGTATGACATACTTTAATTTTATTGGTAAATTTCTGAGTGGTGCAAACACATGACAAACTTGCTTTTGCAGAAGCTTGGGAATCAATAGAAAATTGAGACACAGTGGTTTTCAGATATTCAACAGACAACAAAGTCAGGGGCTCCCAGTCCTGGAAATGTGTTGCCCTATTTAAAGGTCTGTAACAGGCCTCAGAATTATATATTAATAACCTAAAATGAGCTTAGAGTGATACAGAAGCCATCTTTATATTTTTAAGCCTGATGCAAAGACTTGCTGAAAGCCAACTTTCAGTAAAGCACAGAGAAGACTCTTGTAAAATCAACTGCATTACTCTTTTTGTTGCCAGTACTTACCATCATAGCTATTAGAGCACAAATGTAACTTTGTTTCATGATAAATTGAAACACAGAGACCAGGGCATGTAATTTAACATTTTCCTTTTCCTCCTGAGTAACTTCCTCTTCTTCTTCCTCCTCCTCTTCCTTTACTAGGTGGAAAAAGAAATCCTTATTTGCAATCCATGCTGGTGTAAATATAGTACATGCATCCTCTCCTGAAATTATTTTGTTTGAAATCCTCTGATGGCTACTTCAAAACACTGTGCTGGTAGGCAAAGTATTTCGGAGAGTATACACCTACAGCCCAGTTTACAAAACTGCCACATGGGCATCCATCATTGCAAGGTGACAGCAGTTATTTAACTTTAACAGGCCAAAGAGCTTACCAAAATGACAAGAAATGCTAGAGGCAGTGACTGGAGATACGGAATAAGAAAAACACGTGAAAAAAATGACAATTCCTAGGCAATTTACTACCTGATGTGCCATCCGCAGGCTCCCACTTGTACTGTGGTGTGGAGTACATGTCTGCTTTGGCTGGACCATTCTCTAGTGGCAGTGCAGGGTGGATGGTGTGATAGTCAGCTGGGTTCCCGTTCACTGTTACCAGCAGCACCTGCAGGACACCGGAGAGAGGCACTGCGTTTACCGTGGCTCTCAGAAGACTGGGACTCCTACTCCTGTGTTTTGCTACTTTTAGAGTGCCAATGTTAAAAGAGCCTAACAGGCAGCTGCAGCTACTTCCAAGAAACTGATATGTTATTTTCATGTTGCATGCAAAAGTAACACGGAACAGCTTCCAAAATTAACTGTTGTTGGATTTTTATGTCATACCAATAGCAGTAACCAAAAATTCATCCTTCTTCTTAGGCAAACTACTACATTAGGATTTTCAGACTTCAGTTCACATCTAATTATTTCCAGAAGTTAATAAAATAATGGCTATAAATGACTTTCCAATTTGAATTATTAGTGGTGAGATCTATATTTGCAGCTGTTAATAAAATCATTTGTGGTAATCATTGCTACTGATGACACATTTTTGTCACTTAGCAGTGCTAATTCAACACTCTTTCATTGTTTTATTTTTGTGACTTCAATTTCAGCCCTTGTGCTTGTTTGGCTAAGGGCTCCAGCAATCACAATCATCAGTATTGGCAGAAATGCACATGCAATGGGTTAGTGATGGCAGTATGTGCTCCAGACTGACTTCTGCTCAGGCTGGGAGATAGGGTCATATCTTGCTTGTCAAGACTATGCTCAGGCATGTCTGTGAACAGCCATGTGTTCACAACAGCCTGTGAACTGTTTCAGAATAGTATCTGGGTTATGTTCAGTCATATCCAGCTGCACCAAGTACAGACCATGGAGCACATTTGGATTTACGGATGCTCCTAAAATTCATCTTCATCTCCGTTCTTCTGTGTGTGCTAAACCGAGGGGACTTTTCTGCTTTCAAAGTCTGCTAAGGTCTATAACAGTCACGATAAATTGATCATTTGCTGCCTGTTCAAATAAAGACTTGGATTTTCTGTAATCTGTAAATTGAACTCATATGTGGTTTTGGTCATGCTTTAAAGGCCTCAGCATTCCAACATTAATGAAAGAAAAAATATAGCAAAGAAACTAAATCAAATTTAAAGGTGGCTTGCATTAGAAAGCGTATTTTCATATCTTATTCAAACCCAATGAAATAGCAAAGATCGTTTGCCAGTTGGTACTACTACAAGCAGCTTAATTTCAAGTGATCAATCAATGGTTTCTCAGGGAAATTATTAAGGAAGCAGAAGACAATTACATCTAGGATAATCAAAATTATAGGCTACATGTCAGGCTAACCATAAATCTACTAGTTTTACAAATGTCACCTAAGGTTTTATCTGTAGGTATCATTGTTGTCTGTATTTACACACATTGAGAAGAATTGCAAAATTACAAAGACTAGTAGTATACTAACATCCGATGGCTTGTATTCATCTTGGGTCATTGACAGAAGCTGCAAAAAGCAATGCAAGAACAAATTATTACAGAAGCATGGCTCAAGCATTAGTAAGTCTGACTTCTTGAATACATGCATGCATACGTGCTGACTTTCGCAGATTTGCACCAAGAAATTCAGAAAGAATTCTTAAAAAGTCAGCAGAAATGTACAATACCATAAAATTATATTTAGTGTGCCATAGCATTGACATAATTTTACTGTATGTTCCTGTGAATTTTAAACCAGAACTGAGAATGTTGCATTGAAATTTTGGATACTAGGTCAAAGAATTAATCAGTATTGCATTATACTGATTAACTGCTTTCTAATGTCTTTCTAATGATCCGATGCTTAAAAACTAAGTTTTTAAACAATCATTAGAATTACTACAATTATAAAAATAGTTCCAATAAAATGGTGATGCAAATATAAAAGATGATACTTTATCCATTTGCCAGCTCATTTCCCATTATTATTATTATAGCGGATTTCTTGGGGTTTGAGTATATGTGGCTTATGAATGTTCATATGTCCCAAATTTGACAAAAACTCAACAAATGAAATTTTGCAGTGCAGCTGGTGCAGAAAGGTGGCAGAGAGCTGGACCCTTCCAGGATGTTTTACACAACTGCCTAAACTGCCTTGCTTTGTATCTTCAAGGAGGACACCAGTAAGCTTAGGCAAAGATAAGTTAGCAGTCCCCACTCACCAATGACAGTGATAATTAGTAGTTACAAAGCAGATCAGATCTTTACACCAGATTTAGCTCCCAAACAGACTTTCTAACTTCTAACTGGATCACTCAAAGGTAATGGCCCCAAGCAAAAAGCCCAGTCCTACACTTCTTAAATGTGGAAGTCAAAAACATAGAGCATGCTTTTTGTTTACATCCTTACACTGACTCCTGGTTTTGTTTCATTCATTTTTACAAAATACATTCCTATCCTACTCTGCCATGCAGCCTTGATATTTTATCTGATTTATATAATCACACGTGAAGATCGTACTTGCAAGCTACGTAACACCGCTTCCCTTAATTCAAAGTAATCTTGTAATGCAGAGACCCTTCCCCTTCCAGTCTTACTTTTCTCTCATCAGTTGTATAGTGGCTTGCATACCACAGACTGCGTCTCCTCTCCGCTGTCATTGGAATTGGGCTGCAGGGAGCTTCTTTGTCATCCTCCCTGCTGACAGATTTCTCTTCATCAGGCGTCTGCTAAATGACAAAAATGACAGCACTAGCTGTAGCTCTGTAAATACAATCTTAGCAGAGGAACTGAAATTTTCCCCCCAGCAGATGTTCCCTCTCCAAAGCATGTCTGAAGCACCGTTTAGGCTTGGTTTATGATAGATAACTGTGAGATGACATTTTCAGAAACAATGACAGAGCTTTTCTGTAACTGCTAGCTGCATGACCCCAGAATTACACAGATCTCCATGTACTACCTTAGCTTACCATATAATCATACCATAAGCATGCACAAATACATAAAATATAAACCCTTCAAAATACAATGTTTAATTTTCAAGGCAGTGTATGCTACCTTGATTTCAGCATCTTTGACCACTGTTCCATAATGTCTTTGCTGACAAGCTGGTACAAAATGGACTTGACAAATGGAGTACAAGATGCGTGGAGAACTAGCTAAACTGCCTTTCTCCAGCTAGGGTAAAGGCTCAAAGACAAAAAGGTAGATTGACATGAGTGGAGTTCCTCAGAGGCTGGCACTAGTTCTGGTCCTATTCAAAACTTCCTGGAGGGAATTGCACCCACACAAAATTTGTGAATGACATTGAACTGGGAGGAGGTAAATGGGCCAGAAGAAAGGCTCACCATACAGAAATGGGACAACAAAAACTGGGCAAGGTTTAACAAAGATAAAGTCCTGTAGCTGGAATAAACCCACATAACAGTAAAGGCTGTGGACAGACTGTGTGGGAAGCAGCTCCGTGGAATAGGCTCTGGTGCACAGCAAGATTAAAAAGAGCCAGCACTGGACTGCACTCCAGGAGCAGTGAAGTCCTGGACTGCATCAGCCAGAGGACTGCCAGAAGATCAAGGGATATGATTATTCCATTGTGCCTGGCAAGTGTCAGGCCACACCTGCAACACAATTCTGGCATCCCCAGCTCAAGAGAGACACAGAAAATCTGGAGAGGATCCCACAGAGAATTGTCAAGATGATTAGACGCTTGGAGAAGCTGAAGAATGAAGATTTTTTTTTTTTTTTTTCCAATTTGCAGCAATAAAATTACAGTTTTAGAAAAGACAAGGGTAGTCTTCTCACAGGGAGGCATAGTTATAGGACAAGAGGCTAAGGACATAATTTGCTTCAGGAAAACACCCTCTGAGTATTAAGAAAAAAAGAAATAATATCTATCTATCTATCTATCTATCTATCTATCTACCTACCTATCATCTATCTATCTATCTATCTATCTATCTATCTATCTATCTATCTATCATCTAGCTACCTATCTACATCTAGCTACATATCTAGCTATCTAGTTATCTTTTTTTTTCTTAAACCTTGAGAACAATGATCCAAAATCCAAGATTTGGCCCTGAAAAATCTAATCTGAGACCCTGCTCTCAGAAGAAGTTACTTCACATGATTCTCCCAAATTCCTTCCACTGCACTGTTCTGTGACTCTGTAATTGTCTCTAATCCACGTGGTTTGTTTCTCCATCTGAGGTGGAAAATGTTGTCACTTGTCAGTTGAGGAGGAGTGCAAACCACAGTAGGTTACAGCTTCCCTTTGAGCCCTAGCAGAGCTCTTCCTGCACTGTGGCAGCTCGCTGGTGGCAGCTGTTCTCATTGCTTAGGCAAAACCCTCTGATGTAATAGAAGATTAAATCAGGGTGCTGGGCAGAGGTCTGCAAAGCTACCCATGGGAACATCCAAACATCCTAGCTCAATTTGAAACTCTTCTCATTCCAATCCTAGCAGCAAGGTCCTATTTTTTACTTGACTTAGATAAACAATGATTATTAATTTAGTTTCACTTCTCAGAGGAAATGGTAGCACATTTCACATATGGTCATATATTTATATTTGATTGTAAAGGGGCATTCCTAGCAAAACTGTAAGATGAAATAAACTGATTCTGTCCCTAAAATACTTGTCACTGCCATTTGAAACTTTAATATAAATATGAACCATAAAGAACTACTTATCAAAGCCATTTAGTTTGGCACCAGGGTGACAAAAACAATACAAAATACCTAGGACACACATAATTATTTTAGTATGGTATTTTTAGTCTTAGACACAACAGGGAAGGGTGGGAAATCTTGTTTTCCCTTTCTCAGAAGAGGAAGAAAAGTCAAAAAACACAGTACTAGTCACACAAACACAACTTGTGAGAGTCCTTTGACTTGCTTAAATTTTTCAGCTCTTCCTCAGCAACTCTTAAATACCTTTTAAGTCCAACAATTATAAAAATTTTATAAGAGGACTCTACATTTAACTGTTGTAACTCTGCTGACTCCTGAACCATTACTTACCACTCACAGCACAGTATGAATGGGCTCCATTCATACATTCAGCATTAGCAGTTACAACTCTGAGCTGAAATCTCCAGAGACAGATTGCTTTTTCTTATTTGCAGAGGTAGAATTTCACAAGACTCAATGTTAGAACAAGTCAGGATCCAAAACAGCAAGCATATGAAAAGCAAATCTACTGACTGCCACAGTCACTTTGCATGAGTAAGATCCATTCAGAATCCCACATGGAGAGTGTACACTGAAATTTCATACATCCCATACTTTGGCATTGTGGTGCACACAAAAAAAACCCTGAAGCCTGAAACTCAAGATTTGAAGTGGGGAGTGTTCCTGTAAAATTGTTAATCACCTGCAGCATTTAGACAGTCCCAAGAGTATCTGTCTCAAAGACAATTCTTAATGCAATCCAGGAGGAATTTACTCATAAGAGGACCCCAAGATGTAATTTACACAAGATAAAAAAAACCTTTAAGGTCTACATGTCTTACTCTGCTTTCAGTATCTGCTATACCAGTATTATATTTAACTTCTGTAATCTTTTTAGACTGAAAAAGTCCTTCTTTCTTGTTTTGTTCAAAACAGTTTTTGTTCAAGAGCTTCTTTTGAACAAAGTTCCTAAGATGAGCCACTTCTGACTGCACAAGAGAGCAGCATATAGAGAACAACTTCTTTACACTAAACACCTCATAGCATTTTGTCTTTGCCATTCATTAAACCTCATGTAGGCTAGTAGTGGGATCCTAAATACAGAGTATCTTTGAAATCACTGGGGTCTTCAAAAGCAGGTTACCTACTTAGTTCCATAATGAATCAAATGCACCACAACTTCACAGATTTAAAAACATTTCAATGAAAACTGGAATGCAATTACTTCTGGATTTAAATAAGTGAGAATGCAGTCTTCCAGGGAAAAGCTAGTAAGAGAAATTTTAAATCCTGATCTATGACACCAGTAAACAAAATCAAAATGCTTATAGACAAAGAAGAAGCCATAAGGAATATGTGTGCAAAATTCAGAAAATACAGTAAATTTTACAAATCTCAGCATCTCTTTCTGCTGACAAACACTTGCATCACTAACATCCTGTGCATCAAAAATAAGCATTAATGCATGGATACTCTTTCCTTTAGAGTGTTCCCTTTTTAAAGCATCCATTTATCTTTGGAGGGAAGCATCATTTCCCTGGCATCTGAAGTTCCCTTGGGAGTGCCAAGACTTTGGATTGCCTCTCATGTAGCCATAAATTCGACATCAATGTTTCTTAAATTAATGTCTTTTAATACTTAGTCTAGCTCAACTGCTTGGAAAGCATCTCTAATTTCACTTGTTGGCAGTTTTCAGAGACTGGTTTCAGTGTTTTATGGGAATATCTATCTCAGACACCACAAGCAGTCTGAAAAAAAAGATCTGCAGGCAAGACCACTCTAGTTCCTCTCAAGTCCCTGTAGGAAATTGCAGCATTCACTCTCTCCTAGACAGAAAGACCCACTTCTCTCCACTGAAAAAGCACAACTAACTTAGGTCCAACACCAAACTTTTAGATGGTGACTGGTGGATGAAAACAACACAGGTACTGGAAATCAATTCCCAGACTCGCTGAGATCACACAGCTCACACTAACTGCATTCCACATGTGGTTACTCCTCTGTGGGTAGTTCCCATGGTTTTACTAAACAGCTTGTGAGATGTGAAGTTTCAGTTACAGCCCCAGTGCTAAAATCATATTATTATCTGGAAATCTCAGTTTTCATTTAAGGGAAGAAAAAGAAAAACCAACAAAAATCTAGTTTCCAGAAGCTGCAGCTGCAGAAAAATACCCTACAAATACCCAATGCTAGAGGGTACTGGACCACAACGATGTGACTTCAGAAAAGACAGTATTAAGACTTCTGGAAACCTAAGACACAGTTTTTTAATAGCTCAGGGTGATGGCTTGATGGCTCTGGCATCGTTCACTTTTTGAAGCCCTATATAAGTAACCCCCAAATACCAGACATCTCAGTTCAGAGGTGATGTATTTTGATTGCCTTTTTAAATGTTAAAGAGTTACATTACCCATTCTATGAAGAAACACCCTTAAAATAAGAAAAACTTCAACATTTTTTACTTGTTTCTACGAACTCTGATTCACAGCACAGTCATGAGTATTTTCATTGTGGTTTACAGCACTATTAAACCTCAACTTGAAAACTCACATCAGGCCTCTGAGGATCAGGAAATTAATATAAGTAATGCCTGGGATCATCCCTTTTATACTTTCAGTTTCTAAGCTTTTAAGATACCTCTGGGTTCCTGCATACCCATTTTTCTCTGAAACAGGAAGAAGTAAAGATTTACTTTTGTTTTTCCTCCTTGTTCTCTTGCTCTTAAATGAAAGCTGGGATTTTCACTCAGGCACACAGGAGGAAAGGTTTTAAGAAATTTTTTTTATATCTGTGATAAAACTGCAAATATCTGTTTTGTCTTACAGTGTCCTGTGCCAAAGTGTATCCTACCTCTGTTGTTAAGCAAGCCTTAAGTGTTGGCATTCCACTTGATAGCACCTAAACTTCAATCACAGACTCCAAATCATTTAGGTTGGAAAAGACCTTTAAGATCATTGAGTCAATCAAGTCCAGCCACTACCTGCATATCGATACCTTCTTTCCAAATCAAAGCATTAATGCTCTCCCACTGCATTCCTTACATAATTGTCCCGATGATTTTAAGAATAATATTCATGTTAGATCAGACTCCTGGAGACACTTAGCGAAAAGACGGAATTCAAAGCACCACCTCTCATTTGCTGTCTATTTCTCTTAATTTTCCTAAATTTTTGCACCTCTGTTAGCAAGTATCTGCACTGGCCAGTCTCACAGTTACTAGTCATGGGAAGAGAGAAGGAAGTTACCCTTACAATGGGCTCCTGCAGCCAGAGACGAATGAGAGTCGCGAGGGTGTAGTACATCACCAGCAGTAAGATTGGATTAGCGTGGTGATACCAATGTAAATCTTGATTTTTGATGATCATCCAAGTGCTTGAGCAGTTTGTCTGAGTAAGAGAAGTGACACCGAACAACCTGTAAACATAAAAACCCAAAGCAGACACATTAGATAATAAACACCAAATCTTAAAAATGTTTAACAATATTTCAGAGGGAAATTTTTGCTTAGGTTTAATACCAGTTGCTCTGCTCAAAAATAGCATCTGCCATCACATCTAAAATGCAGTGAGTATTTTCATTCCACATATTTAGTCAAAAGAAGAGTTTTTTTGCAATAGCTTTTCAACATGGAAAAAATGGGAGTATAATAACATTACATTTACTATGTCCAATGAGAAAACTTGCAGTGACCTGCTCCCTGTAGATCCAGAGCTACAGAAAGTGGGAAGAGAAATTTTGGCTGCAAGTCCATTTGGCAAATCACAGAAATATGACATTTCAGATAGATTTAGTAAACTGACGTGTAACACCATTTCAGTAACCCTGCCAGGACACAGCTGTAAAGTATATCCTCTTGGCACACTGAACAGTTCACTGGCCTTTCTCTTCAAAAGCTAATACTATTAATAAATTGTTATCTATTTATGCCAATGTTTAGAAACATACTGGGCTCTATTGAGCTCATAGCTTTTATTACAAAAAATGGAAATATTCAGAAAGGATATTGCTTCAGATATATTCAAATAATTCAGGGAATTATTGCTTCAGTTATATTCAAATAATTGAGGGAAGAGAAAGAAGACATTTAATTAGAAGGATTATTATCAACAACATGAGATATTTGATGCTTCTGGAAAAACTGGGATTACACAATATTTCTGTCAAGTAAGGAACATATGTTGGTAAAAAACCCACTTAGTATTAAAAAAAAATCCTAAAATTTTCAATTTAATACATGTTGGATGCCTAGTAGATGTGCATATATACTGAATAAATACTGAAACAAAACTAATAGGAAACAATAATTAATCTGGTTCTTTCATTATAAAATATCTTGCAGAATTCCAAAGTTAGGGCATGAGCTACCAGTAGCATATGTCAGTCATATATGTCATTATAAACATATATAAAAAGCTTTTTCTACCATAATGTCTGTGAGAGTTTTCATTATTTAGCAAAACAAAGTCTAAGAGACAATTAAGAAGATCTCCTTATTGGTAGAACAATAATTCCCAAACTATTGTTCCTCTGAAACAGTGAAACAAACACATCAATAAAAAAACTAACCCAAAACAAAAACATGCAAGATTTTCTGCTGGGGAATTTAATTTTAAGAGTGTCTAAAACCTTAGTTCTTCCTTAACTTAGTCAGATTCAACATCAAAAGCTGAATGAATACAAATAATAGGTACAACATTCAACAGAGATGCCTGAAATCTGCTTTTGGATGCTGCAAAGTGAAAATGTTATACCCGTCCTTAACTGGAGATTTGCTACATGCGCATAATACCATTAACTCCCAGAAGGAGAGCTCCATAGCATTTTATGAAGCAATCTATCAGCAATCACTTCTCATTCTGATTGTCAACACAGGCCAAAGGTATAAACTTTTAAGACCTTTCAGAGCTTTTGGGTGGATACAAGGTTGGGAAAAAAAACATTAAAAAAATCCTGCATACAAAGCAAATTGCTGTGATTTAAAGAAGCTGAAGGAGCTGCGTTTGGAGCTGACTCAGACTCAAACTTCCATAGTATCCAAGAACATTTGGAGTTGATGTTACAGTTTGGCTCCTTCTGGGTGAAATTCATGGTGGATTGTATTCTCTTCGTATTTCTATCAGGATAGAGGATAGAGGAACATCTTCTTTGTCTGCTTTCCTCTCTCTTACTGACTTGTCATTTTTGCTCATCAATGATCAGGGTTGTTGAGTTCCTACTAGTTGCTGAGTTCCTGTTAGTTTCATCTTTTACCTCCATTTCACAACACAAGTTCCTGAAGGTTCTCAGAACCCTCTGCCAAGCATACACGACCCTCATATCACGTATTCCATTCCTATAGTATGCTTTATAATATACTATAGCTAGAAAGTCAGAACAACTTGTGTTTTACTTTTATCTCCACTGAAAAGAAAACATTTCACATAATCCTGGTGGTTAGGAAATTTTATTATGTTTCATTTATATTCTTAGTTTCATTTGTCGGCTCCAAATTATTCATACATCATAATATTGGAATTAATTCTGCTCCCTTCTGGTCCTGCATTCAGCAAATATTCATAAGTTACAGCACATCTTTTACCTCTAAATTGCCACATGGTCAGCAATGTAGTTTAATGTATTTCACTTCAATTTATTCAATGTATTTTGCTTTGTCTCATAAATCATTGATGTAGAGGAACCTCTCCTCATTTCTCATTTCTCCTTGGGCTTTGAGACTTGTAAGCCACAAAGTACTTAGCACAACTTTCCCTGTTTATCACACTCAAAATTCACTGTTGTCTTGGGAATTCTCATTCTGTCTCTTCTGGGCGTCAATAACGCTACAAGTCGCTAAACACTCAATATTTATGCTTCATCATTATCCTCAATGAGAACTGCTGGTGCAGAACATATTTCAGGGGGATAGAGTCATCTTCTCTTACACAAAGCTTCTAATTACACAGGGACGACTGCCATAAAATGTATAAGCAATATAAATTAGGGCATTATTCAGTTCTGCATATTTCATTCTGCAAAGTCTTTACATTCAGTGTGTCTGTACACCAGCTGTGTTTGAGTCCAGCTCTGATCCTGGTGTAACTTCATCTTACCTAACATACATGTATGCCATCAGAAAGGTCAGAATGAGTCCTAAGAAACCCACTAGCAAGTCAGGTACACGTGTGCCTGGACACAGAATATATATGAAACAAATTATGAAGAACTTATTTTTTAATGGATATATTTGGCTTTCCAGAAGACTGCATGCAATGTTGCAAAAAATGGAGATTTGCAAGATGTTAATAGATTAGTACTTCTACTATTTCAATGAACTAAAGCCAGGTTTTTCAAAGTCCTCATTGGTATTTTGAAAAGTTCATAGCAGAAATAATTTGAAAAAAGTTATAGAAATTATAAAAGGCCAAGAGGAACTTTAATGTCTGACTGATAAATGCTCTGAAATCACACAGTGAAAAGGAGTTCTTAAAATAAAAGTGGCATCCTCTTGTCCAGTTACTATTCTATAAGCTTGTTTTCTTGGAAAAGATTCCTATTGAATCTGTGAATCATCCTTCCAGCAGATGTCTTTCATGAAATCCTGATAAAGCTGTAAGCTGTGACCATACAAATTTCCCACTTTCTATATTAGTCTAACATTAAAATTCAGAAGAAGAATTTCAATTTCACTTGAAAACAGAAAAACAATTTCCTCTTGCACCCACAGATATTTCACCTAAGGAGCTGCCAAAGTTGCTAAAATTTTATTGCATGCATTACTTATTACATTAATATATTATAAGAATTTTATTATATATATCACATATAATATTACATATTATTACATTACATTAATATATTATAGGAATCAGTATCATTACTCATGGTGCTGAATATAAACCAAAAATAGCTATGCAAACAAAAAATATGTATCATATACACAATTATCAAAGCAGTCATTACATATTTGTTAGATTTTGCATTCTATTAAAATTATTTGGATTTTTTTAATTTTTTTTTTTTTTTGTAGAAGCATATTTGTGAGTTCAGATTCTGCAACTGCTCATGTTTTAGGAGTTGACTTTAGGCAAGTATTTGCTTGCAACTTTCAAGGCCAGGAAAGGAAGCAATAATTCTGACTTCTGCACAACGCAGGACACCAAATAATTCTTTTATTGAACAATGATCTTGGGGATGAATAAGAGTTTATAGTCTAGAATGGCATCCAATCTTGACTTCAATTGATAGAAAATCTTCTACTGTCCCTTACTCTTTTCCTGCAAGTTTCAGCTTCTGTAATAGTTTTGTCTAAATGAGATTTCCAGTTGCTACATGTTCCTACAACCCTCTGTACTCCTTTACACAGTACTTGCCACTACACAACAGAGCAGGGCATCATTTTTCTATATTGTCTCTGAGTTTGCACGAAGATTTCAGCATGAAGAAAATTTCTGCATCAAACCAATCTAGGAGCTGTATTTTCTGAGTTAGCATTTAATATTACAGGATGTGTTTTTTTTTCTGTGGCCAGTATCTGTTGCATGGTTCCTCCCAGCAATGGCATCAGAACATTTTAGTGTGCTGGGTTGGATTTGGGCAATCCATCTTTGTAGAACTTCTGGATTTGTGCTGGATTTTATGAGCTTCAAACATTTTATGTTTATGAACAGTTCATAAAATTTATTTCATCTGGATATCTTCTATTGCATATTTATTTCACTCTCCTCACATGAGAGGAGATGAAAGTGGTGCCTGTGAGTCTGGGGTAGGAGAATGGGATATCAAGACTGCCATTTGAATAGCTGAGCCCTAAAATCAAGATGCTAAAAGTGATTAAATGAGAGAAGAAAATGGAAGAAGAGTAGAGCAAACAAAGAAGAGGAGAATAATGGAGGGGAGAATAAGGAAGAAAAGAGAGCAACAAATTCCGTAGAAATCGGCAAAAAAATAGTGTATTTGGAGAAGAAGGTGGTGGTTGCGGTAGAAATATTATTTTTCTGGGGCAAAAAGGACTTGAATACAGGGAGGAAAGTCAAAACTTCCTACTTCACAGTCCAAGCCCTGAATACTGAATTTCATGGAGAAGAGTATTTGAAATGCTGAAAGGGCTATGTATTTTACACTGCTTGAAAAGTGAACCTTTTTTCAAACACTGACTTAAAAGAGGTGCATACTGTTGTCAGGCTTGAAAATGTTCTGTGGGTAAGAGAGAGAAAGAAGTGGAAGGAACTGGAAAATAAACTAGCACAGAGAAAACATCATTCCTACACAATCCTCCTAAAAGTCAGTCCCCTTATCATACACAAGGCATCCTGTTGGGTTTTCCTTACTCAGTCTACAGAGCTACGCAGAAGTTAAGACCCATAATCTTATCTCCATAATGTCTCTTCCAAGAGGATGCTATGAGCCGCCCCACTCTCCCTCTTTGGGCTACATGC